AAGTGTCTACTTCGGTTAGGCACAAACACCTTGATTTGACTAAACTACGACTGAAAAACCACTAAAAAATGAGTATTTTTGACCAAAATCTGAATCCCAAAAAAACCGAGCTTATAAAAAATGCGAAAATTGGTCCAAAAATAAATTTGCCTAAAAGTGATGGCGACGGTGAGCCTAGATTGTAAGCTGCTTAGAACAGTCGGTCTTTTTGTTGTGCGCCTAGATTTGACTAAAATACGACTGAAAAACGGCTTAAAATAAATTTTTTTTTCGTCAAAAAAATTAAAGGCTTCTTAACATTTTTTCAGTCAGACACCAGGCAAACAGAAATCATAGCAAGTGGCAGCTAGTACTTTTAGCAAGTGAACTTAAATAACTATTTGTTTTCAAGATGGCGGCCCTTAACATATTTCCCCACCCCTTTTTGACCAATAGGAATCAATCTCCATGGGAAAGAACCGTTAGTTGTGAGCAAAAAGCAGACTAGAGATGAGCAACCATGGCCGTTTCAAGTGCTTGTCACGAGCTTGTCACGATCTTGCCACGAAGTAACAGTTAAGTCCTATTTATTAGCTTAGGCCGTGCCAAAAGGAAGAAATCACTGGGGCATCTCTAAGTAAGCTTGGAATAAGCTAATCAGCTGATCGTTTTACACCTACTAAACGTTTATGTTCGCCTGGTGTCTGAAATTAAGAAACCAAGCAATTTGACCAATTTCTTGACGAGCAAATGAGGTATTTTGGTTTTATGATTTCTATAAATTGACATTTCAATGAGGTCTGAAATTTAATTTCTTGATCTTTGACACCAGGTTAACATAATCCGTAGCAGGTGGCTGCTGGGTTTTAACATTTTCTTAATGGAAGAGAACCGTTAGTTTAGTGTAAGCCGACCAGAGGTGAGCTATCACTTGGTCGGCAACAAAAGGCCTTACATACTTTCAAGTGGCACACCTCTAGTAAGGCCTTAAAAACTAATCGTTGGCCACCAACGAATTTTCCTGTTCACCTGGTGTTTGAAATTGAAAAATTGCTAGTTTACTTCAACAAATTGAAAGGATTCGAAACTAATTTTTAGTCAAAGTGGTGGTCTGAGACACCAGGCGAACAGAAAACTTAGCAAGTGACAGCTGGTTGCTAAAAGTAAACTTAAATAACTGTTCATTTTCAAGATGGCGGCCCTTTACATATTTCCCCTCCCTCTTTTGACCAATGGACATTGATCTCCTTGGGAAAGAACCGTTAGTTGTGAGCCAAACGCAGACTAGAGATGAGCAACCATAGCCGTTTCACGAGCTTTGCACGAGTTTATCACGATATGCACGAAATAACAGTTAAGTCCCATGTATTTGCTTAGGTCGTGAGTAGGGGAAGCAATCACGATGCCATCTCCAAATAAGCTTAGATAAAACTAATCAGCTGTTCGTTCTTACACCTACTAAACGTTTATGTTCGCCTGGTGTCTGAAATTAAGAAATCTACCAAATTTCATTTGCCTGAAGACAATTTCAAACCAAGAGAGCTCGTCAAAGAGCTGGATTTATCGTCTCAGACACCAGGCGAACAGAAAACTTAGCAAGTGACAGCTGGTAGCTTGAAGTGAACTTAAATACTTGTTAATTTTCAAGATGGCGGACCTTTTCACATTTCCCCTCCCTCTTTTGACCAATAGGAATCGATTTCCATGGGAAAGAACCGTTAGTTGTGAGCTAAAAGCAGACTAGAAATGAGCAACCATGGCCGTTTCACGAGCCTTTCACGATATTGTCACGATCTTCTCACGATATGCACGAAATAACAGTTAAATCCTATGTATTTGCTTAGGCCGTGCCAAAGAAAAGAAATCACTAGAGCATCTCTAAGTAAGCTTGGATTAAGCTTATCACCTACTAAACGTTTATGTTCGCCTGTTCTCGACGAGCAAATAAGGTATTTTGGATTTGTAATTTCTATTGACTTTGATTGTATTAGATTAGATTAGATTGGATTATCAATTAAATGATTGGGATCGTTAGCATTGCTAGTATGCTGGTCAAAAGATAGATTTTATTTTAAGTGATTGATATAATCCTTTCATTGTCGGTAATTAAAAGCAATAAATAAAAATCGCACAAAGACAGGCGACGGAAATACGTCTGAAAAGCTGGGATTTCGAAAGCCAATCAATTTATCTATGGACATTAGAAAATAAACCAAGTAATTATACGTTGAATATGCAGTTTGTCATTTTTTTGATCGGTTACCAATTAAGTAAACCTCACCGGACTTGCTTTTCGTGCTGGCATTTTGACTTACGCAAATGTCAAAATGCAAACTAAGCCAATTGCGAAACGTTTAAGTTGAGCAAATAAATGCAATCAATTGACAAGCGACAACAAAGAGCATAACTTAATAATACCATGGGCAACAACAAGCTGAACAACACGAGATATACAATGATAAAATCATACAATGCCAATTGGTCGCATGCAAATGAGCGTTGAAAATGAAATCGCCTTAAAATCTATGGAAATGCGCTTAAGTGCTTAAGCGTCAGGCACACACACACACACACACACACACACACACACACACACACACACACACGCACACTCGGGCATTTAAGCACCCCTACAATCACGCATGAGGGGGTGGTGGGGGGCTTAGTGGGGTTTGGAACAAAGCATGGATTAAAACAAACATGGCTCTAACCACGTGTCCGTGTGGCCACGTATCCTTGTTTTTCCCTGTCTGTGTGGGTGTCTGAGCTGATGTCTGTGTGTGTGTGTGTGTGTGCTCTGTGTCTGTGTCTGTGTGAGTGCGACATCATGCGTAGATTTATTCAGGCTAGGCCAACAAAAAATGGCAACAAAATACAAAAAGAATTCCAACAGTTGGCAACAGTTTCCGAGCAAATAAAGCGGACATACGGCAGATAAAGCCACACTCAGCAATTTATTTATTCAAGAACAGGGTACATATAAATTGAATAATATATATGATATTATAAATATCTAAAAATTTAAAATGATTTCAATCCCAGCAATCCCAATAAAAGTGCCCTATTTTTACATCATAATGTTTTAATCTAGAACAGCGATCGGTAGGGATCAGTTCTGCTCAGTTGCTGCCGCCACACAAACAGTGTGGAACGGCGGTCTCACTCAAATTAAAGACAAAATGGCCCCTGATCTAAAATATTTGGATTCACAACTTTACAAAATAATATAATATATATATGGATATCCACATTCCTTCTTTGTATTTTAAGAAAAATTTAAATAATTTCAAATGGGAAAAATAATAAGAGTTAAAATTTACCGAAAACTCCCATTTACTCTTCATTTATTTAATAAAAAATCACCCTCTATTTTATGTGTTGGCACACGCAACGTAAACAATTCGGTTCGCTTTTTGTCCGGGAGGTTTGGCATCATTTTTATGACCCATGTTGCATACATTTTAAGCAGCTTAAGTTTGCATTGTGGTTGGCCGAACGGGGGGGATTGTTTTGCGGCTGGGGGGGCTTAATAGAGGGTAGGGGGCTTTTGGAGGCTGGGGCATTTGTCATTTGCTAATTGCTTGGCCGGCTAAACAAAATTGTTGCAAAGCAATTAGCAAAAGCGCCGGACGGAAATAGAGAGGGGCGAATGGCTCAGAAAGGCGCCGCGAATCGATAACGATAAATGGCATCGATGCGACCCAGTTTCCGGTGTCGTCTCATTCGAATATTTCAAATATTTCAATCAACTGGCCAAACATCGTTTTGCTCCGCCCCCGCCCCGCCCCCTTTTGCAATCACTTTTCCAACGAGCGTGAAAATTGAGTGCCAACTGTGTGGGAAGTTTGGATGGCGAAAAGGGCGGTCGGTCGGCAGAAAGAGGCGTGGCGCGAAATGTGAATACGGAAAATAGCTATTCGAGTGTCAAATCAAATGTCAATGGTGAGTGGATGGGGGGGAATGGGGGCTTTTGTGGGTAGTCGAGCCATTTTAATGACATCTTCCAAAGTGTTTGCCAGTGCAATTTGGCGACACACGCCCCCGTTTCCCCTCCACCGACCGCCCTACTGTCGAATCCATAGTTCCCCCAATTTCCACCCCGAGTATATGCCTTTGGCAGAGCAACAACAACTCGCAGCGCAGCCCCCCGTAATCATCGCCATCGGCAGCCGTCATTGGGGGTTCCATCGGCATTGGGTCCATAATTAACACCACTAGGAGTTGCAATTTGGAGGGCATTGTTGTCGTTCCCGATGTTTCAGCGGGGGCGTCAGTCCCCAATCGCCAATCCCCATAATACGGCTCAATCTCGATTCGGAGATGACTGCGTGATCAGCCAGAAATCTGTTTAGCCTCACCATTTATCAGTTCTAATAACAAAATACGTTGCTAAATCGGCGAAAAATAAGTACTTCCCATCTTTATTAGAATTTAAAATTTAGATTTTCGGATATCTTTCGTTTGGGTATATTCTTTGTAATTTTTATGAAATTGTCCCTTTCCCAATTTCCCAAAAACTTGGGTATACAGAAAGATAACCCAAAATTTGTCCTTCTAAAATGTCAGATAGTATTTTTTCTCCAAAATTCCTTCTTTACATTTCTTTCTTTAGATTGACCATTCCCACATTGTCCAACTGAAATGTACAATTTGATTTCCGTTTCCGCTCGTGAGTCGCGCCTCACGCTGCGCCCACTAAAGCTGACCTCTGACCCCCAAACACTCACACTCACATGCGCACTTTGGGCGCAATCAAATACTTTACATCCACAGACAGCGCCAGGAGGCATCCGCCAGAACATACATATCCACACACATGGCAGTTTGAGTGTGCGTGATTGTCCGGGGTGTGTGGGGGATTGGTTTTGCAAATTGATTGGTTTTTGAGGCTGTCACAGCTGGACGTCTGGCAAGTCAATTAGTTATTGGCAATTAAATGAATCCAAGTGGAATTTCAACCCACCTTTTTTTCCTTGGACTCATAACTTGAAAAGATGAAACTGAAACTAAAAAAGGTCTTCTTCATGTCAGCACAAAAAGGTTATATATAACCATTGAAAGTTTACCTTGTGCTGTGTTTGACTTCATGTTTAATTTCAAAATACTAAAACTGTTATTATTAAAAATAAAAAATAAACAAACATAAAACAATTAAACGCTATAAACTAGAATGCGCAGACAACACTTGACGAAGACGAGTATAAATTCGTTCGTTGTAGAATTATAAATTAATTTGGTATCCAACTTCAGAAACACTCGACTACAACTTTCGGTTAAAATAAGTTAAGTAATGGTAGAGAAAAAAAAAATGATAGCTAATTGCTAATGCTAGACTGAGTTATTGATGTCGCTTTTCGATGGCCACTCGAATTGTGTGGGTGATGGGCCCAAGGTGGGCGATGCCCTACTCCCTAGACCTTGCGATGCTCCCGGGCGTATTGCAGAGCTCCGGCGAGGATGCTCCTCTCCAGCCGGCGGTACAGCAGCAACATAAGCTCGATCTCCTGGCCCGGCTTGCCCCCGTCCTTGAGTTCCAGCTCAGACAGCTCCTTCACCTCGTCGGCCTCCCGCAACTCCTTATCAAGAACGGCCAGCAGCAGTTTCAACCTGTCCTCCAGGAACTGCCAGGTGCGCGTCTCGTGATCCGTTTCCAAGGCGCAATCGATGTGCAGCAGGTCACCGGCCCGCTCCAAGTCGCTGCACCAGTGATCCAGCTGCTCGGCGCTCATCTTGAACACCCGAACGAAGGCCAGCAGCTCCTTGGAGACGAATTCCGGTGCCGGGAGCACCCGCAGCTCCGCCGTGTGCCGGATGTTCAGCTTGTCCAGAATGCTGGCCCTCTTGGCGGCCAGAGCGTCCGTAGGACTCAAACCCACGCGAATATTCACGTAATCCTTGGGGTTGTTCACGTCCACAAAGCTATCGAAGGAAAAAAAAATATTAGACTATTGGTTTTAACTTAATGTTCACGAAAATAAATATAATAAATGTTATAGATGTTGCCAACATAATAGTATCTATAAGGTATGCTCACCCGTTGTGCACTAAAAGATCGGTATTCGACCGATCCCCGTAGTAGATGAAGAACTGTTCACCGGCGGCACAGGCTTCCTGGGCGGTGCACTCCAATTGCCTGGAAACGGCGCCGTAGAAGGAGGTGATCTTGCCCGGCCTGTGGTTCGCCATGTCCCAGTAGGGAATCAGGGCCGAGATGAACTTGGGACTGTCTCCCGATTCCTGCTTTTCGCTGGGCACAAGATTTTGGCGGGTCATAACCGTGGAAACGGCCCATCTGAAAGACAGGAGTTACAGATATATTACTAGGCATGACGGAAATAGTTTTTTCAGTTAATGTATATTATTATCAAAGTCATTGAGGTTATTAACAAAGTAAATTTAAAGTATATTTTATACCCTAAAATAGCTTATCTTCGCAACTAAAATTTACTTTATTAGTGGAGCTTTTTAGATACATATCTCAGTTCTCTTAGGCCACATATATTTTGCACAAATAATATGATTTATATTTCTCTGCAATAAACCCCATTAAAACCATTGATTTAATAAAAAAAAGATATTTTTTCGGCACCAAAGGGTACTGCCTTTCGGTCGACTATATTCCGCTCCTCTAATTTTCCCCCATTTTCGGCTATTTTTGGCTTCTTTTTTCTTCGCTTTGCTGCGGCTTCTGCTGGTGCAACCACAAAGAAAAGTTTTTCATTTAATTGTGCATAAATTTTTCAATTTAATTATGAAAAGCAGCAACTTGTTTGAAGTGGTTTGGGGTGGGGGATGGGGGATGGGGGTAGTCGCCACTCACTTTGTTAGAAATCACCATGGACAAGAGCAAGAACAGCCATTGCAGTAAGTTTTCAACCTTTTTTTCTCTTGGCCGTATTTAATGCTGGGCAGCAGTGAAAAGGAGCAGAGAAGTTCTCAACTTTTTCCGGAAGCCTTTGTATTGGCTGTTATGTCTTTCCTGTGCCTGCTATTGCCGCAGAAGGGGCGGGGTATTTTTATTAAAAGTAATAAGTTATCAGGTGGCATTGCCAGTGTTGGAAAGGCCCAAGCGAGTGCAGCCCTTTTGTGCCGACTGTACCTGGGCAAAAGTTAATCAGCGTTCAAGAGTCTGCCACTTTCCCTACTTCCTCTGCTTTTCCCCACTACAGTTAATCGGATAACTGAACTTGAATGCGGTGTTAAGTTTTTAAGTACGGCGAACTTCTCCTTTGCTGACTTTATGCATTTTCAGGCAAAGGCAACTGTACTTTTCTGGCCAGTACTTTTTTTATCGATAACAAGTTTATGACTTTGCGTGACATTTATGTAGGAAAAGAGAATTGGTTTATGTAGGTTGTTCGAAAAACAGACAGATTTTTGGCATCATGCTATAGCCATATCTTTATTGTATGGCCAACTGTAACCCAACTTGACATTTATCTATGAAAATCGACTGGCTTGATGGTCACACAAGAACTGCAAGGTTTTTTTTGCCATTTTTGCCATTGACAAAGTCGTCTGCCGTTGACAACCGAGGATGAGGGATGCCAAGTTTCAGGGGAACCAGGTGCGCTTCTCACCTGTCATTTACAAAGGGAAGTGAGTCAGCCAGCCAGGCAACCGACAGCCATCCGGATTTAATAAACTCCCCGAACTGACATTTTCAAGTGACTCGAATTGCCGACGTCTTTTGTGGCTTCCGCTTCGAACTTTGCCCTGTCATTACGTATCAAAAATAATGTGTCTCAAAAGCATGCCTTTGTCCGGTCGGGACTTCAATTGCAAATGCAAAATGCAAAATGCAGAGTGCAACCTGCTCGGGGGTAAATACTTTTTTTTTTGTAATTGGGATCTGTGTGAAACTCATCTTTTAATACTCCCGATTCCAATACCTAATTTCCTGGATAATCCACCTATCTGCAAAATGCTGATGTGTGATTCGTAGCAAATGGTTTCTATGGCTTTGGTTTGTTTGTTCGCCGGACAAGTTGAGACTCTTAGGATACAATCCGATTGCCAACGTGAGGTCTCTTTATTTCCCGGCCTTCGTCTGTCTTCATTATGCATGCATACTCCTGCAGTCATTTCTCCTTTCTCCCTTCTCCTTTTTTCCGGAAAAGCCAGAAACTTAGAACAAATTGAAAATGGAGCAGTTGGAACAGCAAAAAAAAAAAGGCAGGGAAAGCTGACTCGAAAGAGATGTCACAGCAAATGACGTGAGAGAAATGCGTGTAATGGTCGGGGCTGCATTCTCGATTCCATTCGATACGATTCGATTCGATTTTCCGGGGCTTATGCAACGATTGCCCCCCTGTTCTCCATTATTTTCGCATTGTTTGCCTGCTTTTGTTAGCAGGATTTCGTGTATTTTCCTTGGCATTTTAATGAGTTGCTGCCGTGCAGGTTGTTTTCCATCAAATAGTTAGTCTCCTGGCTTTTGGGTTAATTATTTCGGCATCTGTCTGTCTGTCAGTCCGCCTGTCTGGCCAATCGAAGGGCTTGAAAATGTGAAACCGCAAAAGGATGCCATAATGCATTAGCCTGATTAGATGACGAGGAAGCCAGTTAATCAAAGGCAAACATCCCATGCACACAAATACATGTATTATTCAGGGCCTGCATTTATGCATTCCGGCTGTTCACAATCAATCTTATATGCATCTTTATCTCGGCTTCCTTCCGGTTCTGTTGCCAGCCGAAAATTGAAAATTAATTACATAAGCACAAAAGGACCTTTCACCCGCCTCCCAACGGATAAAGGTCCTTATTTCTGTAGGCGATTTTATAATTATGGGCCAAGTTATTCCAATTAGGACGACAGGGTATGTAATTACATGCATGAATGGTTTCCACCTGATTTGCCACATATTACAAATATTTATTACGTAAATATTTAATGAAAATATTTTAATTATCCTCTAAACGAAATTGTTAAGTATACGACCGTAAACGAGAAACATTGTAAAGAGATCACCATTAAATATTAGCGAAGTCAGAAAGCATTAAAAGACAGACAGACTTCAATATCAATAACATAAAACCTTGGCCATAATGTTGACGACTTTTTTCAGACCCATATTCATTTTCATTTTTTCTTTGGGAAATGGTTATGGAGTGCAGCAGATGGCTTTCCCTCAATAAACAACAGACTTTTGATTAGATGTCAATAAGCCAAAATATGCGTGGGGGTTCTCCTGACTTTTCAGGCAACTGATAATGGTGGAAAGTCAATAAAGAGCGAGCCAAATACTTATAGATTCCATCAATCAAATGGCTTGCGTTCATTCATCACACCCACTCGTATGTGCAAAAACATAGAAAAGTCATTTAATGCACTGCAAGAAATTAATTTTAATTTGGTAAAAGAAGACAGTACATATTATTAAATTTTTGAAATGTATAGAACGTTTTTAAGTAAGTGTAAGGTAACCTTATTATTATTATGTGTAAATGGAAATTATCTGGTTTCAATACATATTATTTCAATAACTCAAGCATATGTTGTATACATATATTCCTAATAAGTCTTAAGTAAGCCTATAGCACCATTATTTAAATGGATAAATCTGTTTAAAACATACATTTTCCCTGATTTGTACACTCCTGTTGGAAAACATACTTTATATATTAATAATATTTGTTGGTTGCCATCACATTTCTCAATACCTTTTCTCTCATATTAAATATAGATTTGGAAAATGTTATCCCTAAACAACCACTTCTTCTTATTTGCAGCTCTTGCAGACGGGTGTTTCACTGATTGTGGAGGATTCCAAGGGCTCCGGCGATGCGAATGGCAATGGAAATGGAAGTGGTGGCTCCTCCAACCGCCGACGCACCGCTCAGTTGGCCACCCGGAAGCGAAAACGACGCCCCCAACTTCCATTGGCCACGATGGGCGCCACAGAGGAGGATTCCGGTCCAGATCCCACCGCCGCCTATTGGCGCGGTCATGTGGAGGATGATGCCGATGCCCTGAGGAGAAGGAATCAACCGTTGGTCAGGGAACCCATGGCGGCTCTCGAAAGGGATCGCGAGCGGGAGAAACAGCGCCAGCGGGTGGAGCCCACGGATGCCAGTCCGCAGGGCAGTAATCCCAGCAAGGCCTATCGTCGTCCCTACGGGCAGGCCAAGAAGGAACCTTTGGCAGAGGCTGGTGGAGCAGTTGCGACCAAGACGTCCGTGGATCTCAAGAATATCCTGAAGAATTCCGGTGGCCTGAGTCTCAGTGAAATCCTGCAGCAGAAGAACCTCTCGCTGGACGATCTACTCAAGGGAAAACAGAATGCTCTGCTGGCCCTGCAGACCACAGCGGTGGCCCCTTCACCAGTCTCCACTTACTCCTCCGGCGGCGCTCGAGGGGATTCCCCGAAGAAGTCACCCGGCCAACAGAATAAGCAGGGAGTGCGCCGACTGCCGGCTGCCTATACCACCACTAGCACCACCTCCGGGAATAGCGATGAGGACGATTCCTTGGTGGGCCAGAAAAACAAGGCCAAATACCCCACCGCCCTTCAGCGCTTGAAGCTCTTTGGCAGCTCTTCGCGGGAGAGCAGCACCACAAGACGCATCCTGGGTGGGATCAACGGTCATAGTAGCACCACCATGGCCACCAGCACAACTGGAGGTGGCGGCTCCAGCAGCACCACCACCACCACCCGCGTGCCACTCTACAAAAAGCGACAGCACTTGCGGTCCACCCTAAAGCCACCGGGACTGTTTAAGGCGGTAACTAGCACCACTAGCACCACCACCGCAGCGGCAGTGACCACCACTCAGGAGGTGGAGACCAGCACGGCCTACTCCACCACCACGGTGGTTAGCAACCTGGAGGAGAGCCAGGAGGAGGAGGAGCGGGAAAACTCAGAGGAGAGGGAAAGAGACGCGGAGCAGGCGGAGGAGAGGCACAGGCATGATGAGCAGGATCAGGAGCCGGAAGAGCCCGAAGAGCAGCCAGATTCCAGTGAAGCAGAGTCGGGAGAGGGCAGTGCCCCCACCGAGGCGCCAGAACCACCACCTCCATCCTCCCTGCCACCCGGTAATCCCCGTTATCGTTTGAGGAACTCCAGCATCAAGGAGAACCCGAAGCGTTTGAAGGACAACTTCATAGGGAGCAACATTGGCGAGAGTGCTGAGGAAGTGGAGCTGGGTGAACCCAGTTCGACTACGTCGGCAACACCCTCGGGCAAGAGCAGCGATGAACTGAATTACGGGGAGGACGAGCTGGAGAATTTCTTCGACGAAGTAGAGAGTAACACGCACCACACTCGAGTGCCGGCACCACCTGCACTTGCTCCCGTTCCCGCTCCTTCACCACCGGCCAGGTCACCACCCACTCCTGCAGCACCACCACCCTCTCCCTCCTTCGAACCGCCCTCCTCCTATGCACCACCACCACCACCACCACCACCCAGTTTATCGGCGGGCAAACCACCCCAGTTGAACATCATCGACGATGTGGACGATCGCACCGATCTGCTGGAACTTATCGAGGATCGGCGGTCGGGCAACCGACTGTTCAAGGTCCTGGAGCAGCGCAACATGACCCTGGAGGAGCTGATCGAGCACCGGAAGCGCGGCTCCAGCCAGCTGCACCTGTCCACCATCGTGAGCGGCGGCGACGAGCACTCCCGGCTGTATCCCGGCCAAAAGGTCCTGCTGCAGGACAACATGGACATCGTCACGGCCTTCGAGAACTTCCCGCACTTCAACCTGATGGACCTGAAGAGCGTCAAGCCCGACGAAATCAAGACGGACTCGCAGGGCTCCAGCTACTTCACCTCCATCATCGACATCGAGCCGAACGACGAGGTCAAACCGGTGGGAAGTCGAGGTATTACGGCTTTGAGGCTGCGCAAGCAACGCCAGCGGTGGGCGGAGGGGAGGGGCAGGTTCGGGGGCGGGGGCAGTGGCAGGATGAGGGGTGAAAGGTCAGGATGAGTTCGCGAGATTTGCTCCTTCGCGGGCTACAGCATATAAAAAAAAACACCAGATACTAAGGTCTACAAATCAATTAGCTCGACACATGGTATTTTGCCTAAGTCCCTTTTCAATAAAATAAAATATCATGGAATAGTTTCCACAAGATTATATAAATATATTCAATAAAATAGATTTAAAATGGTTAAATGGTTTAAAATAGCCCTTAAGAAATACGCCTGCCAGCTGCCCAACAAAATCCTAACTTTTTGGAAATTATTTCGGAAATTCCCCCGTTTTCCGCCCACTCTACTGCCTCCATCTCGTACTCTCTGCCATTCTGTCCTTCAAATGCTTTCTTTTCAGGTCCTGCCTACGCACAGACCTCCTCCTCATCGGCCACTATTGGAGCGGGCACAGGAACCATAGCCATCAACGCGCGGGGCGAGAAGTCGCTGGGCTTCTTCCCCTCGTGGAAGACCCTGGCGCTGGCCTCTTTGGCCACAGCCACCGAGGAGCGAAATCCCTACTTCCTGCCCCCGCCACGACTGCTGCTCGACGGGAGCTCCCAGGAGGCGGACTCCAGTCCGGAGTCTGAGCCCACCAGCATCGACATCGATTTGAGCGTGAGTCCTTATGGAGGCAGCAACTCCTCCGCCTCCTCCTCCTCCTCGATGGTGGACAACAGCCGGCTGCCGCCGAACAACGATGTGATCGATGAGATCGAAAACGAGGTGGCGCGGGCACACGATCTCCTGGACCTGGAGCTCTCCGGTCCCGGCTTCCATCGCAGTCCGGCGGCAGCGGCGGCCACGTCGGCGGTTTCGCAACAGCATCTGAGCAGCCTGTACGCCAGCATGCCATCCGGTATCAAGTCGGCCATTGTGGCCAGCACGGCGATTGTGGTCACCGCCCTGGCCACCTTCCTGGTCATCTTCGTGGTCTGCCGATGGAAGCAGCAGCGGCGGCGAAAGAGCAGCTACCTGCGGACCTACAATGCGATGAAGAGCAAGCTGCCCCAGATGGTGCAGCCATCGCGGCGTCCCTCGATGCGCCAGCACATGGAGGAGCTGGTCGTGGGATCCGGTTCGGGATCAGGATCCGGAACGGGTTCGGGAGCGGGCATTGCCAGCATTTCCACATCGGTGGCCTGTTGTACGCCCGTCCATCAGCTGCAACGGCAGAGTTCCCTGCTCTTTGCTCGCGATGGATCCGCCACCCTGAGCACCGCCACCTCGCTGACCACGAACGGCACGACGAACACCAGCATCACTGGAACGGGGGCGCCACCAGGAACTGCCCCTCCGGAGCAGGGCGTGGGTGGGCGTGGCCTGGCCATTTCGTTGAGGAGTGCCCATCAGAAACTGAACACCATGGATCCCAACTCGCCGGAGGTGCAGGAATATCTGTTCGACACGCTGCGCAAATCCTTCGACAATTAGGCATTAGGCAATAGGCTCCTCTAGTAACAATAGACCGTTGTTTAGGCCAAGTTTTATATAAATGTACACGAGAGACACACACACCCACACACACACAGAGCCCCCAACAAAAACACACTCAACGCGAAGGAGCAAAAGTTAGTCGATTAGTTAGTTTAAGCAGATAGGAGGTGGAATTTTTTTTGAGCTCGATTAGAGGAACATTCTGTGAGAGAAAGTAAAACTAACAAAAATAAACCTAGAAAACACATTCAGACAGTGCGTGGCATGGCCATAAGGCGGTTTGTAAAGGAGGGGTTTGTTTTTACATTTAAAATATATTGCTTTTATTGAAAATACTTTATTGGAATCTATAAAAAAAACACTTTCATAAAATGACCAAAATCGTATATATTATTATTTTTCTAATTTTTTAAGCCAAAACTATAAAGTCCAATCCACTCTACGTTTATGCCGCGCACTGTTGCTAGTCTTTAAGCTCGGCAACTATAATTTCCAACTATCTAGATCTAATTTACAAGTATAAACCATCAACTAAAGCGACTCTTTCAACTAAATCATAGGACACGGCATTCAAATGGGTTTCTTAAGCACGAGATAAAAACGAAAGGTAATTTAAACAATGAGCAAAGGAACAGGATCTTAGCCAAAAAGTACAGTTGTGTTCAGACTAACACATAATTCCAAAAAGCCCAAATCGAATAAATATTGAAATTCGAGAGAGAAAAGAAAAACCATTTATGAGGACAATAAATATTAACGAGAGAAAAACGAAAAAAAAAACGAGGAAAACTGTGTTCGATACAATTTAACCAAGCAAATTTCTTTCTGGCACTGACTAAAATACCAAAATTTAATTGAAATTAGATCAAGGCAAAGCATAGATGGGCGCTAGATGGGCGTGGTCATTATCACAACAACACCAACAAAAACAACGACAACACTAATAGTTTAAATGTTCAAATGCACTGCAAAAAGCAAGAGGGAAAATAGAAGAAATACTTGTATTTATTTTGTAGAGCAGCCACTTTATTTTTGATTTAATTTGATTCGATTTTGATACCACCCCCGCCCCCTTCACTAGGCAGTAGAACATCTGGCGACAGTATATATATATATATAAATATAATTATATATTTAAGCACGCTCAAATATGTATGTAAATAAGTTTCAATTTGATTTTTTTGAGAAATAAAATGTAGAACGAATTGTGGCAAAGATTTCAAACATTTCGAAAGCACTTGAATGAGTCACTCGATGGGTTTTTGGACTACTGCCGTGGTTCGGTGTGGCAACCACAGCACTATAAATACAGAAGCGAGTGGGGAACCAGATCCCGAAGCATCCCCAGTGCACCATGACCCGTCCAAAGTGGAAGTGGGTCCGTAAATAGATCTTCGGCACAACAATGCGATCGCAATGAAAGACGGGAAGGTCAACAATGGTCGGGCAATCTGGCCATATGTACCCTCAATTAAAAACAAACAGCGCCAGCTGTAAAAATGTACATGTAATTAATGGCCAATGGGACAACTGGTTAATTTAAAGGCGGTTCTACAAACAAATGTTCTAAAAAAAAACATACTTAAGTGAAACAAATACATCAGCAGGATTTTAAGTTGGAATTCCCACTTTACCTAAAGAAATTCGGAAAGGTGTACAATCAATTTCTGGGAATACTTAGAGATCATCAAGCAATATAATATTGGCATATTGGAAACCAAACAAATTTTTAACAAGAAAAACTTGGCCTAATGCCACATTTCTGGTTCCTTTTTAAGGTTCTTAAATGCTTAGGAACTACATATTTCAAATCATAAAAGATTATGGATTTACAGAAACTATTTAATTTAATATTTACACCGGTTAGGTCTTCTCTCCTCTACTTATACTTATAAGAGAACCCGTACTTGAGGAACCTTTGTGCTATAAATTTACCAATTCCATATATCACATCACAAGATATAAGCGACAAGGAATAGGTCTTGAGGGGATCTTCTCCTTACAGTTCCATATCTATGCATCAATCTATCTGTTCCATAGGGAAAATTAACTATATACCGGTATTTTCTCCCCAAAACTCACCTGTATAGCTTGTAGCAGAGTCCGTGCTGCGCGAAGAAGAGGCCCCTGTCCCCGGGAAGGCTCCTGTTACCGGAGCTCGTCTCGGTGAGGATGTGGGCGTACCGGTAGAGGAAGCCGAACTGCTTGGCGATCACGCGGCACTGGCGCAGCGCCAGGGAGCAGGCGGCGGTGCCCCGGAGGCGCTCCATCTGCTTGGTGCTGAAGTACAGCACGGTGTTGTATTTGGCGGGCAGGACATCGATGTAGGGTCGCCACTCGCTGAACTCGCCGCGGATCTTCTCGATGACCAGATCGTAGGCCAGGTTCAGATGGGTGGCCTGTGGCATGTTGCCGAACAGCCGGCAATCGGAGTCACTTTCCTCAGAGAAGATCAGTTTCCGGGGCACACTGAGCACCAGCTCCTCCTTCTCCAGTTGCCGGGTGGCGCGCAGACCCAGCTGGTAGCCCGGAAAGATGGCTATCTCCAGACCCTCGCTGTGGACGCCTCCCTCCTTGGCCCACGCACTGAAGGCCTCGACTTTGGCCAGTCGGGTTTGATCGTCCGGGGAATCGCTGATCTGTGGACAGACCGCCTGACTGAGCGACTCCTCCAGGATCATGATTTGTTTTAGGAGCTGCTGGAGCTGCTCGTACTGCTTCCACTCGTCGTTGGGATTCGCCGGCTGCTTTTCCACCAGATCGAGGAGCTCCTCCACCAGTTTGTTCAGCTGGTTCCGCTTTTTCGGGTTCAAACTGGGCAATGACCTTGCAGCCTGCTGGTCCTCCACATCCTCACCAGCGCCGGATGAGGCTGAGGATGCAGTGGCTCCATTTGGTTGCTTGGCCTTCTTGTTACGCTTGTTGTTCTTGCCCATGGCGAGTGCGAGAGAGATGGAGTGCTAAGCGGTACCGGCGGCCCAAAACAACAACAGCCAAATAAGGAAAATCCCAAAAAAACACGCGGCGGCCGATCAGCTGGGCGCAGTATGACCGTGCGCTGGGCGCCACAAAAATGCCCAGTCCACTTAAGTGAAAATATAAGCTTTATATTAAGTTGAAACTTGAATTTTAATTGTTAAATAAACAATATATCAACGGCTTGGTAAAATCCACAGCGAACTGCTTTTCAAACGCGCGCCAATTAATTTTTGGTAGAAATATACTAAACAGCAAAATATACCAAACGGTAAGGAAATGGTCACCCCAAATTTTGAATTATTGTGCTCTCAACACAAAATGATTTATTTTATTTTTTTAACGATCTTTTGTACATAAAACAGCACAAATCAATTAATTTCTAATAAAAACCTTTTGTTTCAAAGTTTCTTGGCAAAGTTCGGTAGATTTTAGATGTTTTTAAAGTCATTTAAGGAACGTAGTGATTAAATTTTAATTTTAATTTATTTATTTACAGCCCGTTAAATAGTACAATGTTAAAAGATTAGTAGATTCCTTTTCTTTTTTTATTTTGTGTTTAAAAATTATATTTGGAAATGGCCTAGGGGGTTTGGGGTTATCTTAATATTCCATCCACTTACGTCTTTAATTCACAAACACTGAGCTGATAACATGCTAAGAAACATACAAATATAGAAATTATATTGTTGTGCACGCGCAAGCAAATACAAATAAATTACCACTTCATGAACATGATGGTTTAAGTAAAACCGAAACAAAATGAAAACTGGAAACACCAAACATAAAACAAAAATGTGTTTTACTGTTTCCAAATAAAATAAAAGGAAGAAATCAGAAGAATTTTATTAAATGAAATATAATTTCTTTGTTATTATCGGTGCTGAGATGACCCAGAAAAATCAAGAAGATAAGAGATCAATACGCACAATGACTGCTATCGCAGTAGGGTGAACCAATTAAAAATAATATTTTAAAGCATTACATTCTACTTGTTACAGCAAAAGCAAAAATAAGGTAACATACCTGGAAAGCTTTTCGATGCACTGTTCCAGGAGTCTAGATTTCCATATATTTTACATGTATTCACTCCACTCCAATAACAAAAATCCACTTCCGCGGGAACTTCCGGTCGTTATTTTAAATTTCGTTATCTATGACATGGCCAATTGTAAACTTCATTAATGTTACATAAAGATTTTTATACATTTTAGTTGTTTCTATTTGATATGTTTCTCTATTGGGTTGCTAAATAATATTTAATTGATAAATAAATGTTAGTTGTTATAATACTTATAGAGTAAGGTCCACCCTGATGTGCAGACACTTTCAGAGGGGCTCAGCTCTCAGTTCAGTGACTCCTCTGCAGCAGCATCGGTTGGAGCAGCAAGGGGACAGAGCGAGAAAGATAGGCAGTGGTGGACTCCAAAGGCGTAGGCAGGACGGTCCAAAGGGGTACCAATATACCCTCATATGCGTAACCATTTTTTCTTTCGTTAAGTGAATAATTATTTTTTAAAAACCTGTATCCTGGTTAAAGTCAGTATTCTTATAAGGTTTGTTAAGCTTGTAGTTCCATAAACGTAACTGATTTTTGAACCTTCTACTTTAAGCAATACTGATAGGGATATTTAAAGCATCCCCCTCAAACCCACGCCTTTGGTGACCTCGCACTTATGTTTCGCGCTGCAAAAATGTTTTTTGGAGCCACCGATGCTCAGTGCAGTCGAGCCATTCGACCGCAGAAGTTGGCAAATCTTGGAGGAGAATAAAGCGCCGACAGAGATTCAGAGATATTGCGATCATGTCTGTGAATGCGGATCTGCAGAAAGAGCGGGCGGCGGCCACTCTGGACAGCGAGGACTTTGCCCGCTGGTGGGCAGGTGGTTCCACTCAGTTGGAGGAGCGGCGTGCCCTGGATCGCCTTTTCTACGACGATCCCGACTTTGCGGAAGCAGTGCATCCCAGCTGTCTGTCCTACAAGGAGCGCTACGAGCAGACTGTGGCCCGATCCACTCGCTTTTTGGCCAAACTACGGCAATGGCAGCGGGAAAAGCAGCCACAGCTCCAACTCAGTGTGAATATGCTGAGGGACTTCCGGCTGCTCCTCTCCGGATCCCTGGGCACTGGCCTCTTTCAGCAGAGCTTTCCCCTCCGCGTGCACTTCTCCATGTTCATGACCACCCTGTTGAGTCAGGGCACCGATGAGCAGCAGGCCCAGTGGCTGAATCGATCCTGGCACATGGACGGCGTCCTGGGAACCTACGCCCAAACGGAACTGGGTCACGGCACCTTTGTTCGGGGCCTGGAAACCCGAGCCGACTACGATCCTGAGAAGCAGGAGTTTGTCCTGAACACACCCACTCAGAGTTCATATAAATGGTGGCCCGGGGGACTGGGTAACACCGCCAATGTGGCCATTGTCTTGGCCCAGCTTTATGTGAAGGGCAAGCACTACGGTCTGCAATCGTTTCTGGTGAGGATTCGGGATGAGAGGAGCCATGAACCGCTAACCGGAGTCGATGTGGGCGATATAGGACCTCGCCTGGGGGGAAATGGTGTGAACAATGGTTTCCTGGGACTCCACGACGTTCGCATACCCCGCAATCAAATGCTGATGAAGAACGCCCAGGTCCTGGTCGACGGAACCTTTGTCCAAGGCAGACCTCCATTGCTGCTCTACGGAACCATGGTCTATGTGCGGGTCATTACCCTGAAGGATGTGCTCTTTGGACTGCTGCAGGCAGCCACCATCGCCACCAGGTGACTATAAAGCTCTATAAGATAAGGTCGTTTGAAGATCTTTTGTCTTTAACCCCATAAAAGACGTCCAGTTTGCAGAAATCTGGAAAGATTGTTAAGTTATCTAAGTGTCTTCCGATAAGAATTGGTTTATCTTTTGCATTACTTTGGTAAATATTCTCGTAATAATGTTTTTTGTAGGAAATATTATCACAGTTAATGAAGTTATAGATTAAGATAACAACTAAAAGAATATCTTTTATGTAGTATATAAATTCCTTTGATGTGGTATTTTGAAGGGACTTATATTACTTTTTCAGAATCCTTGTATCATTCAGTTTTATGTTATTTATCAGAAACTTAGTATATCGTCTTGTATCACATGTTATTATCATAATTCCAATCCCTATGTAATATCCATACCTGTAACTAATCCACAGGTATTCCGTAGTGCGTCGCCAGAGCCGGATTGATGGGGATCAGCCAGAGGTTTCGGTTCTGGATCACATCACGCAGCAGGCGAAGATCTTGCCGCAGATCGCTCGAGGGGTGTCCTACCGCCTGGTCTCCGATTGGCTGTGGCGCTTCTACGAGCAGGTGCTGGGGCAACTGGAGGATGAGGTTGCGGGAGGACGCAACTCCCTGCCGGAGTTGCACGCCCTGAGCTGCTGCCTCAAGGCGGTGGCCACCGATGAGGCCAGCGAGGGCGTGGATCTGCTGCGAAAGAGCTGCGGTGGCCACGGGTTCCTCTCCTCGGCCAACTTCGATAGCATCTATGGCCTGACCGCCGCGGCTTACACCTATGAGGGGGAGTACACGGTGCTCCTGCTGCAAACAGCTCGATTTCTGGTGCGCCAGTATGCAGACAGCGTGAAGCGAAAGGTCCTGCCCCCCAGTGTCTCCTATTTGAGGGACACAGCCCGTCTGGTTTGGGGCAAGAATCTGGCGGCCAATTGTGTTCGAGCGCTGGAGATTTCCGCCTTGGAGCAGGTGCGTCAGGCCTGGCAGAGCCAGAAGACTCATCAATCCGGCAAGGTGAGTGCCGAGATGGCCAGCAATCTGGCCGGAAGGCAGCTCACCTCGGCTGCCATTGCGCACGCCCATGCCTTCTTCACCCGAAACGCTCTGGCTGAGTTGGAAAGCCTTCGAAAGAAGGGTGATCTTAGCCCGACTGTGTCCCTGGTTGCGGGTCAACTGGTGGAGCTCTTCGTCTTCGATACATTCCTGCGACAGTCGGGATGCGTGCTGCGCTGGAACAGTGGCATCAATGGCAGCCAGCTGCGCTTCGTAGAGCGTCGGTACGAGGAGTTGCTGGCCAAGTTGCGTCCCAATGCGGTGGCCCTGGTTGATGGCTTCGATTTCCACGATCGTGTTTTGGGCTCCACCCTGGGCTGCCACGATGGCCGGGTCTACGAGCGGCTCATGGAGGAGGCACGCAGGAATCCGATCAACCAGGAGCCCGTCAATTCGTCTTTCTACAACCACTTGTTGCCCATGATGCGAGGAAAGCTGTGATGGGGGAATGAGAATCCTTTCTGGCACTTGTTTTATACACCTAATTTGTTATCCACTGGTTTTTCCATTAGTGATTGCAACGAATTTGTTATTGAAGATTGTCCTCTGCGATTTTAAAAACAGTTATACTCCTTATAAGCATACGTTTAAAATAAACAATTAATAAATAAATTCCTTCTTTCTTAATTATAAAAAAATGTATTGAAAAGCAATAAGAGAAAAGGGTCTAGCCACGCAACATATTTATTAATTTAAACTAAACTTTAACAATATTGGAATGAAAACAAATTAATTATTACAATTTTCTTAAGACCATTTTCTTATTCTTTGATTGATGAATAATAACCCTTTAAATAAGCTTAAACAAAAAAAATATGTTTAAAAGATCTCTCCACTTACCCTTCGAATTAATAGCTTTCCCTTGATATAGATGTCTTTTTTCGTTTTATTCATAACGATTTACACTGAAGGCATATTGAATTAAGCTATTAAATTAGTTTACGCTGATAAATAAGGGCTGGGACACACACAAAAAAAAGAGGACTGGTTATCGGTAATGGGAGTTTATCCGGAATTAGAACATCTTCTTCTTGACCGCCGTGTACCGCTCCATGTAGACATCGTATCCATCGAGATCGGTGAACTGCTTGGAGTTGAACAGATTGCCATCGACGGCCAGGTTGCAGATCTTCGAGTCCTTCAGGATCCTGGGCGTGAAGGCCGTCGCCTGCAGGCAGTTCTCTTCGAGCCTGAGGGTCTTCAGCTTAGGACACTCGGCCACGTCCTCGGCCAGGGAGGATATTTGGTTTTGGTTCAGGTTCAACTCGGTCACATACAGTCCGCCCACCTCGGAGGGCACCTCGGTGATCCTGTTCCGCGACAGATCGAGGACATCCAGCTGCTTCAGGCCACACAGCATGGAGGGAAACTCTTTCAGCTGGTTGTTGCTCAGGTTCACGGTCTTCAGGTGGGTGCAGTTGGCCAACGTTTTGGGCAGCTTTGTCAGCAGATTGTCCATCAGCAGGAGCACCTCCAACTTGGCCAGTTCGCCGACCACCTCGTTGAGTTCCACCAGTCGGTTGCCACTGAGATTGAGGTGCTTCAACAGCGTCAGCTTGCCCAGCTCGTCGGGTACTCGTTCGAAGCGATTCTCGGAGAGATCCAGCGTTTTCAGGACGTTCGGGTAGGCCTTTAGCTGCGGTGGGAACTCCTGTAGGCGCTGCAGGGATATCTTCAGGATTCCAGTCTTCTGCGCCGTCTCCAAATGTTGTTTAATCTGTTTGTTGCCCATTTTCCAGGTGCTTCCCTAGGGAACTCAAGGCTTTCAGCTAATTACTGGGTGGGTTGGTTTTTCGATGACTAATCCTGGTCCCGCACTCTGCCTAGTTAGTGGGCACGGCCTGCTATCCTGGTTTGCTTTGCGTTTTACAGCAAAATAAACACTTTTGTTTAATTATAATTTTATTTATTTATCTACTTCCGTTTATCGATATCAAGAGCGTGATTTGATATCGTACGGCGATATTATTGAATGTAGTTGAAAGCTAGTGAAAATACTAAAAGTATAATGTGCCTAATTACAGCCAAAACGGGTTGGTTTAAAACTTTGATAGATTCTTAGCCTTGCCACGAACCACACTGGAATTTATATCAAGTACAATTAGTATTCCTAAATGATTTATGCTTCTTTTTATTTGGCCTTACTTATTTTTAGTGTGATATTTTTTTGCACATTTCAAAGTGTATAAAAATCCCAAAAACAAAACCGTATCATTTTCGCCAGTTGTAAAAAGTTTTTTATTTCATATCATATTTTAGTTTAAAATATATATATGCAAAATATATATGTATATATATATTTATAAAACCTTAGCAATTTTCGCCTAAAACTACACAATAAACTTAACATAGCGCATTTTATTTTCATCAGTTTTTTCCCCAAAAAAAACTTGTGTGTTTAAAACGCTTCCGATGGAAATCTAGACAATATTATTATGAAAGACTCAAGCAATATTTATTTGTTATTATTTTACCATTGGTTCCGAAGCGTTCAAACATTAATATCATGCAAAAATAGTATCTCTTTTAATTTTTTTGGGGGGATTCTCTTTTCATTTTAGTGATGTTGTCTATTTATAAATAAGAACTAACATTAAATTAGAAATTAATATTAGGAAAAAAAAATGATTTTGTTTGCAGAAAAAAACACAAGGAAAATCTCATCTTTTTTATGTCTTGTTATAATTGATGAAAATCAAAAAATAAAAATAAAATAAAAGGATTGTCTTTTCTGCCAAGCGATTCGAGTTGTGATCATTGATTAATTCATGTTTATAATAGCTTAGGGCTTAGGGTAGGGGAAAGGGGAAGATGGGGCCTTTGGGGAGGGGTTTGAAGGTCAGGGCTTAATCACAGAACTACCAATGGGGCTTCGGGGGCGTGGCTCTGTCCTGGTCTTTAGTTTCAACTAAGTAGTATGATTTGTGCTAAATAAAAATAATAATAATCCAAAACAGAATTTGGAATTTAGGGTTTTCGGACAAAATGATGGGGGATTTTCAGGCAGGGTATTGATATATCGTAGGGCATATCGGGGCATCATCTTATATTTCATCTGTGTATCTGGTCTACTTGGCACGATCGTGCTTGGAGGGCTCCACCTGCTTGGCAAACTCGCTCATCACGTCCTTGTAGATGACCGGATCGAGATTGCGGCCCAGCATATAGATGAGCCACCAGTCCCCGATGTCCAGTTTTCGGGAGAGCGAGCGACAGATCTCCATTGGAATCATGCGGTTGCGGGCGTTCAAAAGGCGTGGCCGGAATTTCGGCATGAAGATAATGCAGCCACTGCAAGAGATAAATGTAAAACGAGTTCCATTAAAACCTAGTTTAGTATTAAGGTTGGTTTCAAGGATATAATATCTCAATACGATGTCATCAGGATCATATTTGTAAGTCGAATCTTACCGGAACACTATCAGTCCGATGAGCAGGACAAGCAGAATCCAGAACCAGAACCAAATGAACACGTAGGTCTTCTCGTTCACAATGTTCAGCGGCAGGATGCAGAGGGAGTCGTGCTTCTGGAGCGAACCGGAGGCACCGTACTTGTGGAAGGTGCACTTGGTGACCCTTGGGAACACATAGACCATGGGATCCATCCTTTGCTCCTGCGGAACGTCCGAGAGTTTCATGATATTGGTGCCGTACGAGAAGAACTCGCCGTCGAAGAAGCGATTCATCAGATACATCTGAACGATGATGTTTATGCAGCAGAGAACTTCGCAGGCCCAGTACCGAATGGCGTACAGCTTGTGGCGCTAATGGGGATATGGAATATAGGATATAGATTTGTAATCAGTCTGGGAAATGGGAACCCACCTTCACGTGCTTGATCAGATAGTCCAGCAGGGCATCGCGTTTCGCCTCCTTCTCCTCGCGAGTGCAAATCGTGATGTTTAGGCCCATCACAATCATGCGCATCAGGCCGCCCTCGAATTTGTTCCATAGGAACTTGGGCGTATAGCAGGCCATGGCCTAAAATAAATAAAGAAATGGTATTACAAAAACTCTTTACAATTACTCAGCTTGTTTGGTAATTATTTTGGATACTACAGATATTCCTATTACAAAATCCAGATACCTGATAAGCCTATTTCAAACCCTTTGCCTAACTGTATTGCTTGCATTTGTCAACCTAAGAATATCATATGGCAATAGTTCGGAATCTGTTTCAACAAACAATTTTATTGAAATCTGTCGAAGCAATTGACACATTGCTGTCGATGTCGATGTTGCTGCTGTTGTAATTGCCACTGTTGATGTTGTTCGTGCTATTTAGCAAGTCATTAATTATATTTGGTATTTCACAAGTCCAAAGCACTTTTGTTGCGCTTTTCTTATTTGTGTCCATCGCTTCAGCAATATACATTAAGCCATTCCCATCTCAAGTGCACAGAGAGAAAAACATCACTTAATTAAATGGATTCCCAAAAAAATAAGTTTCTTATTAAAACCTAATCGTAGATCGAAAGATACATAGCCAATACTTGAGTTTACCAATCAATATACTGTTAGATTATTTCTCTAAGCAAAACGGTAAGCAAATTTTGGTCAGTGTATATAGCACTCCCCTATAGCTCCCTATACATCCACGCATGCCACGCATTCAATTGAACTTAATTGGAGCGATTGCCTTCGTGGCAAAGAATCGAGACCACAAACAAAGTGAACACATCACTGCACAGAAAAAAAAACTAGCAGACCATTAAGAATCTTCCCATAACATAGATGTGGCATACATGAGATCTTAATCTTAGAAAATAAACAATAGAAAGGTGTAAATTTGTGAGTACTCAAATCTTGGTGATGTGATAATTGAAATCTTGGAACATAGTTCTGTGTATTGATATGGGTTCTTGCTTCGGGGATTACAAAATTAACGCTACGGAACTCACCTGGAAGAAGAGTACAAAGCACACCCACTGGTAGTATGTGTAGTACTTTTTGGCATCCTCGTCACCAAAATCGTTGGCAACACCGGGATGAGCAACCTCACGGCCAACCTGGAAAATACAAAGAACCAAAAGGAATTTTAAAATATTGTATAAAATTATGGCATAGTGTATAAAATAAGTTACTGAAAGGCCTTTCAAACAAATTCTCTATTCAATTTATTTCTTTTCTCAGGAGTTGCAGACATGCCATCTGCAGACATGTAATCTACACTCGATCTGTCACCTCCATCAGATAGGCACAATTAACCCGACTAAACGGCAACTTGGGTTCCCAGGCCAGGTATCCACAAGGTATCCCTGATTTATTCCGCCCACCCACTCCAAAACATGCTCAGTTCACTTAGTTAGTGCGACTTGGCGAGTAATTTGATCGGTTAAACTGCCAAAAACAAAAAATATTTCCACGAAATCGTGGAGTAGGGAGTTTTCGGACTGTTTCCTGCCTTGCATGAAATATGAGCCAATCCCCCTGTGGAGCTATACACGGAAAGAAAATGGTCTATAGTTGGAAGTGATAAATAAAATACTTTGTTATAATTTAGTGATACTGCTTAAATTTTGCAGATTAAATGTATATGATAACATCCATTGAATGAGCTTTCAACGAATAAGATATATATATCATTATTATTTGATGCGTTCATCTTTTTATTCTTTCTTAATTTTTTACGTTTTATATTTGTCCAGATCAACAAATAGTATCTAAAGATATACTGAAATAGTTTGCAAATGGTAGTGATCTAAAAATGGAACTGTTGACCTCAAGTAAATTAAATTGATCTTTGATCAGTTTTTTTTTGTCAGTGCTAGGGGACATTGAAGTTTCTCTGGTGGGGAATTCAATTTCGGTTTTTTTGGTGTTCTTGATTCTGCTCTTTTTTTTCCCCCACAACCGATTGTAGAAATCGCAGCCCGCAGCAATAAGGAGGAAGAAGCAGACAACGCCCAGTTTATAATTGCTTTATAGGCCGGGCATGAATTATGTGTGTGTATTACACATATCATATGTGTTTTATATGTATGGAATACCTTCCAAAAGGGTCGGACGTGTCCGGCGTACAGAAAACTTGACAGGCAGACAAAAACTCAAATAAGGAAGGGGTATAATATAAAGGGGATCTGCAGAGTAGACAAGAATACCATTTTGATTATGATGGATCTGGATCGAAGAGGAAGTTAGGGCTCTTAGGGCCTAAACTGAACGGAAATAGATGGGTAACTTGCTATAAAGTGTAGCAAGTATGTATTAAAGCTTTCAATCAGAAGTTGAATTTGTTAAAAAAACCATCCTAATATATCTTAGTTGGGGAACTGTATATGTTTTTAATATAAACTGATTTACAACTCTAGAATTCTAATGAAGCTGTCTATAAGAAGGTGGATTTGTTAAAGAAAAACTATCTTAATCTATCATAGTTCGGGAACTATGATATTTGTAATAAAAACGAGCTAAGAACTTTAGAATTAATGAAATTTGAATAAAACTGTTTATGAGAAGTTGGATTTGTAAAGAAAGCAATCTTATTTGTTGCCAAACTTCAGATCATATCCAATAATTTTACAAAGTGGATCCCGAAATTCCCATTTTCTTTTCCACTCACCTGTCTGCGGAAGGCGTCCGGCATGGTGAAGGTGCTGTGGATCCAGCAGAACGTGTTGACCACGTGCGGCGGAACCCCATTGACGATGCAGCTGATCGGCTGGCCCACGTACTGGGTGGCGGTGATGATCAGGCTGCAGGTGAGCAGCAGCACCGTGGTAAAGGAGTTGTGCAGCCGGAAGACGGCGTTGTCCGTCTGGATGTCCTGCCACTTGAGGTAGCTCTTCAGGCTACCCAGCAACTTGTACATCTTGGCACAGTTTGGGTCTCGGTGGGCAAATCGGACTAAGGATCAATATCTCTTTTTAAGGAGCTTCACCTCCGGGCAGTGTTGTTGGTCCTCCCGAAATGAAAATTGGGCTTCAAACTAGGCGCGTTCTTAGCTTTCTCTTGCCGGTTCTTGTCTTGTTTCGAATTCTCTTGGCCTTCAACTTTCGATGCATATCAACTGTAAGTAAGCAAAATAATGATAAATAAATCTCTGTAGTTTCCATTTGATCAAATAACAAACGAATTGATATCCATTGCACTTAATTTAATTTCTGTGTAGGTAAACTGGGCCCAGATACACAACTGCTATCTCGGTATCTGTGAAGTACATTCGCTGATTGGGGGACAGACAACACCTAGCAATTGAAGTTCGCCGAAATGTGTACAATTTCGTGGTGAGCCGTGAGCTTCTGATTGATAAATGCGCAGAGCGTGAGTATTTTGGCATAAATCAACATCAACTAATAGAATCTTGAGACGGTTTCAATTTCAATTAAAGATACATTTCGCAGCAGCTCGGCTCAGCTGGGAAAATTGATGCGCCATTTAAGTAACCAATTGCCATTTGCTCCACTTGCCTGTGTGGCCCGCTGGCATCTGAGACGGATTCCAATTCCGATTCCCCTTCATCTTCTTCCCGGAGAACGTCCAACTGGGGGCAATGCACCTCCACCGAGTGGTTCCCCTGGGTTCTCTGGCTCCTCTTGCGATCTCTGTGCAACGCAGTTGACCCAAGCGCCACTGGGAGACCCCGTCTCAATTATGTTAAATCGTTACGGTTTCTTTGTCTTGCGGCATTTCGATCTTGAAGAGGCTTCTTCACAACTACCACTCCGGTTTGAGGGTATTTTAAAAATTGTTTATTAATCTTATTTAATTGTCAAAATCGTATATCCTAAATTACGGTTGAAAAACCGCGAAAAATACAAATTTTTATGGCTAAAATCTGAATCCCATTTTTCCGTCATAAGACGTCACTGTTTTGGCTGTCATGTTGAAAATAAGGGTCAGAATGCGGAATATCATATCTCGCTGAAATTTCCTTAATGTGATGGGGATCGTTAGCGATTGTTGCAAGCTGCTCAAAACAGTCGGTCTTTTGGCTGTACGCCTTGATTTGACTAAACTACGACTGAAAAACCACTAAAAAATTAGTATTTTTGACCAAAATCTGAATCCCAAAAAAAACCAAGCTACCCCCTTACAAAAAATAAAAAAAATTTGTCAAGAAATAAATTTTCCTAAATGTGATAGGGATCGATAGCAATTGAAGCAAGCTGCTCAAAGCAGTCGGTCTTTTGGCTGAACGCCTTGATTTGACTAAACTACGACTGAAAAACCACTAAAAAATGAGTATTTTTGACCAAAATCGGAATCCCAAAAAAAACCGAGCTACCCCCTTACAAAAAATGAAAAAATTTGTCAAAAAATAAATTTTCCTAAATGTGATAGGGATCGATAGCAATTGAAGCAAGCTGCTCAAAACAGTCGGTCTTTTGGCTGTACGCCTTGATTTGACTAAACTACGACTGAAAAACCACTAAAAAATGAATATTTTTGACCAAAATCTGAATCCCAAAAAAAACCGAGCTACCCCCTTACAAAAAATGAAAAAATTTGTCGAAAAATAAATTTTCCTAAACGTGATGGGTTTCGATAGCATTTGTAGCAAGCTGCTCAAGACAGTCTGTCTTTTGGCTGTACGCCTTGATTTGACTAAACTACGACTGAAAAACCACTAAAAAATGAGTATTTTTGACCAAAATCTGAATCCCAAAAAAAACCGAGCTACCCCCTTATAAAAAATGAAAAATTTGGTAAAAAAAAAAGTTTTCCTAAATGTGATGGGGATCAATAGCAATTGAAGCAAGCTGCTCAAAACAGTCGGTCTTTTGGCTGTACGCCTTGATTTGACTAAACTACGACTGAAAAACCACTAAAAAATTAGTATTTTTGACCAAAATCTGAATCCCAAAAAAAACCGAGCTACCCCCTTACAAAAAATGAAAAATTTTGTCAAAAAATAAATTTTCCTAAATGTGATGGGGATCGATTGCAATTGAAGCAAGCTGCTCAAAACAGTCGGTCTTTTGGCTGTACGCCTTGATTTAACTAAACTACGACTGAAAAACCACTAAAAAATGAGTATTTTTGACCAAAATCTGAATCCCAAAAAAAACCGAGCTACCCCCTTATAAAAAATGAAAAATTTGGTAAAAAAAAAAAGTTTTCCTAAATGTGATGGGGATCAATAGCAATTGAAGCAAGCTGCTCAAAACAGTCGGTCTTTTGGCTGTACGCCTTGATTTGACTAAACTACGACTGAAAAACCACTAAAAAATGAGTATTTTTGACCAAAATCTGAATCCCAAAAAAAACCGAGCTACCCCCTTACAAAAAATGAAAAAATTTGTCAAAAAATAAATTTTCCTAAATGTGATGGGGATCGATAGCAATTGAAGCAAGCTGCTCAAAACAGTCGGTCTTTTGGCTGTACGCCTTGATTTGACTAAACTACGACTGAAAAACCTAAAAAAAAAAAAATCTTTTGACTAAAATCTGAATCCTATTTTTCAATCCAATGGCATTCCAACCTGGAAAGTTTTTATTTTTGCCATTTTCCGCAAAACTTGACTTGTAATATAAATGGGTGTTTTAAAATATTAATAAACATTTTGTTGAACTAATTTTGGACTGCATCCAATAAAGTCGTGCAGTTCTCATGACGGCATTTCAATGGATCCCGAGTTCTTTGGCATGTTGATGAAAATGTAAGCTTCTCAAGGTGTAGGCCCCCGGAGCCCCTCCAACAGCCCATTCCACATATAAATTGCCTCCTTCCTGGCCCAAACCCCCGCCCCCTTTTTCTGCGCCCCCTCAACGCTTCGCTGACTTTGCCTTTTGCTTTTGAAGTTGCATATCAACACACATATACAGACAATGGCCCTCCGCCCACCGCCCACTTCCTCCCACCTGCCCTCCCATTTCCACATTTCCACACTTGCACACACATGCGGCTGGCACTTGTTGTTGATTTTCTTTCGTTTTCCTAGGCATTTTCATTGCCAAGGCCGTGGGGACCATGGACTGCAAGTGTTGCCGGCCAGAAGTTGATAGTCGCGGATTTGGTGGAATTTTCGCTGTGCAAATTGCAATTTGTTTCGGTTCCGAAATGGGGGGAAAATTGAAAAACCGAGGGGCCAGTTTTAGGTGTCAGCTCTGCCAATTGTTTTTCGAAAAGGTCGTCGCAACTGCATTAATGTTATTTACGTGCCGCCGCTTGACAATCGTCTATTTGAAATACCCTTAAATCTAGGGTAATGGCGTTTTTAGACCAACGTTATGTGACCGAGAATGATTTATATATATTAACCAGAGGTGTAACTAAAGATTATTAAACGCTGTTAATATATTGATCAGCTGTACCGGTCTGGTGACGCTATAATTCCCAATCAGTTCTCGCACGCTGTATGTAGAATATTACTACATTTTCAAATTAACAAAATGTTATTAGGAAATGTTATTTTAAAAACCTTTGCTTAAAATGAAAAACGAAAAACGTGTAATTAACACTTCGCCCACACAAATGCCCTTTTTAAGTAAAGTGTTGTTTCGCTTTCATAATTTTTAGTGCTGTTTCAGTTGGCAAATTTATTTAGTCGTTGTCATTGCTGATTTTTCTAGTGTCCGCACACTTTGTTGTCGGGTCTTTTGAAAGCTTCAACATGCTTAACCTTAACATGAATACAAACAGCGCACGAGAACTGCAATGGCAATTGCAATATTGCACTGGCAATTGCATTTGGAATCTGAGTTTTTTCTACCCTTCTGTTCTTTTTTTTGTTTTTGCGGGAGTCTGTCTCTTGAAGTTGTGACGTCAACTTAATTGCATTCGACTGTACAACGAGTTATTTTTGAGTCGGGCCGAGTTGATTCATTTTCATTAGGGTTTGGTTGGTGTTTTATTGGGTTAGCAGCTGGTCGCCAGAGCGGAAGTTGCCCTTCGGGTGTGCGTGTGTGCGACACACTAGGGGTGGCATCGGAAAAGGAGACACGACTCACGCACAGGAAGTGGCAAATATCTGAGATCTATGGGTTACAACCTTAGTAAGATCCCCTAAGGGAGATACCACATAGACAAACAGTAAATTATTGAATACGGATAATAAATATCAGCTAAAAGACTTCAAAGTGACAGCGTGTCATTATGCAATCTTTGAAAAATTTCCCTAGCTATAAGCAGATACAAGATCTGTAAAGTATTAGCAAAAATGTATTACTAAAGCTTATTATATGTACGACGTACATTGTACGTACATACAAAAAAGTAAAGAATTCTTTAGTTAATCTAGCGACGAAAAAACCGGTCTCAAACTAAAATTTATCAAGAAAACAACTTTGTGTATGATATTTTATTTTCATCTTGGACTGGTCTAAAGAGGCAAATAATGAGAATAAGCCATTAAAGTCCATAAGGCCGATAACTATCGTGTTACGCTGTCATCGCTAACGATCTATTTACGCGGCAGCTGGCCCAAAACAAAACCTTTTTGGTCATCCACTTCTGCGGCTAGTAACTTGGCATGCAGCTCGGTGAGGATCTGATCGGATCGTATGGGATGGTATGGGATCGTTAGAATGGAGAAACCGCAACATAGCGTGCTCATAATAGGGATACCACGGGTGGGAGAAGGTGGGAAAGAGTATAGGTAGTTAGGAACCGTAGTACCCACTACGTGCTCCTCCCCCATTTGAATCCCCGATTGGAGACACATGCTCAAATACAATGAGTCGCCACTGTTCTGCGTCACTTAAATTGACCATTTCCGTTTGGAGGGGGGCAGGAATTTGTGGGGGTTGGGGCCAAGTGGAGAGGGGGTCATCTTTGGGATGCGAAGAGAAGATATGCCATAGATGTCGCCGAACCCGTCAGACGGGCTACTTCTAAGGTGAGCCGATACACGACAAAAAACACAGATGATATATCCATATCTTCGGTCCTCTCATATAGTATGAATTCTGTCTATATTGAGGGACACAACCCCTACCTTACGATCAGAATCCAAAATCCCAAATGATATAATGAAAACACTGGAGAAATTATTTAGGCCATATGGGATTGCTGGGTGATATTTCTTTCTGTGTATATAAGACACGAAAAATGATGAAGCGGGAAGATTCTTGAGAAATAACGAGAAAAAGAACACCAAAGAAAAGAGGGGATAAAGATAAGGGGAAGATTGAGTAGGGGAAAGCTAGTAAGAGGAACTCCAAAGAGGAAATGAAAAGTATGCTGGAAAAGAGAAGAGTCATGAGGAAAATCTGAAAAGGTTAACCAGAAGATACAATGTTGGAAAAATGAGAAGAAATAAACAGATTTTTTAACCATGATTGGATGTAATAAAAACATATAAAAACCTATTTTAATGAAAGTAAAAGCTCATTTGCAATATCATCTCTAGAGCCGAAGCTCAGTCAGTTGCGCAAAATTAGCTGTGGAACCCATCTGTATACAATTACAAGATCAAATAATGCTGATCATAATCAAATGACGTAATGAAAAACAAACAATGCCTATGATTATGTTCGCAATATTATCTAAACATAAAGATTTTTCAGGTGCCGCAGAAGAATTTGCTGAACTCCATTAGGTCTTCTTTTGATGAAGAGAAGCTTCTGTTCAGCTTTAGGCAACGATACCCAAAGTATTGCTGATGATAGAGACACTATCATCTCTTAATATTACAAAAAAATGGTAACATCTATTTAATAGTGTTACGTTTCAGTACTTGCTATGTCATTACTGAGCCCCATAAACTGTAGAACCGCAAGAACTCTTGGTATCACCTGACTTGCGACAGCCGCCGATCAAATCCAATTGGCTCAAATGAGTTCTAATCAAAGTGATGCTCCAAGGCTGACATCTTGCTTAATCTCGGGGGATTATATTATAGTTATACAACTAATCCGAACGTCTATATCTCTGTCCCTGTCGCCCGCCTCGGCTTTCTCGTTCCTCAGAAGTCATCGGTGTTATTCAAAAGCTCGGCTCGAAAGCTTCTCTTCTCTTATTTAGACAGCTTTAGTTGGCAAGATGAAGAATGCATTCTTCTGTTTTTTTTCACTAGGTTTGTTTTTCGATATTGGATTAAGTATGTGTGATAAACTTACGCAAAATTCCGTTGTCTTCTCAGGCTCTTCCTCTGGCTTTCTGTTTCGTTATTCTTCGTCTTATTTTTGTCACAGCATGGCCTGTACGCGTGTGTGTGTTGTTGTTTTGGGGCTGCTTCTTCTTCTTCGGGTTTTTTGTATTATTTTTCGAATCAGCTGCCAGGTGGCCGTAAAATTTGCATGGAACGGGTTCTTGAATGCAGCCAACAGTGACTCAAATAATTATATTTTCGAAAAATGGGTTTTAATTTTAAAAAAAAACCGCGCACACACACTCACTGCAAAAAATACGAACGCAAAATGGAAATTCTCCAAAAAAAAATATGTCGATTAGTTTTTCTGAACTGTCTGGTCGAATTCCGTATATGGTATACTGGGACTTTTCTCGATTTTCGCTCCGTGTTGGCTGTGTTTCGAATTTTTTGTAATTTTCCTGTGTTTTTCGAGCGCCGCGTAGACGCTCGCAATGGCTTTTGTAGCACGCTGCGTTTGTCGACTGCCGCTTGGTTTTCAAATTTCACAGCAAAACTCAAAACCCATTCCATTCTCATTCCATTTCCCATTCCGCGCCATTCCGCTCTCCATTTCCAAGCCGTTCTCTCTCGCTCACTGAACAGCTGGCGCGGCGAGAGCGGCGAGAGTTTTGGTTTTTAATTCGCTCTTTTTCGACGCTCTCTCTCTCGGGAGCTCTCACTCTCTCGCTCACTCTCTCCCGCTCTCAAATGTTTATTTAAACGAATTAAGCCTTAAATTAAACTGATCGCTAGCAATGAACTAAAATTGGAGCAGCAATTGCCCAGGAGATATACTTTATTTTAACCCCCCTCTGTAGGTCTTTGAGCCCCCTTTCCCATTATTCTTTTACGCGACTTCTTTCCTGCTTGGCTGGCTCCAATTTCGTGTTTTGTCCACTTATTTTCGTGCGTTTTGGCCCTCTGATTCGATTTTCTTTTGTTTTGGCTTACGAAAAGGTGAGGAAAAACTTGAAATTCTTAATATCTGCACTGTAAGAAATTATGGTATTATGATCTTAAAAAGTATCTAAAAGATAGGTTTGTAAGGTACAATATACACTGCAAAAAACATTCAAGGGCGAATTTTTATATATTTTCTGTGTTTATATATTTTTTAATTTATTCCTATTCAATCTCTGAAAGAGCAACTGATCTCGTTTTTGTTGCTCTGCATAGAAATCGTTTAGAAATGGTCTTCAATCTGCGGGCTTATAGAGGTGAGCTCATTTAAAAATTAAAGATGCATTATTCAAAAAAACCTGATTTTGGAAAACAAATTTTGGGTATACAAAGCTGTGATTAGAGTGAAAAGAGAAACTTTCATAACAACGGGGGGTAAAAACAAAATTCCTTAACGTCAAATATAACAAATCAAATGATTTTTTTATCGTTGTATAATAATGGTTGATTGATTGATTGTCGTAATTTATCATTTATTTGGTAATGACTTCGAAAGTACAATACGGTGGAGTTACTTTTTCAATCTAAATCATGTTCGGGAAATAGTATGAAAGATGTAAAGATCCCGCCCAAGTATACAATTTTTTTATATTATACAAATTTGCTGATCTCTTCTACATTTGTTTATCCTAGAATATAATCTGAGTTTTCCTTGTCTCAGCATGGGTTGCTCGGGACGTCTGGATGGATCTGGATAAGAACGTGTTTCGCGTCGAAAACCGAGTGATATCGGATCCAATTGTTTGCTAAATCTTTCGGCGTGTGCGCACACTTTAGGTCTGTCAGTCAGTCATTGAGTCAGTTAGTCAATTGGCCAACCCAACCATTTTGCCCCTCGATATACGGTCAGATCTCAAATTACAGTTATGTCTGTATACGATACAATTTGAGTGTGTGGGGAGTGCCTTTGGCATTGCAACCGCATTTCGGCCTGGATTCCCCCGCCCTTTGGCTGGTTTTGTCTTACGTTTCGACCCTAAAGAAATCGTTCGTATCCCCATCCCCATCTCCATTGTATCATGCGGCGTGTTCGTGTTGCTTTTAATTTTAAATTAAGGTTTTTTCGGGCCCGCTCGTCTTGACATGGCCTTTTTATGGGGCCACAATAAACTGCGCACTTTCGGGCATACAAAAAGAAATCAAAACCCCAAAATAAAAAGTGTAGAGGTAGGGAAAAATGTTAAGTGCGTTGTCATTGCCACGGACATGAGAAGCGAGTAAATGGAGCTCGAATTGAAGTTTGAAGTTTTGAGCGGGTCTTACATAGGGTTGTGTTATCTCAAATACGACTGCACCACCACACTTCCACGAGTTTTGGCTTCAAAAATATGTGATCAGAAAGTAGGATTCTGTAAGGTTGTCCGTTCAAGGGAGAGATAGCTGTCCGTACATCATAAGTTTTGATCGCTTAATTTTTGTATCATAAGATATGATTTGTTGAATCTACAAAGTAGAATATTATCTGTTCTATACTCTGCATACTTCCATTTGATATTGACTTAAGAATCGACTAGCACATGTGCAATTAAACAGCAAGCAGAAATTCTCTCCACACAAACTGTACCCACAAGAAACTCCGAAAACATGTGGACAATGGTATCGTTGGTGGTACCTTTCACTTTGCCAAGTGTCACGTCTGTCGCAATCGGTCCATTAACCACACGCCTCCTCGCAGACCCGCCCCCGACCATAAAAGTACTCGAACCAGGTATCGCTGGTATCGATATCGACAGACTTATGTACGTGAGCAGGAGCACGAACGCTGATTTGTATTTGTACATATTTATCTCAGTGTGCACCGCAATGGACCTCCTTCTACTTCAAACCGAAAACCATCTCTCTCGTGCTAAAAACTCTCTCTCCGAGAAATTCGCTCACTCATTTGTGCAAATCTCATTTTTTGCAGCTGCTCCTGTTTTTGCAACTTCCTTTTTGGGTTGCTTCCTTAAAAGAGGAGAAAAATGGGATGGGGAAGAGAGGGAGAGAGAGCGAGAGCAAAAGAGAGAAAGAAAGAGAAAAAAGGGGGTTGGCAGTGCGGGGGGTTGCAGCTTCCTTTTATGTCTGGCTTTTTTTACACAGAGAAAAATGTGATCGAAGATCAAAATAGAAAAATATTGCCTATCTTAAGGCTAAATCTAAAAAAGACTTCAAAATCATAATGAGAAAGATCTGGTCTTTTGGATCTAAGAGTCTTCATTAAATAAATGCTCCTTTTGAAAGTATCAACTAATTAATTATAATTAAGTTACATTAAATTTTAATTTGAATTATTTTTTCCCCTCGTGTACCCTACGTACGTGAGCATTATCGAACAAGTATAAAAACAATTCGCAGAACGTTGCAAGATCGACGATCAAAAGGAGTCTTGTGGAAAGTACTGGAAAACAAAGGGCAGGTCGGTGGACCCCAGCCTTAAACATCCCATGTTTTCTATATATAGAGTGAGACTAGGCATATGTTTTCCAGTAAACACAGATCGTCAATGTCCGTGGTACTAAAATTCATCAGGCAGACTGGAGAGGATTCATCTTGAGGTGCTAAGAATAGAGCTAGTTTCAGAGGAAAATCAGCACGGAGACGAAGACCTTCAAAGATCTCATGCAAGATCGTAAAACTTTCCCAAGGAAGTCACATATTAAAGACAGTCGTAAATAAAGTTACTTCTAGGAAGTTTAATGTTTTGATCAAATTAAATTACCAGAAAGCACACACAAAGCTTTAAGAGATCATCAATAGATCATACTAGAGAGTGGTTTGAAAGTACTTAACAACAAAAAAAACTTTATGACTAAAAAATTGTTAAAAAAAATAATTTAAGTACGCTGTATTTATAATCTTTATAAATTTTTTGGGACTTACGAATTTTAGACATTTATCTTCCTCCGAATACCATCGTTAACATATTTCTTCATTTTATTTAATTGACCTTTGAACCTCTTCAATTTGTTGATGTACGCCCAACATTGCTTTTAAAATGATCATTAAGTGATCAATTTGACAAACATAAAAAGTACATTGACTTATCTTTAAGTGATCTTCCCTAGCATTCAATCCAAAAATCTCAAAATAGAACCATTGAAATTAACCGAATAGCTATGTGGAAGAACATGTAAATGTTCAAGCGATCTCGCAGCCTATAACACTTGACTTTTTACCATCCCCCTTTTCCCTACCAATCTTCGTAGGAACAAGCATTTTTATGGCCGTAATGCCCAGTGAAGATTATGTTCGGAACCCCGACTTGGGACTATAATGAGGTGGAAACACAAGAGCACAAGTGCGGATCGCAATGACTCAATGCCGAATGGTCGGTGATATTGTGAAATGGCTTCCCTTCTGCCGGCATTCCAGTCTTGGCCACTTCGATACTGAAAACTGTAGTTACGGGTATAGGTATATATCAGTCCAAAACGAGAAAACTTGCTTGGCTTTCAATTACCAAGTCGTGGGCTTGGCTTTGCTTTTTTTGTGTTGGCCAATTGGGTGGTGGTACTGGTATACTTGATCGGTTGACAACGCTCCCGCTCTCTCTTCCCGGAGATTCTCGAGTCGAAGAATCAGTAGGAGAAGCGCAGAAAGAAGTTGAATGGCCTCGTTTTGGTTTGGAGTTCCCCCTCCACGATAAAAAGAAACAAGAATTTAAGGGCGCTCTGGGATTCGAAGCCTGGAACACCCTAGATAGTTTGATAACAAAATTTTGAGACTCAGGAGATTCCTAATCGTGCCATTTTCTGTTTCATTTTAAATTGTTATTCAATTTGTAGAATCACTCTATATAACAATCCAAAATAATAACAAATGTTTTAAATACTTATGGAGAAAGAGAAATTAAAACACCCATTTAACGAAGCGAAAAAGTGCTTTGAAAGTATTTTAGATTTTTTTTATAAAATCCAAACTCATTTTAAAAATTAAATTACCCAGTCCAGTGAGGGTATGCTTTAAACCACCTAAGAAAGCATACCAAAAATGCCAACACAAGCCATCAACTTGGGAGACAAAGCAGAGGAACAAAGGCAAAGTATCTTTGTATCTGTATCTGAGCACTCTGGCTCTGTGTGAGCCCGTTTGTTTGTTTTTTATGCTCTACGCGTCACGTACTAAGTGCCTTTTACCTGTTGCTGGCTGCACAACAAGTTTCAGGTGGGGTCAACGCCGATAACCGATGGGCCCGGCGATAGCGATTGCCGATTAGCGATTGCCAGGGCGCCGTCGAAGGATATGTGATGTACGTACGTATACAACTAGCCCTAGAGGCTCTAGCCCTCTTACCTGGCAACCGGTTCTGCTAACAACAAACAAGGTGAGAGAGCCGAAACAACGTCAGTGATGCCAAAAGTATTTTAATGTGGTTAAGAATAGATAAAATTATATCTAAAGAGCTTACTTTTGTTTGCTATCAGGTTTTGGCTAAAATTCAATTGGTGTCTTACTTTTTTGTCTAGACTTCAGGAATTTACTCTATTAAAAATAAAGTATTTAAGATTTTTAGAAGTTTGATATTGGAACTATTTTATTACATTATTTTGAAGTTATTGATTGTTTTGAAATACTGAACACGTTTCATTAGAAGCACAAGACTTAGGAACGCTGTTAAGATCTGCGTTTTCTAAAAATATGTAAAAATATTTTGTGGTCAGCTGCTTAGACCTCTAGATTGATAATTTAGATATCAATAGATAAGTAGATAATTAAAATTGGGAAAGTCTCGTGGCTTAGAAGCATGTCATTTCCCACGGGTAAACTTGATTTTTTTGTTGGTTTGTCCAAAAATAAGCCAAAATCTATGGGCTGACCTATGCTGACCTCTGGAACTGGCTAGATCTTTCTAAATATGGCTTGAAAATCGCCGAAATTAAGTCGCAGCTCAGCGCTTCCTCTCTCTCGACTCACGCGCTCTCTTTTGGCCAGCGAAACGAACGGGAACGGAGTCGCAGCGGCGTTTCAGTTCCAGTATAAACTTGGCATTTGCTGACGAAACGCTGACTGTTTAATTTACTAGAGAGTCTCTAAAGTTATTGGTGCGACTGTGACGTAATCATGTGGCCGCCCAACCACGCCCACAAGACCTGGCTTTTAAGCCTGGCCTTCGGCCTTTGTCTTTTGATGAGCCTGCAGATGCTAACGGTATCGGGGATCGAGTGCTATGTGTGCGACACGAGCGACACGGAGCACCCATTCCAGTGTGGCGAGTGGTTCGAGCGGTACGACGAGCCGGACATCCAGCCACAGAACTGTTCCAGTGTACATGGCGCCCAGTTCTGTGTGAAGCACGTGGGGCGCTTCGAGGGCGGAATCGGGGCAAAGAGGTTCTGCAGCTCGAAGGACATGGGCAACTACTGTGACTATGTGCGGAATAAGGGCGATCGCATGGACTATCGCAGTTGCATTTACACTTGTGATACGGACGGTTGCAATGCCGCTGGAAGGCTGGAACTGGAATGGGGCGTGGCAGCGGCACTCCTCACTCTCACTTGGCTCTTACACCGCTGACAGAGAGCAAGATGGGGAGTGAGAGGGGTAGAGATCACTGCTTTATCATTTTTTTTATTAATTGTAAGTTGTAACAAAGTAACTGACACACAAACCACACTCTAGTATAGAGAAATACAAAACACAAAACCAAAAATATATAAACAAAAACCCAGAAACTAACCAATGTTTGTATTTACGGGAACGTAACCAGCTGGAAATGGAACTACAACTGAGCGGGGAACGGTTGGCATTGGAACAGCAGGTAAATCAGATACAGATCGATTCTCCCGCTCTCTCTTTCTCTCGTTAAGCCACGCTTGCGCAATTTGAGAGAGCGCATTTTTAAAGGTCTTTATGTATTTAAATCAAACAAATACCCTACGAAAGTTAAATAAATGTAAAATAAATTTTATAAAAAGGTTTTCTAAATTCCTAGGCAGATAGTATAAGTTAGACTAAGTTCCCTGTTCTCTGCAAATATCACAGAGTAAGGCAAGTTCAGTAGAGAAGATTCTTTGAGAAATTTGGAAACCAATTAAAGAACACCCAAAGGCATCCAATCTCGGTAAAATTTTAATTGGCTACACCCCAAAAATGAAACAACCCCTGCTGGCTCTTCTAGACGCACAAAGACCACCTTGAGCAGTCGTAGTCCGATCGGTGACACACTTTTTGTGAAGTCTAAATTCTAAATTCCCAGGGCGATGCGGAGACCGCCTTTTTGAAAGCCGACGACGATCTGGTGACCTCCGATCGAACGGCGAACGCAATCAATCGGAATTGGATTTGACATTTTTCCATTTGGCAATTGAACGAGATCATTTAAGCCAGCTCAATTTGCGGCTGATTGATTAAGCTCAAAGAGAACGCAACCTGAGGCAGAAAAACATCTACTCCCGCTTAAAGACGGACGGATAGTTTAACGGACAGACGGACGGACAGTTGCGTAATTGCTTAAATTGAAAGCGCCTTGAGGCGCTATCATTGGGCATGCGACACTAATTCGCTCTGGTCACCGATCTCGGTGAGAGCCATGCCCCGAAAAAAGGGGCTAAAAAATAAGAATAAGTTGGTGGGAAGCAAAAGAGATGAGGTAGACAATCAATGATGAAAAGAATGCGTTAATAATCACATTTCATATTAACTTTGGTCATATCATAAACTAAAACGACCATTAAAGATATCCATTATACCAAAATTAGAACATTAAATCGTATAATGTATTTAAATAAACTGAAACTCTTAGGAACTTAAGTTGCAGTATGTCATTATCACAAAAAATACTTTTAAAACAAAAACCAACCACCGTTTTTCAATTATAAAGCATGATCACAATGACCCCTATTTTAAATAATTTTTCTTTACGTATTGAGAGTCCCAAGCTGAATCCAGACCTTCTTTATAAACATACATATTTAATCGCATCGTGTCGATTCTTTATCAGCATTTCAACTGTCACATTTGGCCTGTCTCCTATCGCTTGTTCTCCCCTCTCATTACGTCTTTCCCAGCTTTATTTAAAAATGGAAAAAATAAATATACAAAATTCTACGATTTTTTGTTCCTATTTTTTAGCTCAAACATAGATAGGAACGAAGGTTGATTGAGAGGTGTTATGGTGTTAAATGGGATGGAATAATGTGAGTGACATTTAAAATGTATTCCAAGTGATGGGTGGGTTAAGTCATCAAAGCTGACTTTGCGTTCATTATACTTTAAAGTATATGTGTTATGGAATTAAGACATGAGGGTTCCCAAGAACTGTAATCTTTTGATTTCGATTGCGCAATGTTAAATAGAAAAATGTATTTCATTAGTTCAACCCCATTATCGGTTTTCAATATAAAATTCGTAATACCTTGAAAAAAAACAGATTTGTAAACAGGAATTTATTTGGAATTGTAGAAGATTTCTCATCTAAAAAAATACGTTCAAGGTCATTGTCAAGACCTGAAAACAGAAATAAATCTAAACGAAGCATACGCATTTGGAAAATTCTCGTAAATTCCCAACAATTTCGAAACGTGTGCCACATGCTGCACAAAAATATAGAAAGAGAAGGAGGAAGAAGAAATGACAGAGGAATAGGGAGAAAAATAGGAAAGGAAAGAGAGGATAATGTGGAACAACCCCCGAAACAAAAACAATCTGGTCAACCCTGAAATTCAAAACTGCTTCCTGGAAAAACCGCTCTCGCCAAGCTGCTGCGTCATTATCCTTTGGGGGTGGATCTCTCCCACCCACAGAGAGGGAGAGAGAAAATCAGAGAGACCGTGAGAGATATATTCAAAGAGACTCCGGGAGAGCCCGGTCCTTTGTTCCTGCTTCCTGATTCCGGTTCCCAACAAAGGAACTTCGACTCAAATACGAACTCAAAATACCATCTCAACTCGAACTGACCTACGCGTGAAAATTTTTGCGTCATTCGCGGAAGCCAAAGGATTCCACAGGATGACGACACAAAGAACACAAAGGGCGGAAGTTTTCCTTTTGCGGAAAACGAAATTTCCAACGACGAAGGTCGTTCACTTGTGGACTTAGTTTTTGGGGGAGGATTCCTACAGCCAAAAAAACGTTGTCATTTTGGGGGTTTTGCGTGGTGTCTAACAGATATTGCGTATTTGTAATGAGGAATATACTAATTATAATAATAAAAACAAGTATCCTTACAGATGCTGTTGTTAATGCATGCTCTAGCTTATAAGCCCAATTCCCACCCTCAATTATCATTATCTTAAAACCAAATCACGTTGTAGGAAGTTACTCAAAAATTCGAATAGCAAATGAGGCCCAGTTGAACTTCTCTGAAATGCTTATAAATCTCCATAAACTGTGACTGGTCTCTTATAATTGGGGGACCAGCCGGTCGGCCCTACGATCCCAAGCCATCCCCCCGAAAACAGGACCCCTCTTTCTATGGCTTATAGCGGTGTCTGCTAATCCGCACAAATTAAATGCAATTGAAATAAATTTGCATGCCAAGAGATTGGCAAATAAACGTATGCAACAAGTGTCCCAATTGCATATAATTTATTGGCAACAAATTCCGGGCAAGGCACGGGGCATAATAAAGCTCTTGAAAGGCAACCCCTTCGGCAGGTCAGAAATTCCCAGGCAGCTGCAAAAGTTCAAAAGTGTTAATTGTCGCATCAATTTCGATAATTGAAGGTATTCGGCGGGCGGTCTAGACTGCAGTTTATAGTGGTGAAGGTGGGGTGCACCTATATCACTTACGGTACTTAAAACATTTATATCACTTACAATAGCCTACACCAAATTTCACCTTACTCCGACCTTATCTTTACCTTTCGAAATGGATATAAAGATTGCTTAGCTCCCCTCATTCCAAATTTCACCTCATTTCCAAGCACACCTTTTAAACTATATCCAAGGAAGCCGATCTATAACTCTCCCGAGCACAGACAACTCAATAGAACAAGTAAGTCACAAGAAAAAAGAATACCTGGCATACCCAAACGAGAAACAGACACGACCAAAAGTCCATTTCGATCTCCAAATTCGATCTCATAAATGTTAACGGTCATTCACCAAAGCGGGGGGTAGAAACAACAATGGCAGCAGCAACAATCTCTGAAAAGAAAACAAAGCCAAAAAAGGGGGGATCTTTATGATCAAGTCGAATAGCAGAATATACTGATTTGAATTTTTCGAAAGACGGTATAGGGGAAGATGCATGGATGTTATTGTTCAAGGAACTGAACAGGTTTCCAATAGAAATTCATGTAATACTCAAAATAGTATCCAATAGTGTTTTTAATAGCTCATTTAACTATAGCTTTCATGTTATTGGATTGTTTCCATAGCAACCAAATATGCTATTGCTATCAGATAAAAAACATTTTTTTTAAATATATAAAAATATGTATTCTTATTTCAAAATTCGAACAAAAATTACGACAAGCAAGCAACTCCAGCAGAAAAAGAGCAGTGACAGAGCGAGCTTAGCACATTATTTATTATTTGATAAATTCGAGAGCTGGCTTTTTCTGCTTTGTTGGGGCTTTTACGCGAGCCAAACGAAAGAAATCACTTGATATGCAGGCGGCGATCGAATCGAAAAGAACACAGCCAAAGAGAATAAAGCAGAACAGCCCCAAATCGAGTTGAGGCTGAATAAAAAATAAGAAAAAAGTGGAGATCTCGCTATAGAGGCGACAAGAAATAAACCTGATCGCTTTGAAGACCCCTTCTTCTGCCGTCAAATATCTCCCCGGAGTGCTTTGAGAGTTGAACTTTTGTCAAACTCAATTCGATCCAAGCCGGTTGGCATTGACCGCAAACTATCAAAGCGAAATCTTGTCAGATAATCAATGGGGACTCCGATTCAGATTCGGAATCGGAATCGGCTTTAGATCCCCATTCGAATGCTGGCCACCGCTTTTGGTGGCACACAGGTGTCATAACTAGCTTGCCATTACACCTCGCAGCGAAGTGGCGCAAGATTTGCAGCTCCGATTTGGCAACAGTTGCCAAAAGTAAGTGCAAAAAGCTTCTCGTACTAATTGATTGCTAAAGACAGCCGAAACGGAGGATTTGTGCGGGGCAAGTCAAATGGAAAACGGTCCAAATATGGACTTGGTTATGACAGAGCGGCATGTGTAAATGTCTTTATGGGGTTCGTTGCTAGATTTTAAACATATTTTCTTGGTTTGCCGCATACTTTGCTATCTTTTGCCTGTGTTTCAGCAAAACATTGTCTCGTGGATGGGAAATTTTCAAAAAGGCCCATCAGGAATTTCATTTATTAAATTCATCTTATCTTTCTATTATAGGGTCTTAAAGTTATAGTCATTTTTTGAGTACTACAGATGAGTACCATTTTTATTGAGACCCATTTCATCTTCTTAAGATTCTATATTAATCTTTTAAATAGGGAATGTATATGATTATCTTCGTTTGATAACTCGGAACCTTTTCGTCGTAAACAATGATATTACTCGTAAGCTTAGTTGAGAAAATGTTCTTTCAGTAGCAGTAACTCACCTGGGGGGTTCGGTATATGCAGTTAGAAAACCTCTAACATCTGGGGATCTTCTGATGCAAATCTATTCAGATTTCCCAGTCATAACCCACAATCTATGACCCATCTACGGAGCTAGACGGTTTCACTGGGTTCGGCCTGACAGCTCTGATACAAACACTTTCGAAACCGCAGCGGATCGCTCGAACTGGGTCACCCAACCGCAGTCGCCACTCGACACAAACTGTCGGCCACGCCCACGCCCCACGCCCCACTAAAGGTGTCTGGTCGGTTTTGGTTTTGTGTTTTTTTCACCCATTTTTTAAATACCAAACACCAAATTACTGTTTTTCTGTCGGCCATTTTGAGAGACTTTTTTGTCTGCCCCCCAAAAACCTGTTGCTTTAAGTTGACATATAACAAAGCCGAGTCTCTTAAAATAAATATATTTATAATAAAATGATCATATAAAAAAAAAAACAGGTGTAAAAACAGACAAAGCTCAAATAATTAATTGCCTAGCGTTAATTGAAATGCATAAATTATACAGGTAGTTTGGATACCTCCGAGGTCGTCGGCCCTTGGGCTCCAGTGAGGGGCGTGGCCCCGCCCGCAGAGGGCGTGGCAGGATGTCGGTGGTGTAAAAGGGGCGAGTCCACCGTATCCAGGCTACTGATGTCCGGATAACGAGGTTTCGCAGGCGTGGGCGGAGCCTCTCGATAGGCATTGATGTCGTTGTCGTGGTCGGGATTGGGAAACTCGCTGGCCAGGTGATAGATGACCTTCTTGAACAGAAACTCCGAGAGGTTGGAGCGCAGAAAGAAGAGGAACATCCAGTTGGAGAAGTTGCACTTGCCAATCACCGCCGATATTTCCTTTTCGTCCAGTTGGCCAGGTTTTGCCCAGTAGAGAGACCAGCGGGTGAACGTGACACTGGTTTTGGGGATCAGATAAGAGGGGTTACCATCTGGTAATTCCCGGTAGGTAATATCCACTTACTTTCTGTAGAAGCATAGGGTGAAAACTCTCCAAATCAGTCCGAGAACCGTGACGGACAAAAGGAAGGCGTACCAGAACCACAGGATGGTATAGATTTTCTCGTTCATGATGTTCAGGGCCATCACACAAAGGGTATCGTGATCCTGCAGGGAGCCCGAGGCACCATACTTGTGGAACTTGCACTTTGTGACCTTGGGAAAGACTGTGTCCAGAACGCTCAGCTCGTCGGACCACCGGTTTCTCAGGGCCTTCGGACCCAGGGTGAGGAAGTGTCCGCCCAGAAATCGATTTGTCCACGTGATCTGCAACAGAAGATTCAGCAGATTGAGCACCTCGGCGGTGACCAAGTGGGCACCCCACGACTGGTTCAACCTCATCCGGTCGATCATGGTGCGGCGAATGTCCTTGATGCGCTCCTCCGCCTCCGCCATCGAGGGGATGTTCAGCTTGCCGATCCGCAGGCTATCGTTCTTCAGGTACCTGGTTAGACCCACCATTCGGAGGCCGAAGACCAGGGCCTTGATCCGGCCGCCCTCCCACTTCTTCCACAGGGAGTGGGGCACGTAGAAGCAGAGGGCCTGGAAGAACAGGACGAAGGGCACCCACTGGTAGTAGGCATGCCGCTTGATCTGGTCCTTTGTGGGGTCATAGTTTCCAATTCCGGGGGGCTCACTTCCCGGCTTATACGTGGATTGGTTCCGATCAGATACCTAACAGAAGTTTCAGAATATGATGTTTTATAGTTATTCCTATTTCTACTTTTGCTGAATGGGAAAAGAAGCCCTATAACTATATATATAACGTTTCAAATTTGATTTAAGCTACTGAGGTCCTGTGACCCCTTGGTGACCCCGCGAACTTACCACTGTGAAGGTGGGCGTGAAGAAGCAGAAGGTATTGATGACTGGTGCAATGACGCCGTCGGACAAACACTGGATATGCTCCCCGATATACTGGCGCGACGTGATCAGCAGGGTGGCCACCAGGAGCATCACGAAGGTCCATCGATAGTGCAGCTTGAACACTATGTTATCGATGACCACCCGCGTGACATCGAACTTGAGGTACTGCCTCACCGAACTGAAGGTATTCAGCATTGTAGCACCCTCGTTATCTTCCTGGGTTTAGGTTCTGGCCCCGTTCCGATTTCTATTTCGTTGGATTTCTTACGATGGTTACGATGATTTCTGGTTAGGTGGCGATTACAAATACGCCGGGTTCTGGAGTCGAATGGATTTGTGCGCTCCGCTTGCCGCGGCTAGCTCCTCGTAACTGCAAGGCTCGGAACTCGAGACATTGCTCCGGGTCTCCGGGTCTCCGAACCTCCGAACCTCCGAACTCCGTTCCCCGATCTCCATTCTCCGTTCTTTTGAGAGGGCTTTCTGGCGCCTTATCGACCGCTCTTTTTGGCCAGGAGAGCCGTCCACACCCGATAAGATAGTGTCGTCGAGTAGAAGCGCACGGAAATGCCGAATCAGCCATTTAATTGGGTTTAATTCAGACCTGTCCAAGAAAAGAGTAAGGGAAATATGAGAACCTACTGGAGTGCACTACACTAGGAAAGATTTATGGGACACTCTTGGCAGAAAGCAAAATACAGCTCTGCCTATTTCTGCCTTTGATATATGTCTTTCCAACTCCGTATCGATAATAAACCTAGTGATTCCATGAAATTAATATGCTTTACAATTTTTTTTAAATTTGGCAATTGCCGATTTATTTTTCCCAGTGCACAAAATCTCTTGAAACCCAAGAAAACCCCCAATTGTTTCGGTAATTATTCAGTTTTCACCCATTTGAAAGCTTCGGCATGAATTCGGCTCGTGGCTTTATGAAAAACCGAAGAAGTCGAACCCCTATGGTTCTCTAGGGTTCTCACAAGAGCGAGAAACAGAGACAGAGAGAGTGAAAGAAAATTTAGAAAACATTCTCAGGGTTTACCTCGTCGATGGGCCTGCGATTCCGACCCAATGATTTCGGCCAGGTGTGTGGGTGAGTAATTTCATACTAATCCAAATTAAAGATCCCAGAGCGACCAGAATAATGAACGTGAGTGATCGAAATAAATGAACACAAATAAAAAATGAATCAGTGGGTGGAATTGTCTATGACTCAAGAGACTTAGGATATCAGCACAATAGTTATTTCCAAATAATCAAAGGCGATGTATAAAATACGTCATCTAAGACGTAAAAGAAAACAAGCAAACTACTTGAAATCATACAATTCTTAAATGGGAAATTCCCTAGAGCAATCAAAGTTTCTGGGCAGTCGATTTCTAGAACCCTTTCTGCCGTAATCTGGAACTCTCCGGGTATTGAAGCGTGCCGCTATCGCCCCAATAGTGATTCAATGCTGTCTATTCTAATGGATGGGACAGACTTTGGATAAGTACATAAGTATATTTACAGCTTAATATGGGCGATCGGATCGGCGAGGGGCGGGATGTTATTGACCCAGATCAGTGCCAGACAGAAATAAGGGGGCTATATAAGTAGACTCCACTGGGACGGATTAGGGCCCCTTCTGTTTGCTTTTCAGCGACATCGGAACAAGGTTCTCCACAAGTGATATTCAGGTGGATATTCACCCTCCACCATTGTATTTCATTATTTGGACCCCACAATCTTATCGTCTAGTCAATCCCCAGAAAATACATTATTTATTTTTTAGTAACGCCCGGCATGTTTTCATTTACCTTCTGCTTTTGGAATGCCATCAGAGATCCGTACTATCAGTTCATAAGTATCTATATCTCTTGCTTATCTAAATAGCTCGCCAAGGAATTCGTATTCTGTGCTTATAACTTAAGCGTTTAAGTGGCCGCTCCGAACTTTGCCGGATAAGATAGACATACAATACCATAGCATACCCCTTTACATATAGAAGTCGTGCGTAACCAGAGACCGCCGACTATATTAGTAATTGCAACATTTTTAGCCGGTTGACTGCTCAAATTTGCCTCTACTAGGGTTTCGCTGGAAATTGCTTTGATTACGTTTTTTAGTATCGTTCACCTTTTTTGTTTTTTTGGTAACGAAAGTTCATTGATTCATATTGGAATAAGAGACATACTGCTATATTAGCATAGCCCAGATACAGATACAGATAAAAACACATAGGTTATACAAGTTCTTTTGTCTTTGGCAATTTTGCATTGAAATTTAAATAAAGCAAACCGCAATGAAAACGAAATTCGAACCATTCAAGCAAGGCGCTCTACACATATTACCCTCGGCTACAGATTCAATTACCAGCCATAAGCAATACCCCTCCATAAGTACATATATTTGCAATACAGACGTCGCGATATTGATATATTCGCATTCGTTGCAACAAAATTCTGCTGAAAAAGTGAAAGTGTTTTTGATACAATTTGGTTTGCGCAATGCAAATGAAATCGTTGATGGATGGTTGGGCGGTTTGAAAAAGTCATATTCAATACGGCGAATGACGCAATTTTAGGTATCTCTTTCTTGCTTTGCAATTATTTGTATTTCTTTATCTATATAGTTAGTTTCACAGTAAAATAATCTAAATGGTATGTGTTCCCATAACCAGTTAGCATCGAAGCGAAGCCCGCTGATCTCTTGATCATAAAATGGCAGAGTTTAATGTCCGTTCAATTAGTAAAAGTTGTTGTCCTCTAAATTGGAAATATACAATGTTTTTGGGTCAAGTCTTTCCAAACTCAAATCTTAATTACTGTCTGACAAGTGTTTTGACATCTACAGAAGTTTCTGAGTTTTTTAATTAACCCGATTGCAATCCGATATGTATGTAAATTCTGTCTGTTGACAGTGAAAAGCTGTTGTCTACGAGAATTTAAATTCTCAATTTAAATACTCATCTGACCTTTCCCTTAAATTCCCCATGATTGACTTGGATTCTAATAACTATTTTTGGTGGGATTCCCTATTTGGGTATCCATAAGATTATTGATAAAGGTATCATTTATGTTGCCATAGCATTGCAAGTAGACGAATGAATAAATCGAGAGAGAGAAACGCATGCGTAGCTTGTTGATGTAGATGTATCTTCTTTTCACCAGATTGTTTTACGTGACGCAGACGATTTTCGGGGAATTTTCAGATATGTTGATGTTCGATTTCGTGTGAAGTCGATGACTAAGCCGAAACAATTAAGCATGTGCCACAGGGGGAAATGGTGCTCTGAATACACAGAAAACAATAATTGTATATATTTTGTTTAACTAATCAATATATATGGGATATAAAAATACTTAGCCTATGTTTAGTACCAAGAGATGTGCTAAAACAAAAGTTCAAGAAAAAGTGATACATATCTTTTGAGGATTCCATGGTTTAAGGTCCAATATTAATTTCAGTGTTGTATAAATATAAAGATCGTGAGAATGACGGCAAACCAATCGGCGATCAACAAACTTTTCTAAATATTTACTTCTTATAGTTGTCTTAAGATGTTCGATGATTTGATTTGGGGCAAAATTGGCCAACTTGTGCGAAATTTGATATATACATATATTGGCGTGGTCGAAAGACAACTGATCCAATCTGATTTATTGGACTCGGTATTGGCGTTAGTGGGCAATTAAGACCTCGGTCTCGCCTCGGTTCGCTGCGGTTTTCTCCGGCTATTAATAGCCCAGACAGTAGTCGTCTCGTTAAGGGATATATACCAGTCGTATACATCGGTGTGCGGACATATAGGCTTAATGGTTTTATAACTGATTTTTATTGCCGCTCTCCCGCTTCCCAGGTTGCTTGGCAGGCAGCAGCTAATCATTATTGATTGAGGGGACCCATTGGTGCAGTTTCTATGAGTTTGTTGCAAAAATAATTTACATCTTTCCCGGGGCTATATTTCGTGTTTCAAACTCAAATCAGCGATCAGCTGGGAGGTGGTTTCTATAATAGATTGAGTTGTTGCATATTTATCTATATCTTTGTAATTTATGACTTAAGGTGTAGTATATCGTTATTAAAAAATGTATAACTATATTTTTATTATCTACTTAGTTCCGGCTAACACCCTTCAAGCCCATTAAACCTCGAAAAGCAATTGAGTGCCTGCCAAGTGGGACCTTCAGACATCCCCAATGTCCGACCATATCAACCCAGATCTTCGATGTCATAACACCTACATATGGCAACCAGTTCGCTTCCCATGACAAATGCTCTATCTCTTATCAGCCTACTGGAACTAGCCGTGTATTGCTACATCTAGACCGTTTTAATTATTTTGTACAATCGAATACACGCACTTGAGAGCAATATATGGTAGTACGTTATATAGGGTCGGTGTTATATATTCCTATAAAGTATACATACGTATAGCTATATACCCCTGATAAGCCAGTATGTGTCCGGATTGAAATGTTTAATTTACAATTGAGATAGTTCCGAGGGTTTTGAGAACAGTGGCTTCAAATTTTTGGACGGAGAGCAGGTAAAAGAGGAATATCGAATCTGAAGAGCGGACCAAAAACAAAGAAAAAGAACGGGCAAGAAGAAGAACTAGTGTAACAGGTAGTCGCGTTTTCGTTTTGTTCCTATATCAGGGCTCTCTTTTCTCTCCACAGAAGGGCATGAAAAATCCCGGTAAATAATCTTTCCCTATACCCGAAACACAGGTAAGTTCTTGTACGCCGGTAAGTGCTGGAATTCACCAGGTATACAGAGGTTTGCAGGTATAGAAATGCAGTGAAAGCAGAGAGTTCCAGTATTGGTATTTCTTTGCATTTCCTTTGTGTTCTCTCTTTCGCTCACCTCTTTGTGTCTTGTTTTCCCCTCTACTTTTTGTGTTGGTGGTGCAGCAGCTCCAATCTGAAAAACAAAACCACTTCAGCATCCAAAAGTACAAAAACAACGACAACACAACGGGTTCCAAGAACTTGTCGCCTCCGCACACAAATACAGACACAGACGGAGCTCCAATATGGCAGATTCCGAGTTAAGAGTTGGCAGGGCGCGGGGTGGGGTTGGGGTCGTGTCCCAACGGGGGGTTAAATGCATCGGCAGACTCATGAGCGTCGGCGTTGCCAGATGACGATAAAATTAAATCATAAATCTTGGGTGCTGAAAAAACAACTGTCTTAACCCCAGAAGGTATGCAACATTTTAATATAATATTTGAAAATTTTGAATTTCTTAAAATAATGTAATAAACGTTTTTGAAAAATTTGAAAATATTGATATAAGGTTTACTTTTTGAAAACTTTGTAGGTGTGCGTATTTCCCTAAATTTCGCATTGTTCGTTTTAAAATTATAGTTTTAAAGATAAGATTGTATACCCTAACCAAATTAGTAACGAGGTAAGGGTGATGACAAATTTGATACTGATATAATGCTTTCAAATAGATAGTCTTATCTTTAAAAAAAACCATACAAGTTAGAAAAAAACTAATCTAGGGTTAATTGAGGATAAGGCTGCCAGATGTACCATGAAACCGTACGTGCTTTAGCGTAGGCCTTTGGAGACCTTAAGCATAACATGTTTTAAGCGAATTATAAATGTATAAAACTAATAAAAACTCAATAGTTAAGGCCTTTTCTTAAATATAGTGCAGCATCACTGAGTCACTCTTCCTCTCTCTTTCTCTCCGGATTTGAAAATGTTACCCTTTTCCTTTGGTCCACTGTTTTTTTTTCAGCCATTCCAAATCGCGAGAGCGCGAGAGCCAGAGAGCCGGGAGAGGAGTGAAAAATAAAATGAAATAAAATAAAGTTTATTGTTTAACAAGATCCACCCCAGAGAGAGAGAGGGAGAGCGAGAGAACAATCGCTCTCGCGCTCTCTCCCTCGCCAGCCGCTCGCTCTCGCGCGACGGCGTTTACCGGAGCCAAGCGACTTGGCTCAGCGGAAAGCCGAACAGTTTCGAACAGTTTGAATTTTCTATCCGAAGAGTGCGCTTAGTGCCGCTGCTGCGACGGCGTTTAAACTTCCACCTGGGTAACCGTCGCCCCCGCCGCCCCCAAAATTTTTGTGGTTTTGTTTTTGTTGTCGCGTTGAGAGCGCGAAACGAACTCGAACTCGAGCCGGAGCCGAACAGAACCGAAGCTCTCTGGGGGATCCAAACCCAACCGAAGATCCAGTGCCAGTGCCAAATCCCACGTAACGCTGCTCTCCCCGATAGTTACTACTATCTTTTTTTTCGTGTGCATTCTTGAAACAGAAACTGAAGAGTAATGGTGGCCGACACGTTGTGAGGAACCCGAATCCGAGTCCACAAGCATAAGTCAGACCAGACAAACAGCGAGCATCGTCTCCCAGGATCAGTAGTATCCTTACCATCCGAAATAAGTTACCAATAAAGTACAAGAAGTACATAGAAGACAGCCAAGATGTTTGATGTCTTTGGGTCCGTCAAGGGCCTGCTGAAGATCGACCAGGTGTGCATAGACAACAATGTGTTTCGCATGCACTATAAGGCAACGGTGATCATTCTGATCGCCTTCTCGCTGCTGGTGACCTCGCGCCAATACATCGGTGACCCCATCGATTGTATCGTGGACGAGATCCCGCTGGGCGTGATGGACACCTACTGCTGGATCTACTCGACGTTCACCGTTCCGGAGAGGCTCACTGGCATCACCGGTCGCGATGTGGTGCAGCCCGGCGTGGGCTCCCATGTGGAGGGCGAGGACGAGGTCAAGTACCACAAGTACTACCAGTGGGTCTGCTTCGTCCTCTTCTTCCAGGCCATACTGTTCTACGTGCCGCGCTATCTGTGGAAGTCCTGGGAGGGTGGACGCCTCAAGATGCTGGTGATGGACCTGAACAGCCCCATTGTGAACGACGAGTGCAAGAACGATCGCAAGAAGATCCTCGTGGACTACTTCATTGGCAACCTGAACCGCCACAATTTCTACGCCTTCCGATTCTTTGTGTGCGAGGCCCTGAACTTTGTGAACGTGATCGGGCAGATTTACTTTGTGGACTTCTTCCTGGACGGCGAATTCAGCACCTACGGCAGCGACGTCCTCAAGTTTACCGAACTGGAGCCCGATGAGCGCATTGATCCCATGGCCCGGGTCTTTCCGAAGGTCACCAAGTGTACGTTCCACAAATACGGTCCCTCCGGCAGTGTGCAGAAGTTCGACGGTCTGTGCGTGCTGCCCCTGAACATTGTCAACGAGAAGATCTACGTGTTCCTGTGGTTCTGGTTCATCATCCTGAGCATTCTGTCCGGAATCTCGCTAATCTACAGGATCTCCGTCGTGGCGGGACCCAAGCTCCGTCACCTTCTGCTCCGAGCCCGTTCCCGTCTGGCCGAAAGCGAGGAGGTCGAGTTGGTGGCCAACAAGTGCAACATCGGCGACTGGTTCCTGCTCTATCAGCTAGGCAAGAACATCGATCCACTCATCTACAAGGAGGTGATATCGGACCTTTCCCGCGAAATGGGCGGCGATGAGCACAGCGCCCACAAGCGGCCCTTCGACGCCTAATCAGTGGGCGTGGCCGTGTGCCAGAGTGCCAGTAAGTCTCGTAAAAATACCATCCCAAACTATCCCAAACACTGTCCCATCATCATCATCATCAAGACACTAGTTTTAGTTAGCTTCTAGACCAAGCCACACTTCCACTCGATGTAAACCTCGATTAAGTCTTAAGATTATACATACGATATACCATATATTTTTTTTGGTAGTTAATTTACGTTTTTTTTTCGACGCTACTTTTTTAGAGAAGACCTAACTAATGACAATAAAAAATTATGTTTTTTCCAACACAACAAAGAAACACTTTTCACAGAGTGAGAGAGAAGAGAGTTCTTCTGGTCTTACGCTCATTTAAGCGTAACCGGCTTCGGTGCGAGCGAGATGGCAGCTGCGCATGCGCAACAGCCAGATATCGCTCCGTCCGCCTCACACACACGGTCAACTAGGGAGGCGAAAGAAAGAGAGAGGAGGAGAGTAGGGGGCAAACCAGTTTGACCAGCAGTTAGTTAAAGATTGTTGCCAGCAGGGCAAAAGATTCTTTTGGTCTTCTTATGGCTTGGCATTTCTCTACACGATGCCCTCTAAAAATCCACAGGGAAGGGTGGTTTCAACTTCAAACTCATATATACAGATTTTCCAGTATTTACACAAGACTGAATTGCGATCTTTCGACACTGATTCTTTTTTTCGGGTCTTCGCAACACTGATTTTGGTTTATTGTTGTTGTACAGCACTGGATCTTCATTTTTTGATTTTGTAAGCAAGTATTAGTTGCGTAATAATTTAGACATTTAAAAACTAAGAATCCAACTTTTAAAGGGTACCACCAGTAGGAATGTTTTTAATCATTTCATAACTGATTATCTATAGAATCTATGCAACTTAAGGCTTTCAAAAAAAATTATGTTTTTATGGGCGGTTTTTTATGGACTACTATAGGGTACTAAATTGTTTAATCTCATCACTACAGTGATGGTCGAACACACGAGCTAACAAGCTCATTATTTATTAGTCGTTTCCATGGCCTCAGATTTTCTTAGTTTGCCTCGATCTTAAGATGTGGACTCTCCGACGACCCATGCCATGCCATTTCTACACAGAGACAAATAATACTAAGATAAATAGCTTATGAATTTAGGGGTACTATTATATTGATAGATAAAGCCGGATATTTTTTATTTACTTTTCAATTTGACTTTAGACCTGAAAGCTCATTATTTCTTTATGATGATTTATAATTACCCCTTACTTTCTGACATTAATTGATGTGAGTGAAAGGTAGTTTTGGGGTTCTCTGTGGTAGTTTTTTGCCGTGTGTTCGTTTTTTGGGCACAGCAGATAAGGAAAACCGCTCTCGACGCTCGGGTCTCTGTTCGTCAGACTCGACTCGTAATCAGCTCGGAGTTGAGTTTTACTCGGGCTGTCTTGAGTTGCGTTGCCCAATGTGCAGACATTTTTCTTTCGGTTCGGGGACTTGACTTGGGACATGCAATGCCAATTAGAAGTTGGGCAACCACACACATACGTGACAGTTTGGGGCATGGGCATGGGCACATATCTAATCGAAGGCGGGAACCTCGGGGAACAGTGCCTTTTGATAAGGTGCGAGATACAGCTACGAGATATGGGATACATAAACGGGCGCTGATGCTGTGGCCGCTGATTGGTGACAAAGTGTTGCAATTAGCACACGTTTTCATTTCCATTTATCATTTATCAGCCACCCCCCGGTGGCCCCACCTCAAGATCAGAGATCACAAGATCCAGGCCCCCGTAGATCCGTAGCTTCAATTAATGGCTGGCACACAATTTAAGCGGCCTCCACGGCTCTTGATGATGATCATAATCAACAAATAAGCGCTGGAAGTGCTCCTGCCGTTCTCTGTTTTGAATCTATGTAGTATATGCAGTATATGGCTATATGTGGTTTTCGTCTGACCGCCAATTTGAGGTATCAATGAATTAATGAATGGACCGCTCTGTCACACCCAAAACCACCCACTTAGACCCCCCCCCCCAGTTGTCCCCTCAGTTGATTGAAATGAGAAACAGACACGCGAAAACTTTTGCTCTCCATTGAATGTGCCTTTTCAAATGTTTTTTTTTTTTTTTGTTTGTTATTTTTACTATACACGCACTTAATTTGCTAAGTCGGCAACTCATTTCCCAGGCTTTTAATTGCATTAATTGCTTTCAATTAGCGCAGAGCGAGCGAGAGTGTCAAACTCGAATCGGGCCAAAAGTGAAACTCAAAAACGGAGAGTCCAATTATTTCCGATTGAAATGGAAATGCATCGTTTTTGGCTAGACAATGGCGATGATGGGATGATTTATTGTTTCCTCAGCGATTGGAAACTCTCAGGTGATTAGTCTTTAATGTTTGACAGCTGCGGGAATGGGTTTTCGTGGTCAGAATCGAGTGTATTTATAGGAAATTAATTCAGAAGCGCACTCGTAATTTGTTATTTTAAATGTTAATGCTCGAAATAATTAAAAAATAATATTATTACATTTAATAAATTAGCTGTTGGCTTCTAAAAGCCTTAAACATTATCATAATTATTAAAGGTAAATGTTTAAATAGCTTTTTGAATATTTGAAAGCCCATAAAGAACTCATGTCTTTATCGAGGCTTTTCGCGTAATCTTATCTACTTGAATTTCACATAATACTAACTTTAATCTACATCAGTCATTTCCATTATTAACCCCAGACTCAGCACCCAAATTCTTATAAACAAAATGATTTCATTATTCCATTGCAGTTTCACGCAGCCGAAATTGGGTTAAGACGATGATAAGACGATGTCGGAAAATGGGGAAATCGGCTATCGGAAAGCGGAGGGAGGATTTAGGAAGCCGACTATGTAGATGAGGCCTTTCGAGCTAATGACGAGCTAATGAACACATATCAACGAATTCCATGGTAAAAGACAAGATCGCAAGCAATAACCGATTTGTGTTTACTGTTTTGCATCAACAACAAGACACGTACAATTACAATAAAGTAACAGTAACAATACAAGTAACAAATACTAGCCGCATCCAGAGATGTAAGCTACAGATGGATTGGTTCCGGATTTTAGTGGGTTCAACGATCATGAGACAATCAAATTTTCCATTTGCCAAGACCAAGCATTTCCCGACATGACCTATGCAAATCCCACGGCCAATCCATCGAGAAGCATTCTGGAGACCTTTGAAAGACAGGAGAAAAGACATTTTCAAACTATATATTTTTTGTGCAGCAGCAAACGAATTGAGATATGATAGATCTATATACATCCATATATATTTTTAATAAGCAATTACATATATATTTATACATAAATATACAGACGGACCGAAAAAAATATATATTTATGAATGCCACATGCGAGTAATATTTATGCTAAGAGTTGTGATCATTGATTAAGACATCTAAAAAATGCGAAAAATACAAAAAAAGAAGACAAAATAAATAAAACAATAATTTACACTTAGTAAAGAAAAAACGCCAGCATAATAATACATATTTTATTTCAATTTTTACACTTTTAATTTAGCAATTTTCGCCAGCAAATAATAATTATAATTCCTTTTTTTTTGCATATCTTTGGTAGCATTTATTTAGTTTAGCGCAATTTTTTTTACACACACCCGAACTCATCAATAAAGAAGAGCAAATAAATTTATGCATATATATTTATAGACGTATATATTTTTGTAAATGAAACGCAAGAAATATACATTTAGCGTTAAGCGTAAAAATGGAAAAGACAAACAAAAAATGAAAGACTCAAAAGCAATATTTAAAAAAAGCAATCGAAAATCAAATAAAAGTGTTTGTAACTGTGTGTTTATCCTCGAAGCGATAAACGAGCCAAGCCCTAAGCTAAGTTTCAATTTCAATTCCATATACTTATAAATACTTACATTAAATGAGAATAAAAACACCCAAAACATGATGATCTTTTTTATGATTTACTGTTTGTACTCGAGCAGAACAACTTCATTTCATGCGAAAATAAACAAGAAAATAAAACAAGGAAAATCGAAACAAACAAGGAAAATCTATCTTATCGGAGGTTTCTCTGGGATTTCGGGGTTTTTGGGGGGCACTTGGTCCTATATGTGTTCGCCTAAAACAATTGCAAACAAGGTTTTGTGGACACTTCAAAGGTTCGTTTTGTGTACCCACCTTGTAAAGGTGGTTTTTTATGAGCAGCTCTCCCAGAACGTGTTTACGCGGGGCAAACTTTGGAGCGAACTTTGCGGTTCTAGTGGTCTTTGATTTCGGGATTTGCCCCAATCCACTTTTCTACATATCTTTTTTCCAGTAGATCTGCTTGGCAGAGCGATATGCTATGGGATTTCATTTTTTAGATGTTACTGTCTCAAGACACATTTACAAAACCTTAAAGGGAGCTCAATATCTTATTATCTCTAAAAATAGGATCATGATTATCTTTGTTGTTTCCCCTATTCAATGACAATTGTTTGTATACTGTCAGACATTTTACTGAATTATTACAGATATATAAAAGCTTTGATAACGATATCAGTCAAGGCCATAAAACCTCTAAGGAATTACTACATTATAATAAATAAAGCTGACTCAAAGTTTTCCCAGACGGTTCAACAAGTGTCTCACCATATCCTGTTTATATGAAGTTCCCCTATCGAGTTTACGCACGTGCCAAATCGACTTTACTCGAGTTATTTGTTTAGACTTGACGCAGTTAAATTAGTTCCCCACACATTTAAAGGCACGTACCTCCGCTCATATTGAAGGGTTCTATTGCAATAATAGATCTCGAGTGTAGTTCCTGTAAAATGAGAGGTAAAATGAGAAAGGTTATATGTAAACTTACTGACAGGTTGTGCATTAACTAAGTTAACTAACCGTATAATAACCCTTTAGAGTTTTTGTTTAATTTCCTGCTGAAATCGCCTATTTGCCGGGGATTACACATAGTGGGTCAGTAACTTCAGATTGTCGTAATCCAGGGGGGGATCGGGGTATATGGGAATCGGGAACTCGAGTAATTCACTACGTCAACATGTCTCTTGTGCAATTTACATGGAAAGTGTGGCAATAGAAGTCCGAGAAGATGTTGAGCAAATTAGCATATCAAATTGAGTTAAACGCTGCAATTGGCCTCAATAAATACGTAAATAAATATTACGGCATGGAGCCGAGGAAAGCGAAATCGGTATGGGAACGCGAATAAAATGGAAACGGGTTCAAGAAACCCACTGCGTCACTAAAAAGTCAAAGTTCTGTGCTGTAAATTAAATTTATTGAATATAATTTATCATTTGTGAGGCAAATACGTCTGGGATATCAAGTGCTATACTTTATTAGCATTGGTATTCACCGATTTTTGGTTTTTTTTTTATGGAAAAATATCATAGCGACCCTCCAAAATGTAGCACCATCCATAGGAACCGATTATAGCTGTCCGAATTAATCCAGAATTTCCTGGTCAACGCTTGTGCTGCATTTCCCCTGCCATCTGGTATATGGTTTCATTTCCCGAATGCAGTAAACTGAACAATCAGGTGCATATAGTGTGCCACAGATGGGTGGCCCGCACACACACCTTTCAGATGACCTTGCACTTGCAATTGTCAAATTAATTTCGCGCAATTTTGCACAAAAGATTTACGGCAAAAACACCCCCATGCGATCAATTTCGGAGGCGACCTCTGGCGGCGGCTGCGCATACCGCTTACGTAAGCTCCATTTCACATAAGCCCCTAAATTTCGCTTTGGACACAATTTATTTATTTAAAAAAAGACCGCTTTTCGCTGTGAGTCTGTGAATCGTTGACGGTTTTGTCGTCTCTGATTTATTGTAATGGGTGTTTTTTTTTTGTTTTTTTGTTGATCTGCCTTCATTTTGTCGCAATTGTGTCTGGTTTTTGTTTTAATTCTTTGTGCTTCTGGCTCAATGCGATAAATTAACTTCAACGGGGCGAAAACAGACTTCCAGTTTGGCCTGTTTTTAATTTTTCGTATACAATCTGAAGATGTTATTTATAAGAACTTGCATATATTTGTACGATATACATTTACTTACTGTAAATGCTTTTTTTTGCACTATTTATTAAACGACCTCTAACCTCTTATAAATCGATTAATTAAAACCAATTTGTGACACTGGCTAATTAGTCGTCGCTCATGAGAAATTAACAAATGAAATATGTGAGTACAGTATCGAGACTTTTGGCATTAGCATATCACAGTTATCGGCTGGAAAATTACCCCTTTTGTTTATCGCAAATTGAGGACTTTGTATGCAAATCCTCCCGGACAGGGGCTCGAAATTTTAGTCATTTCTGCTTTCTGTTGTGGTTTTTAATTTTTCGGGTCTTTTGTTTATCGGACTCTTTTTGTTTGGAGAAATGAGTAATCTGTACACAACTGAAATACTGCGTTCCATAAACACACTTTTCGGCGTCTGTGATTCCGATTCATATTGTGATTATGATACGGATAATGGTTCTGGTTCTCGTTCTGGATTCAGTCCTACTTGGGCCATCGAATTGCGGAAGTTTCAATCGTTTTTAATGAGCCTCATCGCACTGACACAGAAAGTCTATTTTGTGGAGGCGTCTTCATGATGGAAATACCCTCAGTTCTTTCGGGTTTGTTCCCTTTTTGGATAGGAGGCGGGTTTATCTTAATACAAAGAATAAAAGATTAGAGTTTGGCTCACAAAAGATTAATTTTGGTTACTAAGCCCCATTTGTGCTACATTTTAGTCTCATTTCATAACTATTTAGTTACATATTTCTAAATTGTAAGTTAAGTAATTGTAGTTAAGTTAAATTGTAGGGTACACATATTCGAACACCTAATAGTGTCGACATTTCCCGTTGGATCTGCTTTCCATTTTCCCCCAATTTCCACCCACCTTCCCCCATTTTCTTGCGGAGACAATCAACGTTTCTAATTAGCCGGCCAGACGGGCGAGTGCCCATTAGACATTCTATGGGGGGTTCGTGCTCTGGTTTATATATAAGCCATAGTTTTGAAATCATGTGGGACGATACAATTGACGCGGCCGGCATTCAACACCTTTCGCAAAGTTGGGCAAACAGCAATCAAAGCAAACAAACAAACAAACAAAGGCGAAAAGCACAAAGCACAAAGCAAGGCAAACACTGCGAACAAGCAAAGTTCAAACATTTGCTTAGTGCAGCGGCGACAAGTTGCATAAATTATTATCGAACAGCGAATGCAATTGCACGACCTGCTACAGTTCCCCCACGCCCCCTTTCAATACCCGCCCCTGCTTTATTTTTCAGGGGAAAAAAGGGGGAGCAACCTTGTTGCGCTAATGACAAATGCTTGTTGCTTGTCTTTCACTCAAACTATTTTGGAGCCACAGGCTCCATTAACTTCACTGTGCTTTTGGATGTTTCGTAATGTAGATCGTAATACGGATCGAAGATATAATTAGCACTATATAAAATGCATAAAATATAAATAAGGAATAATAACAGATTAAAAGTATAATATCTCATACGATTTCAAAAACCATTTATGATTACTTGATTGAAACGCAATTATATCATGACTTAGAACTGTAAAACTGGTTAAAATTGTAACATAAGTGAAACCTTATCATACCTATGTGATAAGTTGGAAAATATTGATTCAAGCTTAAAGACTTCCGAGAAATACTATGCTTTATCCTAATTTTTCTTCCCACCAGTCATCTCTTACAAAAAATCGTTATATGGTTACCCAAACAGAAATCCACCTGCAATTTATGTAAATTCAGATATACCTAACTATAATCACAAACTCACGATAAGCAAACACACCGATTATAAAGGAATTCACGAAAGAGCATTTTCAAATTTACTTAAAAATTATACCACGGCTGTTCAAACATTTCAAATTGAAAGTAGATCAAATGCAGTGCTGCATTTGCATCCATTTAAAATCACTTAGCATGGCGTTAATAGGTAAACTTTACTGGAGCATACGAGTATTACCAAACAGAAGCTAAACAAAACCATTTAATGCTTACGGGGCGAACAGGATTTTGTATCGATTAAAACATGTATGAGGGCACGAAATCACGTGCATTCTCGCTCAAAGAGGAAATTTATGAGGCTTCATCGACACCTCAAGGGGCTCATTAAAAAACACATTCAGGTGCTACAAATCTGTTCATGAACTGCAATAATTCCAAATGCGATTAACATTTATACAGGGGAATTTTAATAATTACATTTAATACCCTCGCCGAGGCTGTAGTTAATCAATAATAAGAAAAGCATCTTTAATAAAATCAGAAGTGTATAAATCTGGATTGAAACATAAATTAGTATATATTTTTTCTGGATCCCGTTTAATTTTTTGTTTTTGTCTAGGGTACGGTAATATTCGACTCCTAGTTTTCTGCCTTTTAATTCTTGATTTTAAATGGCTCTCCCTCGAGCGATGGGAAATGCAAATGAGATGGAAAACATTTACAATCGAGCCGTATGAAATGCGCTATCAATTACGGCGGTTAAATGCCAGAGGATCTCCATTCTCGGCAGGGGGAAAAGGGAAGGCGATAGGAAGCCCTAGGAGGGCAAAACGAAAGACTTAGGCAACGAACTCTTGTAGCCCGCTGTTAATGAGCGTTTAAAAACGCCTCGCATTGGAATGGAATGGCATGGACATGGATGGATAGGGCTGCTGGACTCTGGTTTTTGGGGCATGCCACCAAGCTGTGTGGCGAATTGTGCTGACTCCCCCATACCCCCCCCTGTTTTTTTTTTTGTAGAACTGGCTTAGCCTTTAACGAGTGTTTCCCACGCTTGAAAAATGACTCGCGAGCTGGACTCGAAACCTGAGTTATTTTCTCGATCCGTTCGAGGTCCGGATTTTTGGACCCGGCCCAGAGCCAGCTCTCTGTGTGTGTGTATAACATGTCTAGCCATGGTCGAAGTCGCCTTTCGGTGGCGCTTGTTGGCTACCGTTGCACGCCGCGCCCAAAAGCCTAGAAGCTGCTGCTGCTCCGGCTGCAGTGGGTTAAGGGGGAGGGCGGGCCAAGGGACAGGGGGCGTGGCAGGGGCAAACCGGTTGCCGGTCTCGGCCACAGACAAAAATGCAGCTAAGGTTGTATAAGGAGATAACGAGCCCGAAACAGTGGAACCTCCAGGAGTGAATTTAATAACTTTCAAAAAAATAATATCATTATTATTATAGTCTCCCTCTCCAGTCATGAATTTAATGTTTTAAGAAATAATGTCATTATTATCATAATCTCATAATAATATCATTAATATTATCATCATTAATCAATTATTAAAGGCATATAAGGAAACTTTCTTGTAAATATGTTAAGGGTACATAAATATTTGCTTTATTTTCATGATATTAATTTGGAATACTTCCATATTCTGTTTGCCTCCACTTATGTACACCAAGTACTTGTCTGAAAATCCACTTGAGCGAATCTCCACTCCCCTCCGTTGCGCACACACATCCATAAACAGATGTATACATACTATTCGTATGCTAAATGCGTTGGCCTGGCTGCAAAATCAAGTTTTGCATTTTCATTTAAATTTATTGGTTTCCTCGCTGGCTGTTGCCAGGCGCAGTGGAATCGAGTGGAGTGACTTGGAGACTCGAAGACTTGCAACTTCATTGCCGATCGATTCTCGCATTCCAACTCTTCGAACATGGCGTCGCCGCCCAAGAACAACCACACGGCGACTACACTTGGAGTTTAACTTTTATGGGTAGATATAGATACATAGATGAGATAGAGAGAGAGATAGGGAGAGGGGGAGAGACGGGGCACAGAAATCAAATGACATACAACAGTGGAATACACTTAACGTTAGCACTATATTAAAGCTGGAATCGGAATCAGAATCGGAATCGGGATGCTGATCTCGTCTACATCCGCACCTGGAACTTGCCCGCCTTGGTCAGGTATTTGACACCCTTGAAGGGCTTGTACTTCTCGCCGTACATGTCCAGGCGATTCACCTTCAGCCCAGAGACGGCCAGCTGCGAGATCTGGAACTGGACATTCACGGAGGGATTGGCATCGATGTTGGTCGTTCCGGGCGTGATGGAAACCTAATAGAGTAGGGGAAAAATGTGTTTAATGTAAGCATTCTTTGAATACCTATATTCCATAGTTATTATATCTCTTGCTTACCGATCCCCTAATATTTGGCAGCTTGGACACATCGATGCGTCCCACATCCCAGGACAGTGTCTTGGTCACCGAATCGAAGGTGTACTTGCCCTGATTCGGCGTCAGCAGGCAGTTGAGCACGCATCGCGGCATGGTCAGCTCCAGCTTCACCTTGTCCACGGTGCGTCCCAGGGTGTTCCTGGGCCCAATCGTCAGATCCAGACGTCCCTGCTCCCCCGTTTTGATCGAGAAATTGTGCCTGATGTAGATGGGTATGGCCACCACAGACTGGGAGCTTATGTGATACGACATCAGGCGGAAGTTGCCATCGGGCGGGATGAAGGAGAGCAGGCGCTCCGCCTCCCAGCGTTTGAAGCGCACGCAGGGATGGAAGGACACGTCGTCGAATAGGCGAGGATTCATGAAGGACAACGTCAGATCGGGCATGCCGGATAACTTGATGCAGCAGTCGATCTGAAAAAGAGAGTTTTCAAAAGGGATTACACTCTATGCGGCGCTACTTTAATTTTCTCTTGGATATTATTCATCCATTAAGATTGTGATGCATTAATATACTGATTATGAAAGGGTTTCTTCCAAGTGAAATACTTACGTATCCCTGGATTTCCGCAAACACCGTGGATCCCGACTTGTCTATGATAGCGTCCACCTCCTCGATGACATCGAAGTACGCCTCGTTGTTGGTGTACCTCACGCCACTCCGGCGCCAGGGAATCGCCGACAGCTGGCCCGATGGCAGGGTGGTGCTCACACTTTGGAATACACACAAGCGGATTAACAAGATTGTTGTTTTGGGGGGGAGGGATGTGCATCATTGGACCCACTTGCTCTTGCCCGTCACCGTGTTGGCAATGGTGCGCAGGATGTTGGGCGGCTTGATCAGCTCCTTGAGGATGTTGCTCTCGGTTGCCAGCGGGAAACCGTTGTCCAGCATCTCGTCCAGCAGCTCGTAGACGACCACATAGTTGTCCTTGATCACGGACTCAGAGCAGTCGCCGAAGTAGTCCTGAAAGGTGTCCACCACGCGATGCAGGAACTCGATGACGAAGAGTGGCGGCACCTCCTGCTTGCAGGCGGCCACCAGGGACACCGCGTCCCTTTGCACCGTGATCAGGTAGTAGTGGGGCGTGGCTATCACCGGCGGCACGTCCTGGAATCGAAAGCTATGGTCAGCATATAAGCTACATATGTAGACCATACGTGGCAGGGGCGGCTTACATATGGAGCGGCTCGCTGGGCGTCGAGGAAGTATTCGCACACGGATCGCGAGACCACCGAGCGCCAGTGCTTTTCCAGGAAGACCTCGCTGATTGTGGGATAAGCTAGGGTTACACCGGCTCTTCATGGCTTACATAAATATTGACTTACCCGCCGCTGTTCACTATAAACAGACTATGTATCATTTTTGTTTACTATTTAAGCTCGATTTTTTTTGCAATTCAATATTAGGGATGACAAATTGGAGATGGTAGCGGGAGGGGTCTCCACTCCCACACTCACGAAATGGAAAGACAAATTGTTTGGTATATATACATATATTTATACAATTGAGTGATAAACGAAAGGGAGTTTTCGGAGATTGAATTGAATTATATTTCACTGCAAATAAATAATTTTCCCGCTAGCAAAAGTGCTTTTCAGTGGTTTACATATCGTGAGCCCATCACTTATACCTTGCCCCTTGCACATCTCTAATTGAACAGCTGATTGCTGAGGACCGGAACGAAACGAGTGGAAACTGAAACGAGAGGTAAATGGAGATGATCTTTATTTTTGACAAATAACAAATAAACAAAGCAAGAAATTCAAGCGTTTTCTATTAAACTTCATAGAGAACCAACACACACATGTGACGGAGGCACTGCACACACACGGCTCGCTTGAATTTCGCTTGGCAAAGGGCGGGAAAGACACGGAGTTATATAATCGCCGGCTGAAAACACATGAGTTCGTACAGCGGATCCGTGCGTCGTCTGCTGGACAGTTGGCCTGGAAAGAAGCACTTCGGTGTCTACCGCTTCCTGCCGCTCTTCTTCCTGCTGGGCGCAGGCCTGGAGTTCTCCATGATCAATTGGACAGTGGGCGAGACCAATTTCTGTGAGACTTCCTCGCCCAAATGGCCTCTTTTTGGGTCTAATAACAAAACTTCTTGCAGATCGCACTTTTAAGCGTCGCCAGGCCAAGAACTACGTGGAGGAGCAGCAGCATCTGCAGGCGCGTCCCGCATCCAGCACTGACTAAGCAAAATGCCCGCCGGAGTCTCCTGGGGTCAGTACATGAAGTTCCTCGGCTGCGCCTTGGCAGCCATGATGGCCGGATCGCAGGCGGTGCACCTGTACTATCGACCTCTCGAGGATCTGCCCGCCTACATCGAACGGGAGCAGCACAGCACACAGGTGGATCCCACAGCCAAGCCACCGGACTCTGCCTGAAGCCATGTAATTGACAATTTACTGGTCATTAAAGCTAATTAAGTTTATACCCGGTGTTTTTGTAGAAAAGGTTGTTTGACCTGTGTCCTACTATGTCCTGTGATTGCCTACCATCACTTTCAGAAGCTCCAAAACAAGCCCATTTTGTACTTAACCACTTTAATTAAGAAGCAACTCTAATGCTAGTTAAGACTACTTGTCGTGCACCTTCCGGTGGTTTTTGAGGCACGTCTGCTGGCGGAAGGCTTGTCCGCAGGTGCTGCACACGTAGGGCTTCTCTCCCGTGTGGATGTACTCATGATGCCGCAGAGTCTTCCTCGAAGCAAAGTTCTCTGGGCAGTGGCGACACGCGAAGGGCTTGAGCTTCAGGTGGACCGCCCTCACGTGGGCCTCCAGCTCGAATCTTCTGGCGAACCTCCGGCCGCAGTGCTCGCAGGGCAGTTTGTCGCTGGAGTGCATCAGCATGTGCTGCAGCAGCATGAACTTCTTGGCCATCCGGCGGCCACAGACCTGGCATTCGTGGGGCAGCTCCTCCTGCCCCTCGTGCTGCTGCAAAGTGTGGTACTTGAGCGTGTATCGCGAATGGAACTCCTTTTGGCAGATATCGCAGAAGTGCCGCTCCCCAGCGCCGCCTTCCTTGGCGGCCACCTCGTCCTCCGTGGGATGTTTCGTCTTCAGATGGTACTTAAGATTCGCCGACTGATTAAAGCTGGCGCCGCACTGTTCGCAGATGAACTTCTTAAGGGAGTCCCTGTCCCGGGGACTGTGCTTCAGCCGTTTGTGCTTCTGCATGGCTATGCGGCTGGTGTAGACCCTCTCGCATCCTGGCTGGTCGCAGGGATGACGCCGCTCCTTGGGAGCATGAACCTCCCGAATGTGGGTGTACAGGCCGCCCATGAAGCTGTACGCCTTCTCGCACTGGTCGCACTGGAAGGGCCGCTTACTGCCCTCGTGGACTTTGCGGATGTGGGCCGCCAAGGTGATCTGGTGGGCAAAGCTGTGCCGGCACAGGGAGCACTTCAGAGTGTTCCTCGAGCCCCTGGATGCCTTTTTAGGGGACTTATCCCTCCTAAGGGCCGGTTCATCGATGGGATCTGGGTCGGGCTCGGGTTCGGGGGGTTCCAGACTGTGCAGCGACCTCTCGTCCCCTTCCCCATCCTCGTAGACCACTTCGAAAGTGGGTTTCCGTGGGTCCTTCTTCAGTATTTCCAGCAGCTGCTTTCTGCAATCCTCGGCTTTTCTGCGAAACCTCTCGAAGTTCTGGACCAAAATACGGCACTCCAGGCACAGTTCATTCGGCAGCCACTGCTCCATGTCCTGGTTTTCCAAATCCTGGGAGGGATTCAAATTGAGCAACTGCTGCAGCTCCTGGCTGATTGGGATCTCCTCTGATTGGAACTCTGATTTGATGTGTTCCTTGTCTAATTGGAGCAGACAGGTGCGACAGAGCTCACGAGCAGATTCCCGGGTCAAGGTCATTTCAGTTAATATTATAAAATAAATTTTCAAAAATTTGTTTTTAGAAAATTGTAATTTTTTAATGGTATATTTTATTTTAATGTTTTGACAACACGTGAGCTGGCCACACTAAGCTGGAGATGGTAAAACCATCGATGATAATATCGATAGTGTCGATGTTGGCATGCCATCTCTCCTCTTATCGACTTCATTTCGTTTACCCATTGGCTATCGATATCGACAACACCGGCTGTAAATAAAATAAAATCTAATTATTAATTAATTCCATTAAACAACGCAATATATTTATTTTCATTTTATTCAGGTACATGACGGGACCAGGCCACCAGCACAAGCCGAAACGATACCAAAAAAAACCCCTTTAAACGAACGGAGCAGCCGGTGGCCACCAGTTTATCCCTTTCATTGTCCTAAAAGAAAAGAAATTTAGCAAAATGGTGTTCTACTTCAAGAGCAACATAGTCCAGCCGCCGGCGATGCTTTACATGGGTCGCGATAAGCACGAGAACGAGGAGCTGATCCGCTGGGGATGGCCGGAGGACGTGTGGTTCCACGTACACGATCTGTCCTCGGCCCATGTGTACCTGAGACTCCGCAAGGGTCAGACCATCGACGACATACCCAGCGATGTCCTGGTGGACGCCGCCCAGCTGTGCAAGGCCAACAGCATCCAGGGTAACAAGGTGAACAACCTGGAGGTGGTCTACACCATGTGGGAGAACCTTAAGAAGACCCCGGATATGGAGCCCGGTCAGGTGGCCTATCACGATGAGAAGGCCGTCCGTCGCATCCGCTTGGAGAAGCGCATCAATGAGATTGTGAACCGCTTGAACAGGACAAAGACGGAGGAGGAGCATCCCGACTTCCGCGGGCTGCGAGAGGCCCGCGATGCCGCCGAGCGCCAGGATCAGAAGAAGCTGCAGCGGGAGCGCCGCGATCAGGAGAAGGAGGCTGCCAAGCAGCGGCAGCTGGAGGCGGAGCTGCGCAGCTACGCCTCCCTCCAGAAGAGCGAGAACATGCGCACCAACTACGACGCGGGCAACGAGTCGGATGACTTCATGTAGTCGGGACTGAGTCCTGATGCATCCTCGCACCTTTCACGAACATCTCTCGCTGTCCTCTACCTTTTTTTTTAATTAAATCGTACGCAAATCGTTTTGTAAAGACCGCACTTGTACTTATTTTGAAGATATTTATGTACATTTTGTACGTTTTTTCAAAACCTGCAATTATTGGTATTTTTTGAAAAACTAAGCAATTGAAGGCATAGTTGTCTATGATGCATTCGTGGAAAAGTATGTACGAGATCGAAGTGTGCTTTTGTGTTTAGAAACAGTAGTCGGTTTTTTTTTTTAACGAAAATCCCGATCAAAGTAAGCCTTTGTGAGCGGTGTCAGAGAAGTTAGATCCCGGCTGTGTGAGAGTAGTCAGTATTATTGCTCCGTCGACAGAGGCAGCACCACAATTTTCCTTAAAAAAAAAAACGTTGAAAATTTTATTGATTTGAAAATTTGTAAAATGGGTACGAGCAAATTGCCAACACGGGTGAGTTTAGGATTGTCGGTAAAATTTGTGCGTCCACCGAAAATGGTTTTTATTTTTGAGAAGGCTTGCGAACAAGGCAATCAACTAAACTGGCAAAGAATACGAAGAGTTTTGAGAAGGCTGCGGAATCGAATTAGTGCGTCGGGCGACAGGATTTACTTGCAGAATAGGGTGCCTATCCATGTGCCGGTGAACCGCCGGGAGAATTCGCAAAGTAGGAGGAACCGTCGGCGTAGGGCTGCCAGGGAGAGGGCCCGCCGAGCGGAATTAAACGCGGGGACCGAGGTTAACCAAGCACCATCACGGCTCGTAGGTCTAAGAATCACTCTTACCAGGGACAATCTAATCCCGGGTGAGAATCCACCACCACCTCCACCCCCACCGCCACCACCACCACCACCACGTCGATCGCGATCCCAGGCCCCGATTCGAATCAGAGCAGTAATAATAGTGGCAAGTCGACGTGGTAAGTTTCAATCTATGTCCCCAATTTCAAGTTGGCCTTTACTTAGCAATCCCCACCTTTTGCAGTGCAAATACGCCTAGCTCCAGCTGAGGAAGCGGAACCTGAGAACACTGATTTCAGTTCAGATTAGGGAGGTTCAAGATCCCCAATAGCAAAATTAATATTAACTGCATCAAGTCACACATTCAGAAGAATTGTATTGTTTAGAGGCCCTAGAGAATGCTGATATTTTCAACTAGAGGCCCACGCGAATCCAGTCGAACAATTACGTGCATAAGCGAATGCAGATATTTTGGAACCCTAATTGATTGCTAAATTACAATGCGTGTTTACATGTACTATCAGTTATTATAATGTTTCCGTTTAAGTTATTACAAAATGCCGCCTCGATTTTGCATTTGGTATATCGATATAGTTTTAAATTAACAGTGTAGCCACTAACATCTCGTAAGCTCACTGTTGATAACATTAACATTATCTGTCAATATCACTCTGCAGTCTGGCAACTCTGTAATAATTCAAATTTGCCCGGCCATCAAAATATCCTCTAAAGCACACTTTGCGACATTCCCAATCGGTTAAGAGATGGGACTGCTCCGAAAACAATTCACACCATCAGCTGGCGCATTTCGCACAATTTTATGACCTTGGGCAACATCTACAGCTTAAACCTTTTCTTGTTTTCTTGGTTTTTCGTTCATATTTTTGTTGCCAACCTTTATGAATGTTTATAGAGGGGGGCGCCTTTTGGGGTTCTGCTTTTTGCTGTTTGCTGACCGTTTTATGGCTTCAACGGCTTGCTGCCTTTTTGAGTTTCTGGACAATTTGCTGTCAGCACATGGATATGAATGGCTGCAGGGCTGGCAAAACTTGGATCTCTTTTGGCACGGGAACGCACTCATTATCGGTCATTTTATTTTCACGCATTGTTCGCAACAACAATGGCTGGTCGAACAACAAAGGGGATGCCCCCGAAAATGCGAAAAACTTGATGGACTGCGTGTCCTTTTGATTATACCATGCCAATCTTCTTCTTTTCCCAGTGTTTCGTCATTATGGCCAGTCGTAAACATTGATGACAGTGGGGCTGCACTCGGGTTACGCCCCCCATTCCGCCTCCTTGCGCCAGCCACCCCTGATTGATTCACGGCGCTTGTGGCGCACTGTTTTCTCCGATTTAAAATGACTGCGAAGATGTTTTATGGCCGCCTGGGCAGACAACTTATGTAGTTCCTCTCGCAATAATAAAGTGGCCTGACCATGAAAGTGGCCGAACGGGGGTCACACTGTCAAAGGAATCCCCCACCTTTTCCTGGGTCCCGGCAATCGCCATCATTAATCAAACTGGCAACAGTAAGCCCCCACATTTCCCAACCCTCGTCAGCAAAGGCTTCTCGCTTTCGCTCTTTATTGCATTTGTCACCACAGCATGGATGCACTAGGAGAAAAAATTATGGCTAAATTTTAAAACGTTAGCTGTAACTAACAACATTTGTTAGTAATCTCCATCCTATTCGGAAAAATACATTTTTTTTATGGTCAAAAATTAAAATACTAAGATTTGAATGCCATTTGATAGGAATTTTTATTTGCGAGCTAAATATAAATATTTTTGAATTTGGTTAAAAACAGCTGTTTCAAATGTATATCTCATTAATAACATTTAAATATTTTCTCTCAGTGCGGTCAAACGTCTCGGAATAGTGAGAGCATGCACACATTTTGCTGGCGAAGCGGGGGAGTCCCATTTCCAGTCACAACATAATTAGTAACCACAGTCTGGCGCTTTCTTGGCCTGGCCAAAAGACGGTAACTGATTAACTAGTGGCTTCCGGTCCGAATGCAGCTGCACATGCAGTTACGATTAATCATACTGGGCTAAAATGCGGGTGGCAGAGAGCAGGACCTTTGTGTTTTGGTAATCAAATTTCATGTTTGCTGGCACTTGACGTACGCCACTTGGAGGGCATCTAGTTGCTGCCCCTGTCCCGAACATACTGACTATCGTTCATGCAGCCGGTGGAGGATAAAGACGAAGGCCATCCATCAGTTGGACCACATTTAAGCAGGGAACGCTACTCCCTCTGTAGCGTTGGCAGCAAGAAAAGGAGTTTTTAGAGCGAAATCATAGTCGTAATTTCAGCCGTAACTTAGCCAAATCAAAGCGAACAGCTATAAGACCGACTGTTTTGAGCAGCTTTCTACGAATGCTTTCGATTCCTATCACTTTAAGGAACATTTATTTTTTGACCCAATTTCTCATTTTTTATAAGGGGGTACATCGTTAATTTTTGGAATTCAGATTTTGGTCAAAAATACTCATTTTTTAGTGGTTTTTCAGTCGTAGTTTAGCCAAATCAAGGCGTACAGCTAAAAGACCGACTGTTTTGAGCAGCTTTCTACAAATGCTATCGATTCCTATCACTTTAAGGAACATTTATTTTTTGACCCAATTTTGCATTTTTTGTAAGGGGGTACATCGTTTATTTTTGAAATTCAGATTTTGGTCAAAAATACTCATTTTTTAGTGGTTTTTCAGTCGTAGTTTAGCCAAATCCAGGCGTACAGCTAAAAGACCGACTGTTTTGAGCAGCTTTCTACAAATGCTATCGATTCCTATCACTTTAAGGAACATTTATTTTTTGACCCAATTTCTCATTTTTTATAAGGGGGTACATCGTTTATTTTTGGAATTCAGATTTTGGTCAAAAATACTCATTTTTTAGTGGTTTTTCAGTCGTAGTTTAGCCAAATCAAGGCGTACAGCTAAAAGACCGACTGTTTTGAGCAGCTTTCTACAAATGCTATCGATTCCTATCACTTTAAGGAACATTTATTTTTTGACCCAATTTTGCATTTTTTGTAAGGGGGTACATCGTTTATTTTTGGAATTCAGATTTTGGTCAAAAATACTCATTTTTTAGTGGTTTTTCAGTCGTAGTTTAGCCAAATCAAGGCGTACAGCTAAAAGACCGACTGTTTTGAGCAGCTTTCTACAAATGCTATCGATTTCTATCACTTTAAGGAACATTTATTTTTTGACCCAATTTCTCATTTTTTATAAGGGGGTACATCGTTAATTTTTGGAATTCAGATTTTGGTCAAAAATACTCATTTTTTAGTGGTTTTTCAGTCGTAGTTTAGCCAAATCAAGGCGTACAGCTAAAAGACCGACTGTTTTGAGCAGCTTTCTACAAATGCTATCGATTCCTATCACTTTAAGGAACATTTATTTTTTGACCCAATTTTGCATTTTTTGTAAGGGGGTACATCGTTTATTTTTGGAATTCAGATTTTGGTCAAAAATACTCATTTTTTAGTGGTTTTTCAGTCGTAGTTTAGCCAAATCAAGGCGTACAGCTAAAAGACCGACTGTTTTGAGCAGCTTTCTACAAATGCTATCGATTCCTATCACTTTAAGGAACATTTATTTTTTGACCCAATTTTGCATTTTTTGTAAGGGGGTACATCGTTTATTTTTGGAATTCAGATTTTGGTCAAAAATACTCATTTTTTAGTGGTTTTTCAGTCGTAGTTTAGCCAAATCAAGGCGTACAGCTAAAAGACCGACTGTTTTGAGCAGCTTTCTACAAATGCTATCGATTCCTATCACTTTAAGGAACATTTATTTTTTGACCCAATTTCTCATTTTTTGTAAGGGGGTACATCGTTTATTTTTGGAATTCAGATTTTGGTCAAAAATACTTATTTTTTAGTGGTTTTTCAGTCGTAGTTTAGCCAAATCAAGGCGTACAGCTAAAAGACCGACTGTTTTGAGCAGCTTTCTACAAATGCTATCGATTCCTATCACTTTAAGGAACATTTATTTTTTGACCCATTTTTGCATTTTTTGTAAGGATTCCAATTTTGGTCGAAAATACTCATTTTTAGTGGTTTTTCAGTCGTAGTTTAGCCAAATCAAGGCGTACAGCTAAAAGACCGACTGTTTTGAGCAGCTTTCTACAAATGCTATCGATTCCTATCACTTTAAGGAACATTTATTTTTTGACCCAATTTTGCATTTTTTGTAAGGGGGTACATCGTTTATTTTTGGAATTCAGATTTTGGTCAAAAATACTCATTTTTTAGTGGTTTTTCAGTCGTAGTTTAGCCAAATCAAGGCGTACAGCTAAAAGACCGACTGTTTTGAGCAGCTTTCTACAAATGCTATCGATTTCTATCACTTTAAGGAACATTTATTTTTTGACCCAATTTCTCATTTTTTATAAGGGGGTACATCGTTAATTTTTGGAATTCAGATTTTGGTCAAAAATACTCATTTTTTAGTGGTTTTTCAGTCGTAGTTTAGCCAAATCAAGGCGTACAGCTAAAAGACCGACTGTTTTGAGCAGCTTTCTACAAATGCTATCGATTCCTATCACTTTAAGGAACATTTATTTTTTGACCCAATTTTGCATTTTTTGTAAGGGGGTACATCGTTTATTTTTGGAATTCAGATTTTGGTCAAAAATACTCATTTTTTAGTGGTTTTTCAGTCGTAGTTTAGCCAAATCAAGGCGTACAGCTAAAAGACCGACTGTTTTGAGCAGCTTTCTACAAATGCTATCGATTCCTATCACTTTAAGGAACATTTATTTTTTGACCCAATTTTGCATTTTTTGTAAGGGGGTACATCGTTTATTTTTGGAATTCAGATTTTGGTCAAAAATACTCATTTTTTAGTGGTTTTTCAGTCGTAGTTTAGCCAAATCAAGGCGTACAGCTAAAAGACCGACTGTTTTGAGCAGCTTTCTACAAATGCTATCGATTCCTATCACTTTAAGGAACATTTATTTTTTGACCCAATTTCTCATTTTTTGTAAGGGGGTACATCGTTTATTTTTGGAATTCAGATTTTGGTCAAAAATACTTATTTTTTAGTGGTTTTTCAGTCGTAGTTTAGCCAAATCAAGGCGTACAGCTAAAAGACCGACTGTTTTGAGCAGCTTTCTACAAATGCTATCGATTCCTATCACTTTAAGGAACATTTATTTTTTGACCCATTTTTGCATTTTTTGTAAGGATTCCAATTTTGGTCGAAAATACTCATTTTTAGTGGTTTTTCAGTCGTAGTTTAGCCAAATCAAGGCGTTCACCTAAAAGTCTGACTGTTTTTAGTAGTTAACGACATGGGCTAACAATCTCCAACACTTTTCCGTGAAATCTTTTTTGTTCATTTACTTTGGAATCTTATAATACAAATTGAAATAAAATATATTACAAACTCGTAGTAATCCCTTAAAAGTCTTTGGTAGTAATGAGCATTAGAAACTAGCTCGAAGTAACCTCTTGTATGATATACAGTAAAACAATGTGTATATTTGTAAAATCGTACGTATGTGATGGCCACTGCTGGATTTTATAGTTATCATTAAGAGACATAGTGCGGATTTGTTACCCAAAAAATAGTGTATTATCGTAATCGTAAATTTTTTTTATTATGACTTCTATCTCAACAGTTTAAAACCAATTAGGGTAGTACAATAAAATGCATTAGAGGGCGAAAATCCGGCACGACAGACGACGCTTTTTTGGACCATCTAAAATTCTTATTTACGTTTATGACCGCCGGCATCAAAATAAAACTGCAGCAATTAAAGTGATCGCTCATGTGGGAGTCGCTGGAAAAATCAGGAAAAGTCGGTGAAAGCCAGTGCTGGCACTGAAAATTTTATGCGGCTGCCGAGGGACAAAAGGAAAAATGAGGAAATGGCAATGGCAATGGCAATGGCAACTGGAGAAAGGGGAAAGCGGAGAAAAGGAATTGCAAGTGCGCAATAGCTGTATGTTCTATGTGTCCTGTGTGTCCTTGCAACAGAACGAAGACGCCGCCAAGAGTTGGGGGCGCTGAAGGCATCCGGCGTTTGTGCCCACAACAATTGCTGACGTGTGGATGCTGGCTCTGAAATGCCATCTAAATGTCTCTCAGTGGACAAATCTAAGATAACGAAGAAAGAGCGCCAAATTGAAAAGCAAAAAACATCACGCTGCGTTTTAGGAAAAGCTATAAACTGGATTAATGTATTTCGTAAAAGTTTTGTAATTTTTACAAAACCATAGACAATACTTATAAAATTTGATTGGGAAATATTTGGGTTGTTGAAATTTATTCATTTAAAAGTGTTTTATTAACAGAAATCATTCATATGTATACAATGTATCTTTCTTAAAAAAAAACACAAACTTTCCTTCGTTGCAGTATCCTTCTTATAAAGTTGATGTCCCTGGCTCCAAAATATCAAAGGCAATTAAGTGCTGGCCTGAGCCACAAGTCCATAAATCTGAAACGACCCTTAAAAGAAAGAAAAAAAAAACATTATACTAAGCGTTTTTGATTAGCCAATTGTGCTTAATTTTTAACGCAGCCTCCACGGCCATGTCAATCAATCTTTGACACACAATTGGCCGAGATTTGCATGGCCTCGTTGGCCATTTTGCATTTGCTCCCTGGGTCCTGTCCCCAAATGGGATCCCCAGAATGGATGTGGTCGTGTGCCTGAAATTAATTCACATTGTCATGCAGATTCCGCTCCCTTCGCCTTTGTCATCGTTAAACGTTTTGCAGATTAGGCTCTAGTCGAATGTTCATAATTTTGGCCAAATTGTGAGTGTGGTAACAATGTTCATGGCATTTTTATGGGGTGGTCCTGTTTTTTTATGCGCTGACACCGCTGAAATTCTTGTTAAATAAGCAATATCTTTGCAAGTCGTTTATGATATTAGCACTTTGGTATTAATTGGTTTTCATATTTTAGTAAGTACAGGGAGTATTACTATAAGTATCTTTTAAATATCTTAACTATTACTCACAAGAAACTGAAATCGTAGATGTTGGGCTAAAGTAAATACAAACTTTCAGCTTTATGTTTATTTTTAACTGCCACAACTTGTCGAACCTTCGATTGTAGCAGCTTAATAAAACACTTGCTCTTTTTTTGGTCAAGTCAGATGGTGTAAGATCCACATTTTCCAGTAAAACGGTCACAATCTATAAAACCCCTCCCAAAGAGTGTCGTTTGGTTTTCTGGCAAGCTGCAGATTCTGGGCCGAAAAGGGGGTGGTGGTGTTTGATTTGTGGCCCGCGGCGGCGACAAGGTCGTTCTTCTCCTCTTTCCCTTGCTGCACTTAAAGTTCCAGTTCCAGTGATGACACAATTGCCTACTTGAAAACGGCCAAATTCAGAAAGTCAAAAAATTATAAGTACACTAGAAGCTTTAAATTCTTTAAGATATTTGCTTGGTAAATTTCGTTGGAATCAAAGTAATGTTTGCAAAGTACATTTATAAGGTACCATTTTTTCTCTCTTTTCGCAATTTAAAAAGCCCCAAAACATGTGAAAAACATTTTGTTTTAATATTTGTTTGACTTGGTTAAAAGACGGTTGAAAATGGCCATAGGCGCAGCTCTGTTGCCATCACAAATCGCCTGCACTTGAACCCGATGGCCGAGATGGCCAGACATGGAATGGCTTCCGTTTATTGGCCCCACCACCGTGCTTCCCTTTCGGCCATTTACGCGTCTTTTTCTGGCCGTCTTGTCAAATGTGTTTATGGCCAAGAGCGACATTCGGAACCCCACCAAAAAGCAAGCCAAACCAATCGAACCGCCGTCGTGCGACGACATCTGTGAAATGTTGGCCGTTTATGGGAACCCAGCGTGGGGTGACCCCAATTTACTTCGGCCAAATCCGAGTTATTAAGAGTCGAAAGCAAATAGCTTTATACTTTATTGCACGCCCACACACCATAAACACTTCAGTCGAAACATTAAAAAGAACATCTGTCCGTTAAGTGGGTCCTAACTCAATTCGGCCTTATAAACATGGCAGTCAGTCAAAGTCAAATGGTCGAACCTAAGTGAATTTAAATTTTCTTTTATCTTTAATCCCTGCAATTAAAAGGGTTCCCACAAAAACACTTGCTTCGCTTCAAATATAATTTTTAATCGAATTCATCAAAATGTATATAATTGTTTTTGGTTTTATACATACATGTATATATATTTTATGTATACATAGTTTAGTTTTTGATATATTACACAAGTGTATATATAATTGGTTTTGCTCAGGCCTTGTAAATATTGTAAACAAGTTAATTAAACATTAATATTCAACAATTCGTTTTTCTTTTGTTTTCTGAGTTGTGAGGAAAACTGTCTGACTGTGTGAGTTATCGTTAAGTTGAGGTTATAATTCTATAGTTTTGGTAAAGTGTACATTGATCCACATATTTGCCACTAGACTTTTTTGGTAGAGACTTACACACATCTGTAGTTATCTTAGGTCTAAAGTATAATTCTCAGCTTTGGTTTAGTTTACTTCGATCTGGATGGGTTTTTGGTTTTGCAGGTCCCCAGGAGACCCAAGGAATTTAAAGCTTTCGTTAGTTAGTTGTTCATTTTCCACACCATTCTATTATTTTTTATCCCCTACCCTCGTTTTCCGCTCCATCTGCATACAATTTCCATAATTTTCTTGTTTTGTTGGTCGAAATTACTTAAGTTACGATACATTTAAAAGTGCAATACAGAGGTGCTGAGAAAACATGTAGATTCTGAAACTTTGGTCAAGTTTGGAGTTGTATGCTGATCGGATTTTGAGCTTTGGGCTTACAAACTAAATAGTTTCGCGGATACATTTATTTACTTTACGTGTATACATATGTTTATTTAACAATTTGCTCTGGCATCCAATATTGTGTAGTAGGAGAAACACGCTAGAATAATCGGGTTAGGTATAGACTACGTTGAGTAACACTGGATAGGGCTAAGAATACGCTAAGATAGATACTTCTACATATTTTCGGTATATTTAGCTGATAATTTGTTGTGTTTGGTGGTCCTAAATAAAATTGACTCAAATTGACTCTGTGCCAGCACAGAAATAAATATGTGTGCGACAGAGAGAGTTAGGAAATGGCATAGAGTTAGTTGTGAGTGGTAAATATAAGTAGTTGCAAATATTGGACAGTGCTAATCCACCTATCATTTCTTGCTCCCTCAATTGCAGACACCCGAATATAAAAGAATAACCGCATTTTTACTACCACTCAATCCACTTTCTTCTAGTGCTTAAAATATTTTTTCCAAAATTTCTTGTATTTGTTTGTCTTTGAAAATCATTTGAGTTTTAAAATCGCCGGCGTGGCTGTCAAAAAGTATGCTTTTATTGTTTGCTTACACAGCTAATGGGAAAAATTGTATTGCCTGCTTTTAGGCACGCGGACTAGCGCTTTCAAAACTCTCAAATAAGAATTTCTATAAATTCTTATAAATTATATTTTAGACCCCAGAAATCGGTAAGGACTTAAAAGCAATTGAGAAGGCGCTTAAAAGTATGCTGTGAAAAGTTGAACGTTAGGAAATATTTTGTAGCATACTCTTGGGCGCCTTACCAGGTGATTTCAGACCATTTGGGACTTGCGTGCCCTCCTGCGACATTTCATTTAAAACACTCGAAGAACATGGACCTCACACGCGCACTCACACCTCGACGACTTACACACTGACTGTCTCCCATGGAAACCTAACCATGGGACTCCCCCTGGAGTTCTACACCTGCTCGGCGCTCTCGTCCAGAACCATGGAGTGCAGGTCCATCGCCGACCGGGTCTTCCTCGGAGGCCTCGGCATTAAGTAGTGACTGGTGGTGGCCCCCACAAACACCGAGTTCTGGCGGGGACGCGACGCCGAAACATGCGAGGCGTAACCTGGAAACAGACGAATTAATGGATAATGGTTCAGTTACGGGATGAATTAGTGGTCGGGGGTCACACAATCAGCAGGGCATGAATTTCCTCTAGGTATGTAAGAGTGTGGTCGGTATAAGAGTTCGCCGGCTTAAGGTCTACCCATAGGAATTTAATGTACAATCCTACTCACTATACTAATGGAACTGTTTAGTGCAAAGTAGTTTTAATTGATGTGCAATCTATTTTCCATTTGCAAAATACCAAATTGATGGGCAGCATGTGTGGCTTGTTCGGTTCAATTTATTCGTAATTTGTAGGTCACCATCCTTCACAGTTCGTGTCACGTGCTGCTCGTTGCCTTCTGCGATTGGGGAATCCCCTCGTGCGGCGCTGTCCTGACTCAACTTAATAGACTTTCCGCTACGGAACCGAGGTCTCAACTCAGCATTTCCACAGCCTCGCCCCCCGCAGATATGCCTACATTATCATCAGCCCCATCACCATTTTCATGCACAGAAAGAAATTAGTTTCAAGGTATATTTCTCCTAAGTGAAGTAAAATCATTTAGAAATTTTGTATCTCACAAAGCCTACAAGAAATGCATTGTTTTTAGACCAGAAATATTTAATTATTTATTTCCCAATAGTTGTTATATATTTTCTACTACTAAAATTTCTCTTTGTGCACACTTTCACTTGCATGTTTTATGTGCGTATCTTAATCACGGGCCGCTTGTCTTCCTGTCCGTGTGTTCCCTGCATTTCCACGAGATTTAATTGCTCAGCTCTGGGGTGATGTGGATGTGAATCTGAATCTGAATCTGGAGGAGATGAGGATGTGGACTCCGGTGAGGAGAGCAAAAAATCCCCAGCCAGCAGGGGCATTAAAATTGTATTGTTATTTGCTTTCACTTGCGCTCCGCTGCCTTCGCTCAGCGGGCAACTTAATTGTCTGGCAACTCATTAAAAAAAGCGTCCTAGTATCGAGATGCTAAAGGGGCGGTAAAGTGACTACAACTAAATGCTGTATTTACCAGCTAGTGGGGGCGTGGCCCTCGAGGGGCGGTGGCATTAATGAACGCTTCGAATGGCGCACATTACGCATAAGTATTTCGACTTTGTTGGGAAGGAAGGGTCGTGAGGGATTACTACGAAAGCTGGAGGGGCTTGGCAGTGAGAACAGATGTCTGCATATGTTAACCAGTTCATTAAATTCCAGTGCGACTAAGCTGTGCCATATGGTATTCGAGTGGGGAATGAATTTCAACTGATTTGATTTGATATTACCCCAAACTAAAACATAACTACATATGATCCATACTACTCTAAAAAGTCCTTTGCCTTTTCTATCACTTCTTTTTTCCATAAAATATCTTTACATAAAATACATTTTGTTCCACTGTGCCGCTCTTGGCGACGCACAAAAGTATGCAGTACAAGTTGCGGATACTTTGAGCTCGATGGATGTTCGATTTTAATTGCATTCGGGGAGGATTCTAGGGGGATCATTGGCGGGTGGTATGGGGGGTGGTGCTGAAGGGGTGGGCGTTTAAAGGACAAAATGACGTACGTACCCTTGGCATACATGTTGGGATTATAGGCCGCAAATTGACACGTCGGCATATTGAGATTGTGCACCATGCCCATCGACATTCGCGACACGGAGGAGCGCTGAAAAAGTAAAATATATTTATGTAACGAATATTAAATATAAAGAATTTTCATAAAAAACATAAAGCTATATGGTGAAATTGCTAGAAATTTTGTATGTCTCTTCCAAAGGTGTGTAAAAGTATGCTTCAATATAATTTTTCTATATTCCATATAAGTTGAAGCACTACTTTAAGACACCATTAAAAATTCCTATGGAAATGCTGCGGAATCTCAGAATAAGTTGGCTTGCAAAACCAAAACCTTGAGCTTACCTGGTGCGTGGTGACTGCATCCAAATCGACCAGTGGACAGGAACTGCGGTGCTGCTGCTGGAACTTGGGCTGATACGGCTCCAGCATCCGGATCTTGCCCCATCGGTTGAAGAACAGCATGATGGCGCCCACCCAGAGCACCAGGACCAGGCCCACAATCAGGACCTCCTCGGTGCGCACAATGATCTTTGGTCCTGCAAGATTACGGTCACATGCAATTTGTTTATTTGTCTTCGATGTAAGCAGACGACTTCTACCTTTCGCCATAAACATTATGGATTTGTTTGGATTGTAAACTGGTCGCACGTAGCGCACGTAAATAACTCAAGAGTCAGGCTCGAATTCAATTATCGGCGACGTGAAATCTCGGCGATAAACAAATGGATTGTGACTGCGATTGGTTAGGGAAATGGGATTTGGCAATGGGATTTATTAAGCAGCCGAATCGGCATCTTTAGCCCGGCCAAAGCCAGCCAGGGGATTTATTTTATATTTCCAGGTGTTTTCAAATTGCGCGAGTGCCAGGAAAATTCAATATACAATGTACAAACGGCTGCATGTGTAGCATATCCTTGGAAAATTGTTATTCCGCGAGTGGAAACACCACTAATCTATGCTCATTTGAGATTGGTTATTACCAAATTACGAGGGATTTATTTTAACCACGGGAAGAACAGTTTATTTAATGGCATATGCACCAGATACCATAAATCTGTCAAGTAAGGTGGAGCTTTTGTTAATAACTATAAAAAAACTCAACCAATTTTGCATCTGAAACTTTTTAGCGGCACTAAAAATCCTATAAACTTTCTACCGCACTCAAAATATGAAGATTTGGTTTAAATTCAGTGTTCCTAAATTATATTTTCCCATCAAAAATCCTACAAAGAGGGATAGAACCCACCTGTTTCCACGGTGGTGGCATTGGAGGCTCCTGTTGTGGCACCTGTTGTGAATCCCTCCTGGTCCTCCTGGCTGCCCAGTTCCCCGATATAATCCTCGCTGCCATTCGAGGAGGCCGAGGACGATGAGGGCGGCGAAATGGGAGCGGTTTGTTCGACCTCGACTAGGAAATTGGTGCCCCGCCATCCAGAGCCCCATTCTGTGGTGATTCAATGCAACATATTATATACAAATCAGTCACTTTCCATCCTTAGCTCACCTTCAGACAGACTTGCTGTAGTGGTTACCTCCTCGGCAAAAACCTCCAGATGCACAACTGAAATGAGATAAAGAAGGACCAGCATTAGAACCATTTTATAAGTTTAATCATAAATCAGACAAACCAGCAAAATCAGTTTTACTATAAACTAGCCCAACTAATTCGATTATTATATCATCACTTAAATGTTTTCCCATGTCAACAGATTTTGTAAACTTTAAAGAAAATCATCAAAGAAACTTGATACAAGAAGGAGAAGCATTTCAAAGTCAACTTGTGTTTGTGTGGCAAGTGGCAGCTTGGAAAATATTATCCCACGCGTTCTCGGAAAAGCGGACATCGCCAAGGAAATGTGCTTGGAAAATGCAATAAACACTCTGCAAACAGATTTGATGGCCGAGGAATTATGCCAAGTTTTGCACTTGAAAATTCCCTCCATTATGCAATCGTAGAGCACTTAAAGTATCCTATATGGCCATGCTTATCCCCAGATGATTGCTTAGAAGGGCCGAAGTGGGGTTAGTGGTTCGAGGTCAGTGGTGTTGGGGGTGTAATGTTCGTGTGGGGGTGTCAAGGATGAAGTTTTCCAGACGCTGACGTCGGAGAAAGTTTGACTAAAGTGCTGCGAGTGCGTTTCTCACCCGAGCATATGCAAATGTGGGTGGAACAGGTCTGGGCAGCCACCTCCACAACCTACACCCACATCCATCTCACACCCAAGACGAGCAAACTTTCCTTAGTTATTTAGTGCATTAAAAGTTCGCTAAAAAAGTGGGGATCGCAGGCGAAAACCTTGACGTTAAAGTGTGTGTCTGGGTATTGCGATGATAAATGTGCCAAAAAGGGCCCGGGTTCCAAATGATTGCTGGAAGCAACCCAAAAACCACCCGACCAAGAACCACAACAACCACAGAGACCATCACTAAGTCTGCGAACAGGTGGGGTCCTCGACCACCTCTGAAATCCTCCTGAAAGTGCTGATGATACAGTTTAAACACATGTCATATAGTTCTACTTATCAGTGTTTTATAACTATTAGGAACTCTTGATTTAATAGATTCCAGAATATTTAAAAAACTTATAAAAGGAAACTTTAAAAAATCCAAGACTTCTTTATTAGATACTTATAATTAAGATACTTATTATAAAAACCCAATATATTTTTTGCTTAAAAATAACTTTCGATATGTTTCTTACATTTTAAAAGGCTTAAACTTAAATGAAACTTTTTTTTTTAAAACTTTTTCGAATCTAAGATTAAATAAGTCTGGTAATAAAATATATTGTTTCGTATTTTTTTTCCTGTGTAGCCAGTGAGAGCAAAAAAAAAGTGCCATGAAATAGGGGCAAACGGAATGGGTCATTAGGTCGGCCAGTCAGCCTGTTAGGCAAACGACCTTGAAAGTGTTTAGCGCCCAGCTGACACCACCACCCCACCCCCTTGGAGCCTGGGAGCCGGTCCACCCTTGAACTATTTATTTAGTTGCTTCATTTGCCTAATTTGCTTAATTACATGTGTTCGACGAGATGGGCTCAAATCTATGCCCGAAATGAGCTAATTAACATGCGCAAATTATACGCAATTCCCACAGGGATAAGTACAAAGGATGTGCCATAAAATAAGGGGATTTTCCGGCGAAGCGAGCGGGGAAAAACAACCTTACTATCTGCAGAATTTCCCCGTAATTTATGAATGAAAAGCGAGGGAGAAAGAAAAAAAAAACAGACACTGTAATGAACTGGGAAAGTGTAATAAAAATCATATTAGGTGGAGAGCGAGGGAAAAGGGTGAAGTGCAAAAACCGGATGGGAAAATTGCTGCAGGTAAGCCCAATCTGAATTTCTCTTCCTTTCTCGATTTTCCTCGCTTTCCCTTGCTTTTCCTTAGTGTGTGTGTGTGTGTGTGTGTCACCAGCTTGGAATTGGCCATTAAATGCTCATTAGAGTAAACAAACAACCCACAATAACAACGGCGGAATGCAATTTTAATAATCAGTAGCCGAGGCACAAAGACCAGGATAAGATACACAGGACCAAGGATGAGAAAGGACGAGAAAGGACTGAGCCAGCCGGCAATTAACAAAAACATTTTGCGCAATTTGTGACTCACCAACTGGTGTTCTAGTTGCTTCCAGTTAGGCGGATGAGCAATGTGTCTGGAGCCAATTAAATATGGAACCATTCTTGAGGAGGGGAAACACTATTTGCATATACTTGAGCAGAACCCTGAACCAGACAGACGGATAGATGAATTTAATTAATTTAACACAGCATTCGAAAGACGATATTAATGCGTTTGATAAATAAACCACAGCTCAGGGACGAGACACACTGTACAGATTAAGCAGAAATAACCCTGACAGTGCCATTCATTTAATTAGCATTAATTTCGGAATATCCAAATATTGCATTTACGTGACTCACTGGCCATGGAGATAAAATTACCAGTATGTTCACAGCATTCACTGAATGTAGATGACAAATAATCTCCAAGGATAATGCAAACTATATAGTTAGGCAAAAAAAATCGTGGCAGTAATCATTTAATTAACAATATATTTCATGTACATAAGTAATGCAATTTTATCAATAAGAAACTGGTTAGGAATATTGAAATTCCATTAGATTAAAATCTTAACATTTTAATAAATCCTTTTTAATAAGAAATAAAATACTAACGTAGCACATGTAACCAATATATTTAAGAGGAAAATTTGCAAATCAACAAGACTATTTTAAATACCTGGAAACCTAGATAAACAGCTTTCGAAGAAATCTCAATTAAACTACCTTAATTAAGTTCAACTTGCTCAATTTAAACATGTATATCAAATGCTTGATTTTACCAGATTTGCCAATACTAAACAGGTTCTTAATTCTATTTTTACTGAGAATTCCCGTATATTAAAACGACATTTCTCAAAATCCTTGGGCATTATTTTAGGCAATATCAAATTGTTTGCCCGCATCTGCTGCCAAGCCCAACAGCTTGTGCCAAAATCTGAACTGAGGAATATTATGATTTATCTCCACATGAGTCGCATCAACAGCTCGTGGACTTTGGTAGATGCAAATGCAAACGCAACCGAATCAGCCAAAGTTTTCCCAATAAACTTTGTCAAAAGCGGCACAGTGAAAAAAGGGAAACCGGATTACGAATGTAAATAAACATCAAGCGGAGAAAAACTCCATAAGCCGTTCAATAATTCATAAGAAAACACAGACAGACACAATGGAGAGGGAGTGCACGGCGAGAAAAGAGGGGCAGGAATGCTCAGGACGACAGTCATAACACAAACACAATTATAAGTGGGGGAATGCTATTGATTTTCCTCGATTATGGGCGGCCCAAGATGTCTGCCTCACGTTGTAAGTTCCCTGGTTTCCGATTTTCCGTTTTTCCGAGTTCCCGAGAATCCGAAATCAAAGGGGCGGGACTGGGCGCAGGGGGAGTGGCAGGTGTGCCGACCAAAGCCGCTTACCTATATGCCAGAAACTCAAATGAATTCGACTCAATTCAACGTGACGCATGCAAAGGCTTCGGAGGGGCCAACGAGGAAAGAATTTCACTGGAAAGCTGCCCCCAGGAATCAAAACCCCTTATTACCTAAAAAAGTTTTGAAAAAATCGTCCTCTTTAATAAAAAAAATCTGCCTAAAGCAGTCAAAAACATATTATTCCAAAGAGGAATACATTTTCTGAAAACTTATAGATATATTTTCTTCCCCCTTTTTTTTATTAAAATATTTTTTTAATGTTTTTAAGACCTTTAAAAATATTATATGTTTTATCTTTACACTTTGTTTTCAATAAATCTTCCTAAAACAGCCTACAGTTGTGTTATTTCCAGAGAGGAATGGTGTTCTAGCACTTGGAAAAATGTGTTGCATATCCCAAAGGCGCAGTCGAGTAAAGCAAGATAAGGAAATAATGTATGACCAACTTTAAGGGTAGTGGAATGAAGTATTCCTCTTACCAACAACCAAATCCCTTTAAAGCTGGCCAAAAAACTGCGATGGGCACGTAAAGTGGCCATCGTAAAACGGGTCGCTGAAGAAGGGGGCGTGGCGTTAAATGGGGAATGCTTAATTGTAGGGGGCGCTTTTAGTAACGGAAGCATTTGGGCACAACTGTACTTAAGTGATGCTTTAGTGGAGTGCTATCCAGCTATCATTTGCGAACCCTTAAAGTGCGCTATATATATCTTTGCAATGAATGTGGTTTAATACAGATAAAGCTGTATTGGCAGCTTGGGAAGAGTTTTTAATAAACTTCTTTAGGAATAAGTCATTACTTTACCAAAACCGTGTCTAATATTTTTAGATCAACAGAGATATTACGGTTCTAGGAAATAATAATTATATGATAATATTTTCTGTATAATATTTATTAAAACTTTTCATTAGGTATCATAATCTATTTCAATTTCGATTTGAAATTAGTTTAAGAATTTTCAACTGTACCTCCATTTGCAGTTTATTTACTTCACGGCCGCTCTGGACTTTTAGACTTGTCGTGGTCAAGGACTCGCGAGCACCTGGTCCTTTGGCTAAATGGTCCTGGGCAAATCCAGGATCCAGCTGTGATGGCATCAGGTGATCGGTGATTGCCGAAATTAGAGCCTAAGTAGCCTCGCCCATTTGCGGAACACATGTGGATCGATCGTTGGATGTCCAGTGCTGGGTTTCCGTGTTTCCCCCGGCTCAGTGCCGTCGAGAAATTCCCATAGGATGCGGAAATACCATCCAGGACACGATCAGCACATCGATGGGCATTTCCGAGCGCCCGCGACTTAACTTGACCCTGTCGCGGGATCAACAAGTGCGCTGCCATCGCATCGCGGCAATCATCATCATCATCGAGCTACGGATGGGAGAGTCCTCAGGAGGTAAGTGTATATCTCATAGATATCCAATCTACCTGCTCGATCTGGGCCTCAGCACGCGGTACGGTTTATGGCTTTATGGCCATGGCCAAGGAGTTGCCGGCGATACACGGAAAATGCGTTTCGTAAACAAAATTCGGCCTCCATTCGCCTTTTCCACATTTCCACCTTTCCACTTTCACATTTTCACATCCCTCCCTCCCTTCATCCCGCCCGTTCATGATTTTTTGTGTTTTTTTTTCGATTGTTTATTTGTCACAAGCAAAAAAGATGGAAAAACAGAATATGGTAAACAGAAATTGCATTGATGCTCCTTATCACAGATGTCCTGCGACCGCGAGAGTCCTGGAAACGGTCATGTCCTTGCCATTGTCTTGGTCCTCATCCTTCGCTTTTCCTTCTTTTTCTTTCTTTTTTCCAACCCGGCCAGCTGGCTCAATAAAAAAATATCCGAGCCAGAATCCAAGACAATTGCTTGGCTTGCACTTGTGCCAAAAGTTGCATTCAACTTCGTTGAGTACGCCGGAAAAAATCGGGGGCAAGTTGGACTTTATTGCAGGGCCATTTTTTAGCTGTTATAACAGGTAAGTACATTGTAGCTATTGTTATAATAATAAATGGACCCTTGAACCACTTACAGAACATTACGGAACAGCATAAGAGTTGGAATACCAAAATTAGTAAGCAAGAAATATTTTACATAATTATTTTACAACACTGTATATCATAATAATATAGGGAGTAAAATGAGACACTGTAGACTTTTGCTATCATATCAATGGAGGCTATACAGTTATATATGTCACAATTGGAAAATTATTTAGTTATGTGAATTTATTCCCTTGCCTGAAAATATTTTTTCTTTCTGTGCACTATAGTTATTTTATTTCAGTTTCGGTTTCAGTACCATTGCAACGATTTGGGGTCCCCGGCACGTCTCCTACTTTTGCCCCTAAGTTCGGGCTGCCCCTCCGAAACCTTTGTGTCAATGGCATTTCAATTTCGTGGCCATTTCCTTGGGGGCTTCGTGCGGATTGCTCTGCATCCAGATCCAGTCAGTTCGCATTTGATGGCAACTCAGCTGGACTCAGCCGAACTGGATTCTTGGACCAGAGAATTGGGATTGCCTTGGCCCCTGGCTTTGATTTCTGCCACAAAGTTGCGAATCTGTCCAAATGCTTGGAATCCCATCCTCGATTCGATTGCTCCTTTGGTGCAAATAAAGTTTGCACACTGCATACGCGATTGATGCACTTCGTTTGATGGCCAAAATCCTCCGGGCTTGATTGTTATTTAAATGCAGTTGTAAAAGTTACGGACCATTTGCTTTAACTTGCCTCAAGTTTGTTATTTAATTAAGGTAAAATGTGTAACTTTCTGGAAATACTTCACATGTGGTGGTGTAAGAAAGCACATTAGGATGAAACTCCATAAAGTATATACGTATTTACGCAGGCAAGTACAGATAGCTGCAAAATAATTATTCCTCAAATTGCAAAAGGTATAATATGTAACACTTTCCAATAATTAAGGAACTAAATGACATGTAATCCTATTTAATTTTATTTTTATAATTATATTGGCAGGCATTCTGCTATTATTTTGAACACAGCTGTCATCAGTTTAAAGCAAATATAGCTACTTGAGTGAATTTTGTATGCAAAGCAATGAGGAAGTCGTGAGTTAGCTTTGCATCTTACTTAGCTAAATTGTCAAGGGTCATTCCTCATACGTGCTACTTACCCATTTGGAATTTCTCTTTATCAGACCCCCCACCCAATCGAAGGATACATATGTATACTACTCTTGAACCTATCCCCTGGTCTTACTAGCAACTCCGCAGATGCCATTTGCACAAGCTTAAGAGAACACAGAAAGAAAAGGAACGTTTTAAATTATAATACTCGGAACATTTGACATACAAATTGTATTATTATACATAGATTAAAGAAAAAGGTAAAATATGAATATTTCCTTTTGTTTTATATACATTTTGTATACATTTTTAAAAACATATTTGTTTTCTTTCTGCTTCTAAGGGATATTTTCCTCTCAGTGAACTTCGACTTCCGTTTCCGCTCTTTTACATCCAACATGGAGAGCTCCCGAAATGTAGACCCGTCACGTGCAGCGAACAAATGCCGGAGTTACGTGACTGCCAAGCGGATGCGGATGCGAATGCGGATGCGGATGAGGATGTGGATGCAGATTTCGATGCAGATACGGATCCAAGTTCGCTAAACAAACGAGAAAGCGAGACGGCGAGAGAGAGAGAGCGGGAAACTCCGCCGAGGAAAATGTAGGAAAGGCGAGGAAATTCCGCTGCGCGTTTTCCCAGCCGAGAAATGTGGGAATTTCAACGATTGCGTGTGAAAATGCAACAAGAAACCAAAACAGCAAACACCAAATGTGCGATAGTCAAATGAGGCCTGAGGTTGGCCAGTTGTTCGGCTGTTCAGTTGGCCGGGAACCAAAGCCAAGTTGGTTCCCAGTAAAGCCGAAACGAGAACCCGTAGGTTGTTAAAACGCCATGGGTATTCGTATTCGAACCCGGAGACCCCAAAGGAAGCGGCGATTATCACGTGCCACAGCAGTTGCATTCCGTTCTAGGGATACACTCGTAATATAGGGGTACGAGCCCACTGATAAGGCGACTAAGTTGCAGATCTTAGGGGTTCGGGGTTCAGGACTCAGGGTCTTCAAGGCAGGCGGGTTTTCGGTACTGCCCAGCTGTACTTTACAAATATTAGATAACTTATTTAAGAACTGCCTAAACAAAGTTGTTGTAGCCAATATGAAGCTGAGATGATAAAATATTGGTCATTAAGTTTATCGCCTTTTGTTTTATAATTTTAGTATATGGCAATTTTGATAAAATATATTAATTTGAAAGACATTTTGAAAGAATAGTTTAGTCTTAAGTGCATTTTTTTGATAAGTATGTATTTATTTTAAATGTATTTTTAATAGTATTTTATGAATTTGAAAAGGTTACTACTTATAAATAAAGATAATGGATCTTGTTAAAACAAGTTTAATAAACCCACTATGAGTTCATTTATTGAGACAAAGTTCTAATGATTTTCGGGGCTTGGCAACATTGCTCTTAGAGCTGTTTAATGACCAAAATGTCAGGTGGTTTTAAGCAATTAAAAGCGAACGTGTGAAACATTCGGGGGTCCACTTGTCAGGGTCAATTCGGTCTCATTTATGCCCCATTTCGAGTTGCAATGGCCATTCATTGGCCATCGTCATTGCCAACACTTCATTGAGCGCAAATCAAGCGCGAAATAATTTGCCAATTTCAATTCTCCATTTTCCCAATGTCGTTTCACATTTGACACAATGACGATGAGAATGACGATGCCTATTTCGATTTCGTTTAACCTTGAGCTATTGAGTCCAAGAATGGGAGAGCTGTTCCATTGAGGAGTTTTCGCCCGAAATAGATCGAAGTCGGTGCAGCTGGTCTCTGGTATTTAGTATTCCGTATTTGGCTATTGCTTTCTGGTTTTTGATTTGGCCAGGAAAAGGTCCTGTCCCGCTGATTCGAGACTTGTGGCCGGCGTCAACGGCGTTCCGAGGACTGCGCCACGGCGTTTACACAACAATTGGCCAAGGAAAGGACGAAGGATCTGGCCAAAAACAAAGGCACAAGGCCACCGACCAAAATGACTGACACGATGGTCAGTACACCAGCGTAATATATCTTCTGAGCCATAACTCATAGCACTGCAGCACTTAGTATTATAATATATGACAAGGCAGATAAAAACCGAAAAGGGTTATGGCTAGAAGAATATTAAAAATAAGAAGGCAGCGAGGTGTACGAGTAGCATTACCAGAGACCATCCTTAACTCGTTGGCCAGATCGAAAGTGCTCGAATCAAGGACGTTTTTCGGCAGGATTTCAGGTACTGCCATCCACCGTGTTTTTGGCCAAATTGCCGGGCCATAAAGTACCGCGTATTTTCATGAAATCCCGTTCGCGGATTAGGCCAGAAGATATCTGAAAACCTAATCAGGTAGCTGGACTGGATGGATGGTATAGGTAATTCCTGGAACCGCTGGATCCGAAGTTACCTGCTGGCCGAGTATATAAATCCCACGGGTTTATGGCCAAGCCAAACAGTTGACAAGGAATTGTCAAGCGAACAACATCTTACCAGAGTTACCTAAATATTGTATAAAGCAAACGTAGATCATGGGTTGTTGTGCGAGCAATCTGAAACTGAAGGAGCTGAACCTCAACAGCAGTATCTATTTGGCAGCTGATGGATCGGGTTCAGGATCGGGAAAACGCTCCCTGAAGCGGTTGTATAGCAGCCGAAACAGCAGCGGAGTGGGCAGCAGCTCATCCTCGTCGAAGAACTCCTCCAGCCGCAGCATTTGGAGCCGATCCAGCCAGCCCATCTGCGATGACTTCGCCGAACAGCCCCAGCTGGACAGATCCTGTGGGTATTACACCTGCAGCAGTGCCAACTCGTCGCCCAGGAAGCAGCAGGAGGATGGCGATGAGGAGGAGGAAGAGGTACTGATGCGCACCCAGGACATGAGCGAGGCCTCCCAGTCCCGCAACTCCACGGAATCCCATCCGATGGCCGGCAATCTGGAGTGGGAGATGTACATGATGCAGCAGGCGCAGCGCATCATGCCCAAGACATCGTCGCCCATCAGCCAGAGGAGGGGCAATGGCCACATACCGGCCTCGTCCTACCAGAAGTGGCGGAACTACCTGCAATCCACGCCCGCACACATGCTGCACAACGTCACCCACATCCCGGAGGCCATTGCCGGTCACTTTTGCCCCACTGGCTTCCCGGGCTTCAGCGATCTTGAGGAAATGGAGAGCGCTGCCAAGCGGTTCAAGGTGGATCTGGCGGAAGAGCCACTGGAAGAGCCGCTGTACACCACCTACCAACTGCTGGCTGGTTACACGCACACCATATCCACAGATCTGTGAATAGGAAGCCTCCCCACCCGACGCCACCCCTTCAATCGCACCATCTCCGCTTGGTTCGGAGTGGTTCGACGATTGATGGACCCATTGACGTAATCCCCGGCGAGGACTGGCAACAGGTGTGCCAGCTGTCAAACAGTTGGGCAAATACTCATTCTACCCCTTCGGCGATTCCATTGCCCAGCAATGGCCATCGCATACGCACGATTTTACAAAAATACACACATTTTTTTTACTGTATATCATACAACCTAGATTTAAGGACAGAACAATTATTTTGTACGATTGCTATTTAAATCGTGTTCCAAAATATATTTTATAAAATCTTAACACAATCGACTTTTGAACTTTAAAAAAAAAATTGGTTGCGAATGTAAGAACAGTATGGATAATCTGTGTTTTTTAAAAAACAACGCATTGCTTGTGCCATTTCCTATGCATTCAATGCGATTCGCATCAAGTCTGCGTCGGAGCTCACGGATCTTTCCCATTAAAAGTTCTAAAATATTAAAAAACAGATGTTCCCAAGAGTAGAAGATTATGTCGAAAAACACCGAAGACAATTCGTGAAGTTAGTATATTTTTTTACTTTCTATTTTGGCTTTAAGGAATACAAGCCCTGGAACAAAAATAAAAACATAGCAAGCGTTTTCCTTTCTCTCTCCGAATAGTTACATTTTAAAGGCCAGTTTTCATTTATTATCGAAGTAGTACACGTCGCTCAGTAAAAAACACATATTACAACAAATTTAATAAAGCAAGCATTTTCTATTCACTCCGTAAATATCTAACAGTTTTAACATCAGTCACAACTTAGCATCGTACACCTTATAGAAAAAACATGGGACCTATTTATAGTATTCTTAAAAAGTAAGTAAAAGTATTTAAATGTGAGCACGAACAATACCATAAAAAGCACCACGTGTCTTAATTTTCAACGTCGGTAAAAGTTTCAAATCTACATTTTAAAATTGGAATTCGAGTCCGGACCAAATATAAAAACAAAGCAAGCGCTTTCTTGTCACTCTCCAAGTAGGTTACAAAGGTTAATGCCAGTCACAAGTTAGCATCGTACACACGCACGAACACACACGACACGTCCAAACGCATTAAAAAATAAATCTATTTTATAAAAAACAACACAATTTTGAAAAAAATTTAACGGATAGCTAGCCGTACAACAGTAATCGGTTCTAATCATTTACAAAAATACGTCGGTAAAACTACTCAAAAATAATGCGCTTGTTTTCTGGTTTTTTTAAACGAAGGTAAATCGGATTAATAAAAACGCGAATTCAACATTGAATATTAGAAAATCCTTTTAGCTATACCATTTATAAAGAATGTTGTATTCAATTTATTGAACAATTTTCTTTTAACCGAGGCATGGGTAAACCTTTGAACGTTGCCCTACTCGTCTGTAGATAGCTTTAATATCTATTCGTTTGATGGAAGTCAATCATGTCTTCAACTAATTTAAATTGTATACACCTTATTAATGTTACAGAGAGGAGGAGGCGAAAAATGATGAGCCGGTAGTCGCTACCGTATCCATTCCTCTAGTGCATGAAGGTAGCGAAGATAACGCGGTGGTCCGAGAAGTCACGCAAAGAAGTGTAAGAAAGAGGCGTGCTCCGGTGAGTAGTACAGATGAACAACCGGCTAGAAAAACCAGAAAGAAGGCCAAAACCGTTTCGCCATCAATTCCTACGGAAGAGGACTCTACACCTTTGCAGGAGGAGTCTATCGATGTAATGTCTCCAAGAAAAGGCAGGAAGAGGGCTTTGGTCAACAATTCAGCTGAAGAACCAGCCATAAAATCCAGAAAGAAGGCCAAAACCGTTTCACCATCAATTCCTACGGAAGAGGACTCTACACCTTTGCAGGAGGATTGTATCAAAGTGGTCTCGCCGAAAAAAGGCAGAAAAGGGGCTCTGGCTAAAAATTCAGATGAACAACCGGCTAGAAAAACTGGAAGGAAGGCCAAAAACGTGGACAAGTGTAAAACGTGATGGACTGGATCGGCGATGGGCTACTATTGCCGACATCGTAAGCGTGAAATCTGTCAGATCCGGGAGCCTCGGAGATCCAAATCTATCATAACATTAATTTGACTTTTTATGGGTGTTCCTTGTTATTTTTTCCTCCTTTTTGGCCATGTCGCCTGGATCGAAAAGCGGAAATTGTCACTTTGGCTTGAGTGAGAGAGATTGGTCGAGATTTCTGGAATTCGGTTATTAAACACGGCAGTCGGAATCGGACCTACGCAGATCCAGAAGACGTTCACTGGAAGGAACTAGTGCTACAACCTCGAACCTACAAAAACGAGATCACAACCTTGTACAGCACTGATGGCAAGGCAATCGCTACAAATAAAATTCTAAATTCAGAGTGTATTCTTAAGTTTAAGTTTTTATTTATGTATCAATAGTCTATAAGAGACGCGAATTCTTTAGCATCCCAAAATTCAATAGTAGTGACGATCCATTAGGATTATTGGAATCCTATCTCGACTATAGCGTTCTTCCTTGTTTCCTAGTGCCGAACAAAATGTACTAATTGTAAATCCAGTCTGGCTTCTCAAGCCTGACAGGAATCCAGAGAGGTTACTTCGATCTAGTTTATAATGCTCATTACTACCAGGGGTTACTACGATCTTGTAATATATGTTATCAATTTGTATTATAAGATTGCAAAAGTAACTGAACAAAAAAGATTTCACGGAAAAGTGTTGGAGATTGTTAGCCCATGTCGTTAACTGCTAAAAACAGTCAGTCTTTTAGGTGAACGCCTTGATTTGGCAAAACAACTAGTGAAAAACCTCAAAAACAACGAGTTCTTTTGACTAAAATCTGAATTCCTTTTTTCGCCCTAATAAAGTCAGTGTTTTGGCTGTCATATTGCAAGTAAGGGTCAGAATGAAGATTGTGATACCTCGTTGAGCTCGTGTCTTAATTTCCAATCCAATGGCATTCCAACCTGGAAAATTTTTATTTTTGCCATTTTTCGCAAAAAAACAAAATGAGGAATTGGGTCAAAAAATAAATGTTCCTTAAAGTGATACGAATCGATAGCATTTGTAGAAAGCTGCTTAAAACAGTTGGTCTTTTAGCTGTACGCCTTGATTTGGCTAAACTACGACTGAAAAACCACTAAAAAATGAGTATTTTTGACCAAAATCTGAATCCCAAAAATAAACGATGTACCCCCTTAGAAAAAATGAGAAATTGGGTCAATAAATAAATGTTCCTTAAAGTGATAGGAATCGATGGCATTTGTAAAAAGCTGCTTAAAACAGTTGGTCTTTTAGCTGTACGCCTTGATTTGGCTAAACTACGACTGAAAAACCACTAAAAAATGAGTATTTTTGACCAAAATCTGAATTCCAAAAATAAACGATGTACCCCCTTATAAAAAATGAGAAATTGGGTCAAAAAATAAATGTTCCTTAAAGTGATGGTTTTCGATAGCATTTGTAAAAAGCTGCTTAAAACAGTTGATCTTTTAGCTGTACGCCTTGATTTGGCTAAAATACGACTGAAAAACCACTAAAAAATGAGTATTTTTGACCAAAATCTGAATTCCAAAAATAAACGATGTACCCCCTTAGAAAAAATGAGAAATTGGGTCAATAAATAAATGTTCCTTAAAGTGATAGGAATCGATGGCATTTGTAAAAAGCTGCTTAAAACAGTCGGTCTTTTAGCTGTACGCCTTGATTTGGCTAAACTACGACTGAAAAACCACTAAAAAATGAGTATTTTTGACCAAAATCTGAATTCCAAAAATAAACGATGTACCCCCTTATAAAAAATGAGAAATTGGGTCAAAAAATAAATGTTCCTTAAAGTGATAGGAATCGATAGCATTTGTAAAAAGCTGCTTAAAACAGTTGGTCTTTTAGCTATACGCCTTGATTGGGCTAAAATACGACTGAAAAACCACTAAAAAATGAGTATTTTTGACCAAAATCTGAATTCCAAAAATAAACGATGTACCCCTTATAAAAAATGAGAAATTGGGTCAAAAAATAAATGTTCCTTAAAGTGATAGGAACCGATAGCATTTGTAAAAAGCTGCTTAAAACAGTTGGTCTTTTAGCTATACGCCTTGATTGGGCTAAAATACGACTGAAAAACCACTAAAAAATGAGTATTTTTGACCAAAATCTGAATTCCAAAAATAAACGATGTACCCCCTTATAAAAAATGAGAAATTGGGTCAAAAAATAAATGTTCCTTAAAGTGATGGTTTTCGATAGCATTTGTAGCAAGCTGTTCAAAACAGTCGGTCTTTTAGCTGTACGCCTTGATTTGGCTAAACTACGACTGAAAAACCACTAAAAAATGAGTATTTTTGACCAAAATCTGAATTCCAAAAATAAACGATGTACCCCCTTATAAAAAATGAGGAATTGGGTCAAAAAATAAATGTTCCTTAAAGTGATAGGAATCGATAGCATTTGTAAAAAGCTGCTTAAAACAGTTGGTCTTTTAGCTGTACGCCTTGATTTGGCTAAACTACGACTGAAAAACCACTAAAAAATGAGTATTTTTGACCAAAATCTGAATTCAAAAAATAAACGATGTACCGCATTATAAAAAATGAGAAATTGGGTCAAAAAATAAATGTTCCTTAAAGTGATGGGTTTCGATAGCATTTGTAGCAAGCTGTTCAAAACAGTCGGTCTTTTAGCTGTACGCCTTGATTTGGCTAAACTACGACTGAAAAACCACTAAAAAATGAGTATTTTTGACCAAAATCTGAATTCCAAAAATAAACGATGTACCCCCTTATAAAAAATGAGAAAATGGGTCAAAAAATTAAATGTTCCTTAAAGTGATAGGAATCGATAGCATTTGTAGAAAGCTGCCCAAAACAGTCGGTCTTTTAGCTGTACGCCTTGATTTGGCTAAACTACGACTGAAAAACCACTAAAAAATGAGTATTTTTGACCAAAATCTGAATTCCAAAAATAAACGATGTACCCCCTTATAAAAATTGAGGAATTGGGTCAAAAAATAAATGTTCCTTAAAGTGATAGGAATCGATAGCATTTGTAAAAAGCTGCTTAAAACAGTTGGTCTTTTAGCTGTACGCCTTGATTTGGCTAAACTACGACTGAAAAACCACTAAAAAATGAGTACTTTTGATCAAAATCTGAATTCCAAAAATATACGATGTACCCCCTTATAAAAAATGAGAAATTGGGTCAAAAAATAAATGTTCCTTAAAGTGATGGTTTTCGATAGCATTTGTAGCAAGCTGTTCAAAACAGTCGGTCTTTTAGCTGTACGCCTTGATTTGGCTAAACTACGACTGAAAAACCACTAAAAAATGAGTATTTTTGACCAAAATCTGAATTCCAAAAATAAACGATGTACCCCCTTATAAAAAATGAGGAATTGGGTCAAAAAATAAATGTTCCTTAAAGTGATAGGAACCGATAGGATTTGTAAAAAGCTGCTTAAAACAGTTGGTCTTTTAGCTGTACGCCTTGATTTGGCTAAACTACGACTGAAAAACCACTAAAAAATGAGTATTTTTGACCAAAATCTGAATTCCAAAAATAAACGATGTACCCCCTTATAAAAATTGAGGAATTGGGTCAAAAAATAAATGTTCCTTAAAGTGATAGGAATCGATAGCATTTGTAAAAAGCTGCTTAAAACAGTTGGTCTTTTAGCTGTACGCCTTGATTTGGCTAAACTACGACTGAAAAACCACTAAAAAATGAGTATTTTTGACCAAAATCTGAATTCAAAAAATAAACGATGTACCGCATTATAAAAAATGAGAAATTGGGTCAAAAAATAAATGTTCCTTAAAGTGATGGGTTTCGATAGCATTTGTAGCAAGCTGTTCAAAACAGTCGGTCTTTTAGCTGTACGCCTTGATTTGGCTAAACTACGACTGAAAAACCACTAAAAAATGTGTATTTTTGACCAAAATCTGAATCCCCAAAATAATTATAAAAAATGAGAAATTGGGTCAAAAAATAAATGTTCCTAATTGTGATGGGGATTGTTAGCATGTGTAGCAAGCTGCTCAAAACAGTCGGTCTTATAGCTATACGCCTTGATTTGGCTAAACTACGAGTGAAAAACCTGAAAGAAAAACCATATCTTTTGACTTAAATCTGAATCTCATTTTTCGCCCTAAAAAAGAAAGTGTCTGCAAATAAGGTTGAAAAACCATATTTTTGCTCTAAAAACTTGGTTTTTTTGTCCTTCATAACGCAATAAAATAGCCAGTGATTGAATTACGAGCTCGACGAGGTATCACATGTCATATTACGACATGTTTACTTTTTCGGGCTTAGGAAAAGCAGCCTAAAATTGTATATTATATGGCTTTAAAAACAAAATATCCTAGCAATACTTAAATACCCAATTTCGATTGGCACTAATTGTTTTCATTTTAAAAGCAAATGTTTTTCCTAATATGTTTTTAGAGCTCGCCAAATAATTTCTCCCACATAACTCATATTTCCACAACTTTCCGCCCAGCCCATTAACTGATTGCCGGCCACAAAATGTTTTGATTGGGCTTTGATAATACAAAATTCAACAGCCGCCGCAAACCGCACAGAATGGCGGAAAGCTGGAAAAGTTCGGGGCTCATTCCAAATTCAAATTGGTGGAAAGAATTAGTAGCCTGCTGCCCGTAATTACGCGGATAAATGTGCATTAATTAGTGCAGCCCAGCTAAAGGCAATTGAAATTGGAATGGAAATGGAAATATTTAAAACGAAGCCAGAGATAGGCAAATATGGATTATGGACTGCGGCTTTGGAATTACATTATTAGCATTTGTAATTAGTGTAACACTAGGGAAAACCTTCTATTTTTTTCATACCCTTTCTTTGCTGGGAATATCCTGTTTTGGGTAAGTATAAATATAAAATCCTGAAAATCAGAGGGAATAAAACGTAAACTCCATACTTAAAATGGGCTCTGGAATATAAACAAGAAATCAGTTTTGTTATTATTTCTCTCTCACTAGAAATCCGATAGCCCCGCCGTGTTTACAGGGTATCGGTTGGCAGTATCGATTTTAGTGGCTTGTCAAGTGTCTGGGTACCCACTTAAGTACCCCCGCCACACCATCGCACCTCAAGTTCCCGCATTTTCCTGACATTTTTCCCGCTCCTTGGACTCCGCGGACAATGTAGAAAGAGACGGCACCACTGTGCAAAGGGGGCGGGTGAAAGAGACAGGGTTACCCAAGTAGTTTAGCTTGCATCGGTGAGTTGCCATAATTGGTGCGGACTCTCGATTGTTCCCGCAATCAGTCAATCATTCAATCAATCAATGACTTCGACCACTATGCACTATAATTTTAGCCCGAGAAAGAGAGGGGTACATTGGGGCAGAAAGAGACGG